ACTATTAGTCAATTTCGCATCAAATACATGTGTCAAATTATTCATTAAATTTTCTAATTTTATGCGCGACTTTTCAAATTTGTTTTACATAAAAACTTTACACATCTTACAAAATTTCAAAAAATATGTCTAAAATCTGTAGTTTTCTACAAGCCAAATTTAATACCTCTTTGTATTTACGCAAAGCTTTTGCCAACAACATGTTCACAGGTTAACAGGACAAGACCAAATTAATCGAAGTATATTAAAATTAATAACAAGTTTATGAAACGTACTTGCGCGAGGAACTGGTAATTTTGTCTTGTAAGATATATTTAAATCATATCGGATTCGGCTTGAATAGATGCACCCCCATCTTTACCCAGTATTTTCGGGGCGCGTGACTTGACATAACTGGCTGTTTCGTGGTGTTACAACGTTTTACCGAAGCTTTGTCTAATGCCACCGCGCTAATGGAATTTGCTAAGAGTATTAGAAAGAGACTCTTTATTTTGATGCCATTCAAACTTTTAGTTATCCGGAGTGACAGTGATTGGAGATTTAAGAGCTATTATGATAAATTCATCAGGTTTTCTTAGGAAAATAATCATTCTTTCTACTAATATTATTAAGCTAGAAAGTTTGTATGGATGTTTGTTAGTCTTTCACTCTTAAGTGTGAACGGATTTGTATGAAACTTGGCAGTTATACTTATGTAGGTATTACCTACATTGACACATAGGATATTGTTTATCCCGGAAAAATGTTAGTTCCTGAGGGATTCTCAAATACTAAATTTAACGCGGACAAATTCGCAGGCGGTCGCTAGTATGTACATATTTTGAAATTACCTACCTACATATTTTGAGGCAAAGTTTTGTCATGATTAATATAGAAAATTATCGTGACTACCTTGTATACATGTGAATTAATCGGTTGGTTTTTATGTCCACGCAAACCAATGGAATTGGATTCAGGAAGTATGAACTAAGTATAGCCAGCGGGGCGTATATTAAAATCTGGCGCACCGGATCATATACTATTATGTCTAAAAATTACAACCTGGAAGGTTTTTGTTATTAAAAGTAAAAAAAAGCAAAATTTCGTCTCCTTTTCATAAATAATTTGATTGAATTTTTATTCGGCTTTTGGCAAACATTCTACAAAAAATTATTACCGATCTGTAAGCTATGTTCAGTTCTTAACTCATTCCGTTTACGATCTAGAGACCCATAACATACCGACAGACAGACAGACGACAGTGACAGCAATAGGGTTACGTTTTTCTGATTTTGGCGGGACGTCCAGATTTTTGGAAAATTGAATGTCCAGCGCGAAAATGGACAGGCTCAATCCCGCTTTTCGGGAATTACTCGACTGTGCGTGCAGCGTACTGAGAAAGCGTGGGCGGGTGGCACAGACAAGTGTGCACTGGCCGCCTACCCGGCGCGTAATGAAGATAAATATTCAAAAACTTTTGATTATATACGTTTTTTTTTTACTACGTCACGCTTTCGACGAAAGAATCCCGCTTATTTCACTCAAAAAAATCCAAATGCCCGACTTGGCAAAAAAAAAACTAAATTAGACCACTGCTTATTGTATATCTTCTATACTTATAATAAATCTGTAGAGAGGTCAATTCTGTACATGAAATATATTTTCAAAATAACTATCAGGGGGTGATAAGTGATCGATACTGATGCCAAAAATGCAATCAGTAAAATTTTTGTCTGTCTGTCTGTCTGTCTGTCTGTCTGTGTGTATGTTCTTTATAGAAACAAAAACTACTCCACGGATTTTAACGAAACTTGGTACAATTATTCTTCATACTCCTGGGCAGGTTATAGTATACTTTTCATCACGCTACAATCAATAGGAGCAGAGTAGTGAAGGGAAATGTTGGGAAAACGGGAGAAGTTACTCCATTTTTTGAGCTTCCGTCGCGTGTGGAGCCTTAATGGTTAAAGTTACATAGAAATCATGTATGACGGAAATATTCTACATATAATTGTCTAAAAAATATCCGGCAACAGCATATGTCTATCTTTTATGGTTGACTCACAATAACACGTGTAACTCCTGATAGCTTAGCAGTTCGGAGCATTCTGATTATATTTGTTTACTCTTACGTTTATAATACTCTCACGCATCCCTAATTTAAAAAAGTTAACATTATTACCTATTCAATAAAAAAAGAATCATAGAAATCGGTATAGAAACACCAAACTTATACATGAAATAAGCCATCGCGCCGTCGCACGTGAATACTGAATCATGCTTTAAGGATTATTTTTGTGTAACGGCTGCCGCGCTCGACACGGGTCGTGGCGGCGCGGTAAGGTATAAAAAGGCGAGAGGTCCGAAAGCGAGCTTCCCCGCCCCCCCGATCCTGAGAGACCTTCAGTCGCTCAGTCCCAAACCGATACGGATGCACATCAGGGTGCATCCGTCCTCTAAGCGCACTATGCAGTAGTATTTACTAAGGCAGCGCTGCATCATCCCCTTCTCAGGGGTTGATCGCATCAGATGAAGCCTGTAAGGCCCCTAAGGCCATAGGCACCCCCCACGGGTGTGTTTTAGTCAGTAAGAGTCTGACAGAACTCTACAGCCGGCTGTAGGGTATCCATGAGGATTTCACACCCGCTCCCCCGCCTGGGAGGAAACAAAAAAAAAAGAAAGCGAGCTTCATTCAATATTTGGCTGTTGATGCGTTCAGAGCGTTCGACCTTATTGACAGACAATAATTGATATTGAGAAACCGTGCTTATCTTAGAATAAAAACCAAACATTTGTAAACAAAATTAGCAAATAAATCATGTAAAACGTGTAGAAAATGAGTACTGGAAAACGGAAATATGAGAATTTTAGTTTGGTTATAAATACAGGTAATAAAAATGACCGTTATTATCTATATATGTATATAATAAAAGTCAAAGGTGACTGACTGACATAGTGATTTATCAACACACAGCCCAAACTACTGGACGGATCGGGCTGAAATTTGACATGCAGGTAGATGTTATGACGTAGGCATCCGCTAAGAAAGGATTTTGATCAATTCTACCCCCAAGGGGATAAAATAGGGAATGAAAGTTTGTATGAAACTTTGTCAATTTTAAACCGATCGGGCTGAGACTTTGCATGCAGGTATAAGAAGAATCATAGATGAATGTCATTGTGTATAATACAAGCCTGACAACAAAAACTGTAGTCTATACTTCAGCTCTACACCGAAGCGAAGCGAGGGCGGACCGCTAGTGAATAATAAAAACAAAACAAAAAAGCTTAAAATGGAACTGAATCAAATAATTATTTGAGTTGTCTCACAGTTATAATTGTATATTCATGTTAGGTTTCTGTCGGTAGGTAACAGAAATAATAACGGACATGCATGGTCTATTTTAGTAGATCATTTCCGGTTAACGTCCATCCGATTATACTTTATACTCCAAAACGTATTGTATTTTTATACCAATCCTTAATTTATTATAAAACCTCGACATTTATGCAGAATCACAGAAAACGGTTTAGAATCGGGGACAGCATGTAGTAGGATTCTTCCCTATATTCTTGCGAGGTTTACTTAATAGAGATATGTACTATCTAGATATTACATTATTTATAAGGTGCATGCAGAGCAAAATTTTTAATCACTGCTGGGGCACAGGTAGAGTTGCCAGATATATTATAATATATAGTATTCTACTATATTTTGCCTGTGTATACTTTATTATATACGCAACGCATAAAGTATGCTAAAATACTATATTTTAAACTTAAATTTAAAGATCACAAGTTGACGTTAAGTTAAAGTTTACGTAAACATTTCTGAACTCACTCATAAAAAAGTGACACGAGCATAGAACATATTTATGCATGTAAAAATTGTAATAAGGACAATAATAAAAATACCTACTTTATTTTTCTGTGTGTACTTTATTTTTCGATCCTTCAACCCGTCGAACACTATATATCTCAGAAACAAATCTGGCAACCCTAGGCACAGGTCCTATGATGGAATAGGGAGACTGGGCCGTGACGTGACCCACCACGCGGCCCCAGTGTGGATTGGTGGACGCTAAGGACTGCAGATGCAGACGGGACCATTGGCCTAATGTGCCTTCCGAAGAAGCTCGAGATAATAAGATTTAGTCACCCATCCAATGACCGACCATTGCGAAAGTTGATTAGCTATCTCACACTATCTCAGTCAGAAAGCTCTAACTTATCATTTATAGTACTCTTTAAAAGTGAGTAAACAGCTCACATAGTTACTGCACACCAATCTCACAACATTTTGTCATCGGTTTTTTGGTTGGGTCTATAATGTTGTCCGGAAACAAAAGTGAACTACCCTTAGTACGAGTTTGAGCTCACGAAAACTATCATAGTTTTCGTAATTGTAAATTATGTTTCTATGTCCATTTTGGTGAATAGTAACCAAATATACTTAAAATTTAAGAAAACGCAAATGATTTAATGATAGAATTTAAGCACTGTTTATGTGTATTGAAACGAAAACTATAAAATCAGTACCCTTAGGACGAGTGCTAGCTCATGAAAACTATCATAGTTGTCGTAATTCTAAAACTCGTACTAAGGGTACAGTATCCTTAGAACAAACCAATATCGAATTCATAACGTTTGCGAGTCCGAAATTTCATTGTCAAGTATGTTCTGATTTTTAGTTCTCGTTACGTACTTTGTAGCGCTACTCATTTATTTATTCCTAATGTTTTTACTAACTAGGTACAGTACCCCTAGCACAAACCATTATCGAATTCGAATAGTTTGCAAACCGAAATGTCAATGTCAAATTTTGTATGGAAACTTGAACAGCAGTGTACATTACGTAACGAGAACTAAAAATCAGTAGTACCCCAGAAATTCGTGTTCTAATTTTAAATCACACTGCGGATTCTGAGGTGAAAAATATGTTTGTTCTTACAGAATGCCACTGCTAAGCTAGGTGGTTTTTATTTGTAAAATTTTCTTAAAAATGCTTTTATTTCTTGCAGGGATGGTGGTGAACGGATTCGTTAATGTCGTGATCACCACCATAGAGAAGAGGTTCGGATTGAGATCCATGCAGACTGGCGTCATCGCTGGAGGGTAAGAATAATAATAATAACTTTATTCCAGAGTAAGTATATATACAACTCCATATTTTGTTAGTACAAAACTTAAAATTAATGTTAGTACAAAGGTATATCTAATGTCGGCAATTTACTTGGCTGTTACGCCGGTAAGTGATTTTCGCTTAAGCTAATTCATAAAGTAAAGGCACTATGTAACATTTTAATAGAAGGATATTTAGAAAATCATCATCATCGACCCATGCTCGTCCACTGCTGGACATAGGTCTCTCCTAATGCACGCCACTGCTCCCGATTTTCTGCCACTCTCATCCAGCCCACTCCAGCCAGCCTACGAATGTCATCATCCCATCTTGTCTCAGGGCGTCCCACACTACATTTACCGAGTCGCGGTCTCCACTCAAGAACTTTACGGCTCCATCGGCCGTCAGTTCTGCGGCTAATGTGACCAGCCCACTGCCACTTCAGTTTATTTAGAAAATATTATTTTATAAATAGGTTTTTATTTTTATGGCGCTACTTCACATTTACAATGAGTTTATTTTTTTTCTGAAAAAAAAAACTTTGTTTCTCCTTTCTGTAGTTATTAAAGTCGCGTTTAAGCTATTTTGTTTTTCCACTGTCGATATGATGGACAACTTGTACTTATGGACTGCGTGGCCGAGTGGTTTGTACGCCAGGTTTCATGGTATCGCCGACTCGAGAGGTCCCGGGTTCGAATCCCGGTGGGGGCAGATGTTTGTGTGATGAATACGAGAATTTGTGCTCCAGTCATGGATGTTTAATATGTACTTCTACATAAACATAGTTATATGTGTACAGTATATGTATTCTATCCGTTACCCTAGTAGCCCATAACAAGCCTAACAGTGCTTACTTTGGGGCTAGGCTATTTGGTGAGAGTGTTGGAAATATTTATTATTTATTTATTTCTTGTGATACTACTAGTGCAGCAGGCACCTTTAAAGGTCCATCCCTCTTCCTAGTTCATCTCCCGAAACTAAAGAAGTTAATTCTTTGGTATAAAGCAGAAGTATTGTTTAACTATTTAGATAGAAAAAGGGATATTTAAAAATTGTGTTTACAACAAAATCTCCTCAACGTGATACTTTTCTCCGGATACCCTCTCAGTTAGTCCATTTTGAATCGATGAATAAGGTACCATGCTGGAGACATTAAAGTTTAGTCTATCGTTTCTATTTTCAAATAAAGCAATCGTTACCATACACGCATTATACACAGGCACAGGGCCCGCGTGGTGAAGTATACCCCGCTGTCTCTGCGTAGGTTTTGTGCACAAGGAATGCCCATAGTCTAGCAACGGAAACATTATAAAGATGATGATGATATTTCATTTGGTTTGGATAAGGACCTCGATGGCGCAACAAGCAAAAAGTTAAGTTACTTTCACAGTGGTTGGACAGTGGATGGGTGATCAAAAATTTATTCTTATATTTTGAGCTCCCAGATGCTTCGGAAGGCACTTTAAGCCGTTGGTCCCAGCTGCATCTGCAGTCGTTAGCTACCACCAATACTCACAGAGCCCGCGTGTTTGGTCAGGAGCTCAGGGCCCAATCTCCCTATTTCACCCACCGGGAAGGCCTGTGCCCCAGCAATAGAGACATTAATAGGCTAATGATGATGATATTTCATGTTGCAGCTACGACATGGCATCATTCGCGTGCCTCGCGCCGGTAACGTACCTAGGCGGGCGCAGTAGTGCGTCCAAACCCCGGTGGCTGGGCTGGGGTGTGGTGCTGATGGGTGCAGGTTCCCTGCTGTTCGCGCTGCCACACTTCCTCGTCGCACCTTACAGGATAGTAGGGGAGGAATCGGACGACCTCTGCGCTAACCAAACCGTGGTAAGTGTTCGAAGTTTTTCATTTTGACCTCTATTTGCTTGACATTATTTAGTCGACAAGAATATCTCTAATATCAGCATAATGAGTGGTAGCATTAGCGCATTCAAACCCCAGTGCCTGGGCTAGGGCGCGGTGACGTGGTATACAGAATACTAGGAGTGAAGTCAGACGACCTCTGCGCTAACCAAACCATTTTTTTCCTTCGACATCATTTAAGTTGACAAGAATGCCTCCAATGTAAGCGTCATGGGCAATCGCAGTAGTGCGTCCAAGCGGTGGCTGGGCTGGCGCGTTGTGCTGATGAGTGAGGGTTCACTACTGTTCGCGCTACCACACTTCCTCGTAGCACCCTATAATATAGTAGGATAGTAGGGGAGAAGCCCGATGACCTATGCGCTAAACAAACCGTGGTAACTCTACCTGCTTGACATCATTTATGTCGACAAGAACGTATCCAAGAAAGTGAGTTTCACCTGTCATAATGTCACGAGTTCGAGTCTGATTAACTCTTGTGATAGATAGTGTAGGAGAATTGATTTTTTTTAAATTATTATTAAAAATGTTATCCCATTTCTTGATTACTTTTTGTTTTAGTCCTAATTTAGCAGTAACATCGACAAAATCTTGTGAAGCCGAACTCTATCATATCAACAATCATCAAAATCATTTATGAAAACGTATAAAGTATATGTAAAGTTTTTTTTATAAACTTTATCGTGTTAAGAACCAGTTAATTTCACCTTTGTAGAAGTGTCCACGAGACAAGTTTTACCTCGTTATCATTTATATCTGCCATAGAAATGTCCGATCAAGCGAATAAGCTTCATAAACGGATGGGCCTGAATGGACGTGTTTTGTGATTTCCTCTATAGAAGCGAGCAAGTTTTTTCATCCTTCGTCTATCGTCCGTAGACTGATTTAATTCATTGACGTCCGGCCTCTATAGAATATGTTGAATGAGAAGTTCTGTCTGTTCGTTTGTTGTAATGTAGGGAGGGAGCGACAAAGCTCGTCCTTCAGTCGGGTTTCAATGATTGCACCTTTTGTTGTTTAATCGCATTACGCATTGAATTACCTTGCATAAGTTTTTTGCATACTACGCGCAGCGAATTACCACCCCAACTGATGTTAAGAGTTAAAAGAGCCCAGTTGTGGATAGCTGATGCGTTCCAGCTATCCTGATCCTCACATTGCAGCTTGAACTGAATTATCTACGTCGCGGCGTCGGTCGTGGAACTTTGAAAGATTATTCACCAATAGAAACGCAATATCACTGAAATAAGTCTTCTTTAATGTGAAGGTATACCCCAGCCGGGCGCTTCAATTTGAATGAAAATTTTGTTATGCCCTAACTACATCTGCTAGATCTTAAAATCTAACTACTCCGTAACAAGTTATGCGTGATCATGCATAAAAAAATGCATCGAATTGAGCACCCCTTCGTTTCTTTTCGTCGCTTGAAAAGTATCTACTTTAAAGACTGTTTTATGTTAAAAGGGTGGCAAACAAGCGTATTTGTATGCCTGATTGTATGATTCTATCCAAAATATCACTCGCACCGTTTCCTACCCTGAAGGGCTTTTAGTCACGGAGCATTTTTGATTCCCGGGACCGAAAAAACTATAATCGTCACAGTCTCGAAAAAACCGGGAATAACGATACTTTTGAAACTTCTTTATAGATGAGTTTCCCCTTATGTATTATAAATAAAATACACAGTAAAAATTCAGTCTCACATTAGTTTTTTAGGGTTCCGTACCTCAAAAGGAAGAACGGAACCCTTATAGGATCACTTTGTTGTCCGTCTGTCCGTCCGTTCGTCTGTCAAGACCCTTTTTCTCAGGAACGCGTGGAGGTATGAAGCTGAAATTTATATCAATTACTCAGGTCTACTGTCCCTTGAAGCTGTGAAAAAATCAAACTTCTAAGCCAACGCAATCAAAAGATACAGCCGTTTATGCCGCAAATTTTCGACACTTGCAAGGGAATCAAAACCTACAGGGTGCTTCCCGTGAACTCAGAATCTTGAAATTTGGTACCAAGCAACGTCTTATAGCATAGATAAAGGAAAAATTACGAAAACCATAAATTTTTAGTTACATCACATAATATATTTTTTTTTAATAATTTTAACCTTACTACCCATTTCCTCATAAACGCGTAGAGGTATTAAATTGAAATTCATACCAAATACTCAGGTCTATAATACCTTTAAGCTGTAACAAAATCAAACTTCTATGTCAACGCAATCAAAAGAAACAGCAATTTAAGCTGCATATTTTGAAACTCGCAAGTACTCGCAAGGGAATCAAAACCTAAAGGGTACTTCCAGTCGACCTAGAATCTTGAAATTTGGCATGAAGCAACGTTTTATAGCACACATAAAGGAAAAATTCCGAAAACCTTAAATTTTTAGTTACATTACAAAATATATATTTTTTAATAAATATAAACTTATTACTTTTTTCCTCATGAACGCGTAGAGCTATCAAGTTGAAATTCATATCAAATACTTAGATCTAATTGCCTTTAACCCGTGAAAAAAAAAATCTAAGTCAACGCAAAAACGCAAAACGCAAAAGTACAACCATATTACTTAAACGATAAAGAGATCTTTGTCTTAAATTTATGCTCCTCCATCTTTCCCCATTGTAATGTTATGAATTTCATTTTGCAATAAAAATACCATAGTTATGACTCGATTGTCGTAATGAACGAACTTTGTAAACCTTGCAGGTTTGTACGGAACCCTCGGTGCGCGAGTCCGACTCGCACTTGGCCGGTTTTTTTAAATTAATGATGATTATAGTCACCAAGAAACCATTTCGTAAATAAGTTATAAAGAATGAGAAATATGTACAGAAAAGCCAAATGTTTACACTTACAAAATAAAGAAAGTGGGAAATACCTACTAGTAATAATTTGTGAAAAATGACGTAAGTCATTGGTTTATTTTAATTTGTATCATTTTTGAAACCAGTTTTTATTACACGGAAAGTATAATATGATACGTAACAGTTTAATTTGGAATCGGAAATTTCAAGCTTGCACAATATTAAATAAAGTCACGCACGCCCTGAAAAACCTCAAAAATATAATATCTAGTAATATAGAATACAAAATCATGTCGGTTTTGTAATATTCTTCAAATAAAAATAAATATTTCAAATTGCACTTATTTTTTGAAAACGACTATGTTACTCTTAACACGTTGACCCAAACCTTATCACCACTTCTACCCGAGGTTTACTATTGAACTATGGAAGAACTAGCACCGTAGATCGGGGAAGCCATTTTAAAGATCTGAAAACAATTGCATCATTAATAGTCAACGCAGTGAGAAAGCGTGATTCTAGTGGTGGAATCACTTTGGAGCGACTGTGTTGGTCTTTCAAGTCACAGGCTCTGGGGTGGCCGCAGGGTTGTAGATTGCTGACGAAAACCTGACAGCCCTTCGTATCAAAATATGGTAGACCCACGTATGCTCAAACACCTAAAAAGCTTATTTGTAAATACAGAAACCCGCAGAATGTAGTGTATGTCCTTGGGAAATCTACAATACTTTGCCTACAAATTCATGCGTTTGCTGGAGATGAGGGGATGCACTATAGACTAATATATTAAATGGAGTACACCAAAGTAGAGATTCCTAATCAAGATAATCCCTTTATCAAGTCCACATCCATACACCTAGACTGAAAAGAAACTCCTGATCAGCCAGAGATACGGAAAAAGTTCGTGATCTCGAACTGTAACAATCCACGAGGCAACGGGACTTGCGTTCTAGAGTGTCTGTCTGTCTGTATAAGAAGAAGTGGTAGGTAAGGACTCAATCACTGCACAGCGTTTCGCATGCTGTAGAAGCACTACCTCTGTCTACTAGAATCATAGTGTAGAGACGACGCTATGCCGCGTTTCATTATTAGTGCCGGAAGAACCACGGAAGGCAAAATAATAACGGCCTACAACTACAACCTCCGAATGGCTATGAAAAACGGCGACAATAGATGATGATACCCTAACGACTTAGACCAACAGCAGACCTCCCTCTGTTCAAATATTCGATCGCTTGTGCAAAACTATTTATCAAAGCTTATGTTCTTATAAAGCGTTCAACCAAAGCAGATACAAAAGAATACAATCTCAATAGGTATGTTGGAAGGCCAAAGGGGAAGATCTTCCTCCGAGCTGGGTGATGGGTGATGGTAGCTCTGGGGTTTGTAATTACAAATGCCTTTAAACAAATGTAATTTCCATATTTAGTAAGAGTCTCGATATTCCCGGTACCCTGTACAGTAAGTCTCGAGTCTCGAAATGTTCAAAATTTCTGCGAGACTCGAAATTTCCAAGACCGGGATTCCCGGGATGAAAGCCAACTCTGATCCAATCCCTTACCCCGTGGAGCCTTGGAACCTTACTCACCGACAGAAACACAACACCACCATAAAGGAAGTGTTATTTTACTGTGATCTTCTGTTAGGTGAAGGTTACTTTCCAAGAAGGGCGCTCCAATTTGAGGGCAAAAACCACTTTGCCCTACCTTTCTTATATGTGAATGTTTATGCGTTTAGATGTGTGCTTTCTACTAACATTCTCACTATGATTTTGACAGTCGAGCCAGCGCTGTCAGGGCGACGTACCTTCAGAGGGCGGCGCATGGGCGGTGGTGATTTTCGTGGCCGCCCAGCTACTGCACGGCGCCGGAGCGACGCCCCTCTTCACGCTTGGCGTAACCTACATCGACGAGAACGTGTCAAAGAAAATGTCTTCCGTTTATCTGGGTGAGTGGTAATGTGTTAGTAACATTCTCTCCATGATTGTCAATTGAGCCAGCGCTGTCAGGGCGACGCACCTTCAGAGAGCGGCGCTTGGGCGGTGGTGATCTTTGTGACCGCCTAGTTGCTGCACGGCGCCGGAGCGACGCCCCTCTTCACGCTCGGCGTCACCTACATCGACGAGAACGTGTCAAACAAAAAGTCCTCCGTTTATCTGGGTGAGTCGTAATGTGTTAGTAACATTCTCTCCATTATTGTCAGTCGAGCCAGTGCTATCAGGGCGACGCACCTTCAGAGGGCGGGGCTTGGGCGGTGGTGATCTTTGTAACCGCCCAATTGCTGCACGGCGCCGGAGCGACGCCCCTCTTCACGCTCGGAGTAACCTACATCGACGAAAACGTGTCAAAGAAAATGTCCTCCGTTTATCTGGGTAAGTGGTAATGTGCTAGTTACATTTTCTCCATGATTATCAGTCGAGCCAGTGCTGTCAGGGCGACGCACCTTCAGAGGGTGGCGCTTGGGCGGTGGTGATCTTCGTGACCGCCCAGTTGCTGCATGGCATCGGTGCGACGCCCCTCTTTACGCTCGGAGTAACCTACATCGACGAGAACGTGATAAAGAAAATGTCCTTCGTTTATCTGGGTGAGTGCTTATTATAATCCCGAAATGTTGGAATATACAGATCAGATATTGTTGTAAAGTAGATACCTACTTTTGTAAATGGTCGTTTTACATTACAACTCGGGATAAAAGAAGACAATTGAAGACTGCGAGAAATTATAGAAGTAATTCCAAGTACCTATAGATTCGAATAAATATAATATTAAAATCACCTAACGTAATCAACTTAACGTTCATTGCACGTTTCAAATTAATTTTCATCATCCAATCATCAATCCAATTGAAACATTTTATTAGAAAAAAATAATATTTATCACCTCAACCATTTTTATTCAGACTATATTTATAATTACAAAACGTCCATTCGAAATCGGGCATAGGTAACAAATATGTGCGTAAACACAATCTGTACCATAATAACTGCAATATTCGTCTAACTAACGAACTTAGAGCACTTCAAACGCAGATCTTGCGTTAAGTATAAGTTCTAAGTAAGTAAAGCACATACCACTAAGAGCGATTGTACGGTATGGGATAATAATGTCCGTCCCGCTGGTAATGTTCCATCATGGCCGCAATAAACAGCGGAAAGCACTCGCGAGCTGCAAACACTGCCCCATTTAATATAAGAAGTATTAAAGTACATACCTGTAATCAGACCCCTCTTACCCAGTGGGCACTTTGGGCAAGTGCCCAGGGCCCCGCAATCGGTAGGGGCCTCCCTCAAATCAAATACAAAGTCCCTAGTTTCTGCCAGATCACTAAATGATAACCAATACTTATTACCAAAAAACTTATATAATTCGATGAAATCAAACCTTAATTACTGACTACAATACCAACTTACTAGCCTTAACATAAGCAAAGCTATTCTACTCTCGCCCAAAGATTAGGATTTCCGACTTCAGCATGCTTAGATAAATTTAATATACATATAATGGTAAACTAAGCACATACACATTTTAAAGAAAAATCATCAGTTGTACACTCATCAGTACGACTCGCTCCATTTCAAATCATAATCCACATGAAAGTCATAAGTAGGGGGCCCCATTATCCTAATATGCCCAGGGCCTCCAATAGGTTAAAGACGGCCTTGCCTGTAATGTTTTATCCTTATTAATACTATGCCTATAGATTTATTTCATCTCCTATTGTTAATATAAAACGTCGTTTTACCATTACAAAATCGGTATTTAAAGTTTAGTGAATCGACTAAGGCTCCGTTGTTCGTTAAATACTTAGTTAAATGTGACTATAGCTAAAAGTTAAAATACCAGAGGCCCAAACACGAATTTTTGGCAACTCCGTAACGTATCGCCTCAGAAACCTTTTACTAAAAAAAACAATAACCAAAATCATTTATTCTGTTTAGGCTGTTTGAAGCACCGGGTTGTAAATCTACGGCGGGAGACCTTGTACTGAGAAGAACCGGCAAGAAACTCAGCTAGGGCTGTTTTTTTCTTCCTGTTTTATTATTTACAGTAGTCAAGTTAAAAATTCCTTTCAGAGATGATTCATGAAGTCACCTTTTATACATAATGTGAAATATATACATTAATTGTTCACCTGCATTTTGATTGCTGTGTCACACAGTATAAATACAGTGTTATTTATATTGGTTGTAACTAGAAATTAACATGTTCAATATCAAACATGACGCATGAACCAGCCATCGCTTTGCTCAACCATATTTTAGGGAACGTAGCGACCCGCCTCATACAACACCACCGAGAAGACTTTTAAGAGAGCATGACTACCCATAACCACCTATACTAACTACAACATAAGTTTGCTTATCTTAGCTCGTACTAGGCTGGGATTGAATCTGCACCCTTCGTTTTTCGGACGAATGCACTATTATGAAACTTCGAATTTCTTCAACTATATTTCTAAAATATTTACCTAGGTAAATATTAAGTATGGCGATTGAGATATTTTGACTTATCTTTTCGTGCGCCGAGATAGACAATAGAAAAGTACATACCCAAATTGTATAAAATAAGGCAAGTTATTAAAATAGCCTGTTGTTTTCCTGTCCTGTTGATTATGGATCTAAATATATTCATTATCTGTGATCTCTGATGCTATCAACGTTAGGAATAGCTCAGTACTATTTCCAACTAACTGACACACGACTAATTTAACGGTGTGCCGTTGTCAATTAGGCTATACCTATGCAATTAATCGGGTTGAGATTCCGGAAATGCATTTGGCGAATCGACTGCATTTCCGGTGCCGGGACTGCTTCGCTACACAGTACCTACTGAATGACACGTAGTGATGTGCGCTCATAGAATACAAATAGTTATTTATTTAGATAGATATATACACATCACAAATTGAGGAGCTCGATGGCGCAAGTGGTAAGCGCGTTCGGCTGCGATCGTTGAAGCTAAGTAACTTTCGCAGTGGTCGGTCATTGGATGGGTGACCAAAAATCTTCTATCTCGAGTTCCTCCGTGCTTCGGAAGGCACGTTAAGCCGTTGGTCCCGGTTGCATCTGCAGTCGTTAGCACCCGCCAATCCGCACTGGACCCGCGTGGTCCAATCTCCCTATTCCATCCATAGGGAAGGCCTGTTCCCCAGCAGTGGGGACATTAATAGGCTGATGATGATGATACACATCACATACCTAGTTAAATCGACAACGTGGAATTGCCAAATATTCCAATCTCGTAAACGTTCAAAGGCCTGTGCCCCAGCAGTGATTCAGATTCAGAAACTAAAGTGAAGATATTAATAGGCTGATGATGATGATGTATACGTGATGACCACACAGCTCCCCCCCTCCCCTCCCAAGGCAGTAGGTATAGCTTTCAAGTTGTCTGTTCTGCTGTCCTGGGCGAGGCCAATTGTAGCTTTAGTGTACTATCACGAGTTTGAAAGGTAATTCAAATATATCAATACACAATATTGATATAACCACGTCCTCAATTCGATTGACGCGACACAGGACAGGGCGGAGGAAGCGTAGCGCTGACTGAATGAATTGGCTTTCTCATCGTCATGTTTATTTGGTTTATTTGTAACTACCGGCAGTGTGTGACAGACAGGGGAGTTATTCCAATGATTAATTGAAAATTATGAATGAATTAAACAAATAACTAATTAGCTAAAGAAAACTTTACCGTTGAACTGAAGTCATTTAGACATAATAAATAATAAATCTTTATTTACGAAAAAAGCCATTGCATAAAAACATGTGTACATTAGAAGCTGCTGAAGTATGAAACTGTGTTGCTTCCCCTAACGCCCACCTCCAGAGAAAAAAAATAGGCATAGAGTACCATAAAAATTATTAAAATAAATTTAAATGTGGATGATAACTGAAAAGCTAGTGTAGCAAGATTAAATTAATATTGACAAGAAAATGTATTGATCCTTTCCAAACAAATTATATACCTACTTCTCATTATAAAAATCAACTAAAATTCTATCGCATTTCTTATTACTGGTAGTTGCAGGAATGATAGGAATAAAAAGCTTTTATGATAATAATAATATTAATGATTATTTTATGATAAAGGTTAAGTTCTATCCGTTCTTTTAACAGTAACGTATGAAACATCCGACCAAATGATAATTATGATGAATTACACAACCGCGGTCCCCGGCTTATGATTACCCACCCCATGAAATAAATTTTCTTTGAATTTCACAGCACATATTACATAATTATATCTGGAAGTCTCAAGGATAGGAAAATCACACAAAGTGATATAAAAAAGTGTCTCGTCTTTCTAGACGTGAATCTATTTTTGTCTTTACTTACATTAAATAAATCTTTTCTTGTCAGAAGTATTGTTACAAAAAACATTGTTTTTTTTTCTATTGAATGTCTAATTTTAAATTGGGTTAGGTTCCATACTTTAACTAGACTATTTAACAAATAGGTAAGTATTGTTGCAAAATTAACCTAATGAATATCCGGATTAAACTTATAAGATTAACAGTTTTCAAATACAAATCTATGCCATATTAAGTAATATATACTTATGGTTATGACTAGACTATGTATGTGTATATAGGATCGCATTATGCAAAAGGATGATCTTTAAAAGTTTTTTTTTCTCACGAAAGAATGGAGTGCCTCACCATGTGAGGTTTTAGCGCGCACTCAGAGCTCCTTACGGGCGTCTCATTGAGTCCTGAAGTGGGCGTAGGACAAGGAAACGTATTCAAGCCGACGCAGGGCGGGTTTTGTGTGCTCCCACAGTATCGAGAGGACTCGCGCCTGTGGCACACGGCCAGCTATGATATACTCGAACGTGCAGCGTACCAAAATGTACCGAAATTAATAAGCAATCAATTTAATGACTGTTGAATGTAACAGAGTGGATGTATCCGTCACTTTCAAAGCATTTAGACCTTTTGTTAGCTTAAAGCATCTAAGATGCTTTATGATTGTTAGCGGACACAGATAGGGCTGCCAACGCTACTATATAATATAGTATCCTACTAAATTAGGGTATCTAATACTATATTTCTAAAAAAATATATTGTAGGCGAAACTATTATATATCGCTCAAAGCAGACTTTTGCCAGTAAAAGCTTTCTTAAAAATAAAAACATAATCATTACGGTATAAAGCAGCAAAAATTTACTCATTTCAAAAATAAAGATAATATTTTAACCACATACTATATTTATTTCCATTTTTTCCCCATCTACTATATTTTAAGAGGTAACCGCATGGAAAATACTATATTTGATAGAAAAAAAAGTTGGTAACCCTTGTTCAGAGTGAATGTATCCGTGATCGGAAGTGATGCATTTAGACCTTTTGTTAGCTTAAAGCATTTAAGATGCTCTCTATGATTGTTAGCGGACACAGAGCGGCTGCTGCTAGTGCGATTAAATTGTCCTTCTTATCGATGCGCTTTTAGACAAAGACGAGCATATCATACCGGTCCGATGTCCGGTGAAACCATGGAGCAAAAATAAAGTGAAACAATGGTCGCTTTAACATATAATTGTACCACTTCAGCTGTGTGCTAATGCTCCTTGTATGACCAAATAGTAAATAGTAACCTCAAGTAGTCATGTATGTATTAATTTGTATTTACTTTAATAGATAGCTTTTTATTGTTGTGGATCGCGGTAGGGTTTAATCGTATTTGAATTTCGTGTGCGAAGCTTTTGTTCTATTTTCAAAGCAAACACTCTTGGCATCCTAGGAGTTTGTCCACTCCTCTATCTATATACTCTGGAGTGGAGCAATTTACCAGAATTAAGTAAAAGTCATCAAGGATTTCGTAAGATTTTTACGCTTTTGTATCCCTGCTAACAGTATCATACAAGTGTTATGGATCGCGAGCTCCAGCTTTTAACTGTGAAAACACGGGGGCCGCTTGGAGAGCTAAGAAATGCGATATGGGACCGAGCCGCGCCGCCCCAGGACCTTTGTTTGTCACCCATCGTATCGCCAGAAACAAAATGAACGTTTTACCGTTTGTTTGCTTGGTACCCACGATTTGCACTCTCGGAGAAATATTTGCAGTGATAACAGGCGCTTTGCGTTTAGTATTGTCGACGTGTGAAATATGAAAATTGCAGTTGAATTTTTTATCAGATCCTTTTAGGATTGCCGAGTAAGAGCAATGGGTTAAGCTTTGATAAAAGGAGTAGGTGTCCCAATTGAAACGCAGTGAATAAGGAAATTGAGAAAAACTTAGTATCTTTGGCCCTAAGATAGATTTTTTATTGTTTAGTAGGTAAAATTTGGCTTATATGTACTTTTTCTGGATATTTATTCTCATTTCTATTGCACAACGATGATTGCGAAAGACACTGGTCCTAATTTGTAACAAAAATCTTAAGATATTTTTATACATATATGGTTAGTTTATTCTGAATATATATATTAGCTGTTTAATCTTGATTTCCCGATTTAAAGAAAACCTTAAAGTTAACCTTCCACACGATACAATTTTACGTCCAATTTCATTAGATTGACAATCGAATTGTGTTGTGTGGGCGGAAATATGAAATTAAAGGTCATTGGATGGTCGGTATCGCCCGATTCTGGATTGCCCAATCAAATTGGGTGGTGTGGACGCTAACTGGCCAATTTTTTAACGTAGTCACTGTGCAAGCGGCGTTCAGAGCGGGGGTTTGCGTTGACTTGTCTTTTGAGAAGAAAGATGGAGCAACATGACGACAATATTATGTCTATTCGATCTGAACGGGAAATAATGGAGGAGATTTTAGATATATCTAAAGACTTGCCATGCCTTTGGGATGTGTCTAACCTATTATATAAAAATAAACAAGCAAGGCATAATTCCTTAGAGATTTTGCTGAATAAGTGGAAAAATGTTAATAAAAATCCTCATCATCATTATCATGATGATGATGTTTTGTCCACAGTCTTCTTTTTATTTTTTACTCATCTACATTTGTAGTTAGAGCCAAGATTAATCCAATTTTTTGCTTCTTGGTAAGAGGCATCCTAATACAAACAAGTCCGTTCAGCAGAGGCAACAAATAAAACTGAAATTCTCGATCTTGTTGTGTATGTGTAGACGGACGACCAGATTGTACCCAATTCAATCGGCAATCAGATTGGCAATTAAATTGTGTCGTGTGGAAGGGGTTTTAAAGGTGTTAACTTGGTTTACCTAAATGAGTGTGATATATAAAATATAAGCAAATAATAGAATGCTAAAACTCAATAATAGTCTGTTTGTTTCTTTTTCAGGTGTGTATTACACCATGGCTGTCGTGGGACCTGCTCTGGGTTACGTGCTGGGGGGGCAGATGCTGAAAATATACACGGACTTCGTTACAGTAGATTCCAATGCGTGAGTACCTGCTTTATTACACAGCCAAATATAGGGTGAGATTGAAAAAATACATGATTTCCTAACACTCGTATCGTAAAGTATTAAAAAAATAATAACGCTGGCACCTCCGTTAATAATGTTATTATTAGGTTGAACGCACAAACCATGCTTGCCACAAAAATGTTATTATTTCTTATATCACTCGATTTTCTGTTTTTTAATTTAAATGTGTAGTTACTTTTCTACTCTTAATTACTTATGACTAATATTTGTGGCACCAAAAGCTAAGTGCTTACCTAACTACTACAACGAAGAACCATAAAAATAGGAAAAAACAAGCGAGTAGATAATAATATGTATATTTCGTCGCTGATAAAAGACAAAAAAGCTTAAACAAACTTATGAAATAACATGAAACAAACAAATGCACAAAAATAACGTCAACTTCAACTCAACTAGAGTCGGTTTCGTTTTCCCGCGCTCTCGCGTCTTGCTCACATTTTTAATATTTCATCTGTGACGATGGCGGTGGCGGGGCTTCATTCAGCCAACTTGCCCTCTCGCTTTCATCTCATTGTACGCACTCCAGGCAACTTTTCAGCCAAATTAATTCCCCGTTTTATACTTTCATGGCTTCTGAAACGAAATATGATTTTCCGCGCTGTGAGTTTTAAACGACCTTTTTGGTATGGCTTCACTTTTAATTTATGGTGCGTTCATAATTTAAACTTTATGATCTTAATTAAACATGGTTAAGTGTGAGAGATAAATTAATCACAAGTAAGAACTATGAACAATGACTATTAGGTGGAGAGGTTTGTACACCGGGCTACAAAGTGCCGCCTACTCAAATGAGAGTAGGTATGTGAAATATCTAAAAACAACCTATTTTTTTACAGCAACAAATGCAAACAGTTTTTTTTATTAAAAAGAGCAAAGAAATAGGTTGAATTAAAAACGTTACAAGTTATCAATAAATGAGTCCTTTCGTTACTGTTATTTTGGAACTATCACAATTAGAACTTGCTAATCCAACCAAATTTTTAAGCAGTATGAATATGAACCTTAATTACAAAGACCGAAATATCGACAAGTACCGTGATACCGCTTACCATCTATCTTATGAATACATGATATCCGTAGAGTTCGTAGGTATCTGCGCGTATGATATTAGGTATTTTAAGGGTTCCATACACGAAAAGGAAAAAGAGGAAACCCTTAGGGTGGCCGCACACGGGCCAAACGCGACAGCCACAAACGCCGCAACGAGAAGCTAGAAGCGGCTACAAAGGTAGCTGAAGCGCGCGACAGCTATTTGTGGCCGTGGTCGACATTGGCCGTCGGTGGCTGCTACTTTTTTTAACACATGCGTGCAGTATCATAATGCACTCTGACGAAGAAGGTTTGGCGGCGTTTTCTATCGGCGCATTAGTAGCCGGTGCGGGCCTCACGAAGCGAGCAAAACGACGTTTTGTAGCGTGTTGCGGCCACCAATGTTTACCTTGTGCGGCGAGTCCATATAAAATGTATGAAAACTACAGGAAATATGCCGGTAGCGGCGTTTTGTGGCTGTGTCCGGTGGCCCGTGTGCGGCGACCCTTATAGGATTACTTAGTTTTTTTTTTATTTTTCTTTGTTGTCCGTCTATCTATCAAGACCCTTTATTTTAGGAACCCAAGGAGGTATCGATTTGAAATTTAAACCATATAGGAACTCAGGTTAACGATCCCTTAAATCTTTACAAAAAAAATCTAAGTTTACGTAAAAAAAGATACTGTCGTTTATGTTACGTTGGGGGCGAGACCGACTCGCACTTGTCCGGTGTTTTTATCAAAATAACAAAACAAATTATTACGCAAAGATATATTTAATTGAAAGTAGTACTCGGTCAAGGATGTTCAGCTGTTATATACAAAAAACAATGTCCCATTAGCAATTCAATCCGAGGAACAAGATGGTATTATTTTAATTCATCAGAACGATCCATAGCCGCTTTATTGTTGTAGGGCTCTCGATCGCTGATTCTGGAGTCGTGCGAAATTTTTCTACTTAAATTTTTATTTCCTTACGCATTATATACTTGGGGCATTTTTTGTTTACTTTAACCACTAGCTGCATAGATTTGAACTTGGCTTAAAATAAATACATTACATAAGTTAACGCATGAAAGGCGACAGCAAAACACACTTCTTGCATGCTAGACATAAGTATGTTTTGTAATGTATGATGTCGTTTGAACCTTTAAAACGGCATAAATAAGGTTATAATACTTGTACGAAAACAACAACGACAATTTTTCAATCCTACACTACACTCCGGAAACTGTACCTACTGTACGGGTTACACTACGCCTTCGAAACTATACTGTACGGGATTTTTTCGATCCCAGTTCTGCCTTTCACAATGATTTCCAACCCCACTTTAGAAGTTGGTTAACTTGGCCGCACCAAATTACCCCAGCCAATTTATATTACGTGTAAGTGGATTCCAGTAACGAAGATAGGTGCTGCGGCTGAAAAATATTTCGCTCCAGCCATTCTCACCTTGCTGGTCTCAACTCATTCCCCAACACTCCGCTGGAGTACTGGAAACCTAACAAAAACACAAAGCCACCAAAAGATGCCATTGTATTACTGTAGTCTTCTGTAAGGTGGAGGTAACGCCCCAGACGGACCTTGAGAAATCCCCACTCATATTTTTTTACCACAAAGTCTGATTAGCCTTTACTATCTTTGGTATGGAGAATCAGTGACTTCTGGCTTAGTAAGACCCCGCATGAAGTACCAAAATACTTAATAGGTACAATGTACATTTTCTACCGGTTTCGGTGTTAAAGCTTGCGCTACTGAACGAGCGGTGGGCAGTGGAGTACTCGAATTGAGTAAACGGCCGTCTGGACAGATTTACATAAGAAAACAGCGGTGCGTCTCTCTTTGCTTACTCCGCATAATTACCCTTAGCAGTAGACGCTAAAACCAAATTGTACAGTTAAATAAGTACACCGATATGAATTGGGTGAATCCTTTTTTTTACAATCTTCTTTATTTAGAGGCTTTTACCTAATAAAGATATGCCAGCCCCATCATATCCTAACATTATAAATTACAAAATTAATATAAAACTACGACGATTCATTGTTGCAAAATATATATATAAGGCTTTTGAATATTTCCGACTGCGGATCTGCCAATATTGTTGCGAATATCCCTACACCGAACACGTTTATATTATGTTTATGCAATGATGACATTGTCTTATTGTTATACTTAGTACCCTCTACAAGGATGTGCTGAACGTCATCGACTGTACCACAAATTTCACAATTATCCTAATTGTGAAATCTAATTTTTTCATAAAGAAACCGTATTTCCTGGATGGATAATGTCCAGTACGAAGTCTTAAAGCTGTTACAATGAACCTTCTGCTGCATTTCAAATTGACAAACCAAGGAATTCTCAGAGGCTGACCCTGGATTGTCTTGTACCAGATTCCTTTTCCCTACTTCGCTCGTCAAAATACTCTTTAAATTTTCCAAAACATTTTATTTTGAATTTTCCCAGAACGTCTGAAAAATATGGTAAAATATTTGAGTGGACTGGACTCCACTTAAAGTTAACATTAGGATGCGGTGGAGTGCCTTTATTTATAAGAAACATGGGTGGTTGTATTTTTGTATGTATTTATTAATAAGTGTAAAATCTTCCTCCCAGGTTAGGTATCACACCCGAGAGCTCCGTGTGGATTGGTGCTTGGTGGGTGGGCTTCATACTGTCAGCATTGCTATGCCTCATAGTGGCGGTGCCGTTACTCGCATTCCCATACGAGTTACCAGGTAATTCCTTTTCTTTATAATATGGTATTCGACAAGTTTTAGATAACGATCTCACGTTATTTACTAATGTTTATGGAGTCCATAAAAAATCCATATTCATTATTCTGTTGTGTATTTCAGTTAAAATAACCTAATCATAAAATCCCTTTTTCAAGTTGCCTCGAAAACGTTTCTCTGGACAGTATGGCGTCTCATTGGTGTGTGACGTCACACGACTGTTATTAAAACGTCAAACGATACAATGTAATGTCACTTTAACCGGAAGTTTACTTGCGTGTGACGTCATTTTAGGCTCCGTCAATCCCAAGCGTTTTGGGTCACGTGACAATAGTTAAGAAAACTATTATCTTTTTCGTGGGTTTTTAGTAAAATTATGAATATTTTTTCTGTAAAAATAGTGAAAATCCCTGCCAATATTCATTCTAAACACAGATACTAACAATTGGTACTTTATTTTTAATACTGTCAAATACCCTATTGACTCTGCAACTTGTTCCTGATTAGTGTTGTTAAATATATTTATCAACTGTTAAATTAAACTCATAAAAAAAATAACACATATTCGATGAATATTTTCCATCAATTCCACCATATAGAATAAAAATATTCATTCAATTCATGTTGGTTTTAACGCGAACGAGTAATATTCATTCTTATAGATAAATGTAACCGACTGTTAAAATTATCGTAATGAATAATTTCAACCACAGACCGAATAATTACAATAAATATAAATATTTCCAACACTCACACCAATCAGCCTAGCCACTGTGTTATGGGATACTAGGATAACGAATAGAATACATATGTTGTACTTATATAAGTATATTTATATAGAAATACATATAAAACATCCATGACTGGAGTACAAATGCTCGTATTCATCACAAAAACATCTGCCCCCACCGGGATTCAAACCACCTCTCGAGTAGGCGACACCATGAAACCCGGCGTGCAAACCACTCGGCCACGGAGGTCGCGACATGAAGCAACAGCGTGGAAGAGTATTCTGCATCTGGCAGAAGTCCGTAACCAAGTAACAAGAACTTTTCTAAAAATATTATGTTTCTAATAGTACAATAAGGACGGTCGTCAAAGCTTCTCTCTTCACAGAGGGTAAGCGAAAATAAACGATGCTTCGATGAGAAAACTAGTAACTAGGCACCTTACATGTTATAGTGGCCATTTTCCATCTTGTGGGCTAAACTATTCTTTATCACCACTTCTTCTTTTAAAAACTGTTGTGGATTTATGAAACTTTTTCCGTGAACAGGGGCCGAAGAAATACGCGCCACGAAAGTGTCCGAAGCTCATGAGGGTGCTGCGTCAAAGTCAGCGGCTTTCAGCGCTCTCCACGAACTGCCCAGGGCGGCTGCTGCGTTACTCAAGAACCCAACATTCTTGTTCCTCAACCTAGCAGGTGCTAGTGAAGGAATGCTCATATCTGGTTTTGCTGCGTTCCTTCCGAAGCTCATGGAAAATCAGTTCTCAGTTAGCGCGTCTCAAGCAGCTTTGCTCTTAGGTGAGTACTAGTCCAAAATGTGAGATATTTTCTTCATCAGATGGATAAATATATATGAGAGAATAATATTTATGGTAACGACGTCGTATTTGTAGCGACAGGATTTTTCTGTAAATGTTAGTATTAAATGCTGATGAGTTTCTTGCTCCCATTCTTCTCAATCATCAGCTAAAAGATTGGTAGGAGAAGATATTGGACGATTCAATTTGAACAAAGTATCATTTCATTTCATTTCAACACAAAAGAATTTAGTTACAAAATTTAATTTAAACACAAATAAAAAGAAACATGTATTATAAATGTCAAATATTATTAAAACATATAAAAATACTTGTGTCTTAGTTCTGTGGCCATTTTCGTCATTGTCCTTTAAGATAATGTCCGTAGGAGCAGGCGTTGGGGAAATGTCACTAACTGAAAACTGCGCATAGTTCCACTCGCTGCTAGCTTCAATCACTGAACTGAAAGCTGCGCATAATTGCACTCGCTGCTAGCTTCGCAGCCGCTATAAAGTTTGGATAATACATACGTACTTTGTGGCACAGGCGTGATCACGGTCCCGGCGGGCGGCGGGGGCACATTCATCGGCGGGTGGCTCGTGAAGCGGTGGCAGCTCACGTGCGCGGGCATCATCAAGCTGTGCATCGCCGCCACCGTGCTGGCTGGAATATTCACATTCAACTTCATCCTCACCTGTGACGACTATCCCTTCGCTGGCGTCACCGTTAAATACAACTCGCCTGCGGTGCCGGGGTGAGACTATTCAACTATTGTTGGTTAGATTAGGTTAGTACTCGGCTGCAGCGGGTGCGGGCCAAGCTTGATTGAGCGCGCTTCAAAGCAAAGTCGTCGTCAAAATATACCTGCACCGACGAGTATCCCTCGAACCGCTCGCCGCTAGCTGAATGCAGGTAATTTAGTAAATTACCTGCGTCGCGGGAGCTTATAAACAGCAAACCAACGCGGCGTTGGTCATTGTCGTGGATATATTGCATTTTTTCTCGTCGTCATCGAATGAAAAAGTTAGGTTAGTACTTTGCATCGCTGCCACCATGCTGGCAGGACCCATCTCACCTTCAGCTTCATACTCACTGTGACGGCTACCCCTGCGCTGACTTTACTCTTGAATACAATTCGTCTGCGGTGCAGGTTGACTACTCTTTGCAAACATTTCGGCAAGCATAGTTAACTAGATACGTGCGCGGGCATCATCAAGCTGTGCATCGCCGCAAACATGATCGTTAAGTTACCACTTTGCTGGCGTCACTGTTAAGTACAACTCGTCTGCGGTGCCTAGGTGAAATGCAATTGCTTTTAGTAAAAATGTTAGGTTACGTGCGTGGCATCATCAAGCTGTGCATCGCTACCACCCTGCTGGCTGGAATATTCACATTCAGCTTCGTGCTCACCTGTGACGACTACCCCTTCGCTGGCGTCATCGATTAATACAACTACCTACTTACTCTCTTACCCTAAAAAGGCCGTTTAATTATGGTCCCAATCTCATTCAACTAAACTACAATACTAACGCACGCACGCACACAGACAAAACAAATATGTACCAGCAAATGAATTCCGCTTACCATTCATTAGGTAAGATAATGTTAAACGGAAATCCCAACAAATCCCATGATCGGCGTGTTGTTTGCATTTTTTTTCACCCCGCCCACTTGATAGCAGTATGCGTGCAATCACTTTTTAGAACAGTTCGTATTCCATATTTATAATTAGTAACTTTATCCATAGAGCGGATCGGTTGACGGCTGCCTGTAACGCGGGTTGTGGGTGCGAGCAGGCTCGGTTCGCTCCGGTATGCGCAGCAGATGGAGTGGTGTACTATTCGGCGTGCCACGCCGGGTGCGCCGCCTGGTCCCACGCCGGCGGCGCCAGGCTCTACCAGCAATGCGCCTGCGTCGCCCCGCCGCAAGGGGCCGCGCTGCCAGCTTACGACGACGGAGGTAAGATACCTGACACACCAACACAACGCACTACACTAACACTGCGCCTGCGTCGCCCCACTGCACGAGGCCGCGCTACCCGCTTACTATGACAGAGGTTATATACCTGACACACCAACACAACGCACTACACCAACACTGCGCCTACGTCGCGTCGCCCCGCCGCAAGGGTCCGCGCTGCCCGCTTACGACGGCGACGGAGGCAATATACTTGAGGATGTAATGTTACTATCCCTACAAATAGCGAGCGGATACGAAGTGAAACACCGTAGAAGAAATACAATTCGTATACTGATAATAATTAACGAGATATTAACAATAATTGTATTGGAAAAGACGGAAGGACGAGTGACGTGGAGTTGTGTGCGAGGTGATTCGTAGCACACTGCGCTGCCGGCCAAGCGACTGGGAGCAGGTTCCAGACCGGTCCGCGTCTCCCGCATACCGCGCCCCGCGACATACGCGTTCGTGACGTAGCCGCTGTTAGTGATGAGGGCACGACGACGCGTAGTGATGTGCCACACTACCCCCCTGGGAGAATCAAAACCCTGCGGAAAAATAATAAGGGAATTTAACATGTCGCCCCGAACGAGTAGTTTTGACAGGTTCGGGCTCAGGGCGATTTGCAGGATTAGTTGGTGGTGCATTCTTCGCTTCCGTCAGAACGAATGCTGGTTTGGTTCTGTCTATTGAAACGGTAACCGGTCCAATTCCCTATTCAATTCAACCGTTACTGTTTTCTCTGTCCGTTTCAAAACTTTATGAGGACCACTATATGGAGCTTCCAAAGAACCACGTAAAGCATCCTTTCTGAGGAATACGTACTGTGCTGTTGGTAAGTCTTGGTGGACAAAAATGGTTTTCTGACCATGTCGCGATGCTGGCACTGGCTTCAAGCGTGACATATGAATGCGCAGATTTGATACAAAGTCTGATGGCTGAGGTAACTGGGAGTTATTAGAATGAAAGAACTCACCAGGAATCCGAAGAGGCTCACCATATACCATCTCAGCAACAGAGCATTGCATGTCGGACTTCCAAGCAGTACGCACTCCAAGGAGTACTGTAGGCAGCACGTCTGTCCATCGTGTAGTCTCGTGGGCCATTATCGCAGCTTTCAACGTCCGGTGAAAACGCTCCACCATTCCGTTCGCCTCTGGGTGGTAAGCTGTGGAATGACGCAGTCGAATTCCGCAAAGATCTGTCAAAGATTTGAACAAATGCGAATTAAATTGACGTCCTTGGTCAGTTGTCACAGTTTCCGGACACCCAAAGCGTGTTACCCAAGCATCATAGAAAGCTTTAGCTACGAATTCAGCTGTAATATTAACAAGTGGTATGATTTCTGGCCATCTGGTAAACCTATCCACAGCCGTAAGACAGTATCTAAAGTCATCGGACGGTGGGAGTGGACCTATTAAGTCAATGTGTATGTGACTAAATCGGTGGGCAGTTAATGGAAAGTCAGCTGTGGGAGAAGAGGTATGTCTCTGTACCTTAGATCTCTGGCATGATATGCAACTTCTTACCCAATCACGACAGTCTTTTTTCACAGAAGACCAAACAAATCGGTCGGTGATGAGTTTTGTAGTGGACTGAACTCCGGGATGGCTCATGTTGTGAGCATTGTCAAAAATAGAACGGCGCAGCTCCTTCGGAATGTATGGACGGGGTCTTGACTGAGAAACGTCACAGTAAAGGGTAATATCCGTACTGGAACTTTCTGAAGTTTCAAGGAAGAAGAATTATTTTCCAAGAGCTCACGAACTTCTGGATCGTTATGCTGCTTCTGTGCTATCGTTTCAAAATCAGGAGGGATAGATATAATCTCTACACGAGACAATGCATCAGCAGTTATATTTTCTTTGCCCGAAATGTGCTTAATGTCGGTGGTAAATTGGGAAATAAAATCCAAATAATTGAACTGCCTTGGGGAACATTTCCGATCTTTTTGTAGGAAAGCATAAGTAATAGGCTTGTGGTCTGTAAAAATTGTAAAGTGACGGCCTTCTACTAAATAGCGAAAATGCTTAACGCTCTCATATATTGCAAGCAATTCACGGTCAATAAGCACTGTACTGCTGCTGAGCTCTGTTTAATTTTTTTGAAAAGAAAGCTAACGGTTGCCGTCTACCTTCTACTAGCTGTTGTACTACCAAGCCTAGTGCTACGTTAGAAGCGTCCGTTACAAGCGCAAGCGGTGCATTATGCAAAGGATGTGCTAAAAGAGCTGACCTGGAAAGACTTGCCTTACACGTCTCAAATGCAGACAGCTGTTCTGGTGTCCAGGTCAACGGTTGAGAACTCTTGTTCTTTCTTCCAGCCAACATATTGTGCAGCGGTGCCTGATCTTCCGCAGCATGAGGAATAAAAGTCCTATAAAAATTTAGCCTTCCTAAGAAACGCAACAGGCCTCCCACAGTCTTGGGTGGGGGAAATTCCTGGATAGCTGCTACTTTCTCCTCCGTAGGCTTTGTACCCGATGCAGAGATAAAGTAACCAAGAAATGTTACCTTAGTTTGGCCAAAACTGCACTTAGCTTCGTTGACGAGGATCCCATATTCTTGTAGGCGGCTAAATACCTTCTCCAGGTGTTCCAGGTGCTCGGAATTATTTCTGAAAAATAGAATTATATCGTCTAAATACGAAAAGCAACAATCTAGATCTCGAAGAACCTCATCAATAAACCGTTGGAACGTTTGAGCTGCGTTCCTCAAACCAAACGACATAAACGGAAACTCGAACATTCCAAAGGGGGTAGTTATAGCCGTTTTGGGTATGTCGTCCTTGAAAACTGGTGTGTGATGATAAGCTTTCACTAGGTCTATTTTTGAAAATATTGTGCAGCCAGCTAACCGATGTGAGTAATCCTGGATGTGAGGTATGGGATACCTATCTGGAATCGTTCTGGCATTGAGAGCTCGGTAATCGCCACATGGTCTCCAGCTGTCTCCCTTCTTGGGTACTAAATGAAGAGCTGAAGCCCAGGGTGAGTCAGAACGTCGAGCTGTACCATCTCGAAGCATCTCCTCAAATTGTTCCTTGGCTATTTTCAAGCGATCTGGCGCCAAACGTCGAGGCCTGCAATAAACTGGGGGTCCAGGCGTAGTGCGAATATAGTGCACCGTATTATGCTTGACTTCGCGAAATACACCTGGTGGCTTTGTCAGCGATGGGAATCTAGCTAATAAAGTGTGGTACTCACTTTTACCCGCGATCGCCTTGATACTATGCAGCTGACAGGGTTTACTCGTAACAGCCGTTGAGAGGGTAGTTAGACTATCTAATAAGCGACCATTCTTACAATCGACCAGCAATCCATAATGAGCGATGAAGTCCGCCCCTATGATAGGCTTGTCCACATCAGCTACTACGAAATTCCACGAAAAGTCGCGGCGAAGTCCCAGGTTAAGACGCATCTTCATCAATCCGTAAGTACGGATGCTGAACCGTTGGCTGCTGTGAGGCTGTAATCAGTAGGTGTTACATATGCACGTAAAAATGTACGAGGCAAAACACAAAGATCAGAGCCAGTGTCGATTAAATATTGAATTTTGCTTTCTTTGTCAGTAACAAATGGGCGACGGGTAGTTGCATGACAGTCGGCTGTCGCCATTACTGACCGTCTCGCGAGTTTTCCTTATAATTGCAAGGATGGATACATTTACTAGCCTTTTCAGCAAATTTGTAGTGGTACCAACACATACCCGACTTCCTAATCTGACCTGGTCCGGCGCTTCTAGATCTACTCCTTGACCTTGACCTACTAGACCGCCTCCGGAACGACTGACGACCATGCCCTGTATCTATATTGCATTTGGGACAACTGGTGGCTGAACTCTGTCTTAATGCGTGACGAAATCATCTCCTCTAACCGTTGAAACATTCATCAATCATCATCATCATCATCAACAGCCTATCATAGTCCACTGCTGGACATAGGCCTCTCCAAATGCACGCCACTCAGATCGATCTTGGGCTACTCGCATCCAGCTCCTGCCAGCCACCTTGCGCAAATCGTCACTCCATCGTGCCTGAGGACGTCCTACACTACGTTTGCCTAGACGCGGTCTCCACTCCAGAACTCGTCTACCCCAACGGTTATCGGTTCTTCGGCAAATATGGCCAGCCCACTGCCACTTCAACTTGCTAATCCGGTGGGCTATGTCGATAACTCTGGTTCTCTGTCGGATTACCTCATTTCTGATGCGATCTTTCAGAGAAACGCCGAGCATAGCCCTTTCCATAGCGCGTTGAGCGACTTTGAACCTGTGGATCAGCCGTGCCGTCAGTGTCCACGTCTCGGCTCCGTATGTCATCACAGGTAGGACGCACTGATTGAAGACTTTCGTCTTTAGGCACTGTGGGATCGACGATGTCAGGACTTGACGTAGCTTCCCAAACGCTGCCCAACCTAGCCGAACTCTTCTATTCACCTCGTCCTCAAAGTTGTTTCTACCTAACTGCAATGTCTGCCCGAGGTATACATATTTTTGAACAACTTCGAGAACGGCACCGTGTATTGCAATCGGTTCCGGTAGAACATGTTCATTGAACATGACCTTGGTTTTATCCAAGTTCATCCGTAGGCCGATGCGTATAGAAGAGTCAGCCAAGTCATTCAGCATCTGTTGTAGGTCCTGCAGGGTTTCTGCCATGATGACGATGTCGTCTGCAAATCGCAAGTGAGAGATGCGTTCGCCATTTATGTTGATGCCATGTCGTTTCCAGTTCAGCGTCTTGAACATATCCTCCATTGCATTAGTGAACAATTTCGGGGAAATAACGTCCCCTTGTCTCACTCCACGATGCAACGGTATGGGACTTGTTTGCTGATTCTGTACTTGGACAGACATGGTGGCGGCTTCGTAGAGACATCTTATCACTTGGATGTATCGCCAGTCGACTTGGCAACGCTGCAGGGACTCCAGGACAGACCAGATTTCAATCGAGTCAAAGGCCTTCTCATAGTCCACAAATGCTAGGCACAGGGGCTGATTGTACTCCTCAGTCTTCTGTATAATCTGCCGCACTGTGTGGATGTGGTCTATGGTGCCGTATCCGCTCCGAAACCCAGCCTGTTCCGGTGGTTGGAAGTCATCAAATCTTCGCGCAAGACGGTTCGCGATCACTCTTGAGAACAGCTTATAGACGTGGCTTAGAAGGGATATGGGTCGATAGTTCTTAAGTAGGGTCTTGTCCCCCTTTTTAAAGAACAAGACGACCACACTCCTGCTCCACGCCTCCGGAGTTCTCCCTTCGAACAGAACAGTGTTAAAAAGCTTTTGGAGCTCCCTCAGTACGGGTTTACCTCCAGCCTTCAAGAGTTCTGTTGTAACACCATCCTCTCCAGGGGCTTTTCTATTTTTAAGCTGTCCAAGAGCAATCTCGATTTCGCCAATACTGACTTCTGGCAGGTCTTCGGTGAAGTGGCGTGTTAATGTGGCTCTAGAATCCTCATTTCCGGGATCAGGTCGAGATGCATGTGATGCGTATAACTGGCTGTAGAAGTCTTCCACTTCCGAAAGGACTGCCGGCTTTGAAGCAACAACTTCCCCACTTGCTGTGGTCAACTTCGTCAGATGGCTTCTTCCAAGAGATTGTACGAACACTTTGGACCCTCGATTCTGCTCGATCGCTCTCTCGATCGAGAGAGTATTGGAGCATCGGAGGTCGTGTCGTACGTGCTTACTGATCTCTTGGTTTAGAGTCCGCTTTGCCGACGAAGTGACGGGTGGGTTTTCACGTCGTTCCTTCATTAGCCCTAAAGTCTCTTCCGAAAGCTTTGACTTCCTGCCCTTACGCTGCGTTGCACATAGTTTCGTACCCTCTTCCCTGAGAATCCGAACCACATTTTCGAGGTTTTGGTTTACGTCTGATGTGGTTTCCACGGCAGCAAATCGGTTCTCCAGATTTGACTGAAACGTTTCAGATCCTGTTATAGATTGGAGCAAAATAGGTTGGAGCCTGGATTTCATTAAACGGACGCGCTCGGCCTTAAAGTTGATATTCAGAGAGCCCCGGACGAGTCGGTGATCACTACCGGTATTGAACCTGTTGATCACGGAGACGTCTCTGAATATGTACCTCTTGTCCGTCATGATGAAATCGATCTCATTTTTAGTCATAGCGTCGGGGCTCTGCCATGTCCACTTCCTTTGGGGCTGTTTCTTGAAAAAAGAGTTCATCAAGAAGAGCCCCTGCTGTTCGAGGAAGTTGACGAGCATTTGCCCCCTATGATTTCTGCTTCCAAATCCATGGGATCCTACTACCGATTCGCTGCAATTCTGTACTCCCACTTTAGCGTTGAAGTCCCCCATAACAACGTTGTAGTGGGTCTTAGTAGTGGAGTGGAGGGCCCTCGATATATCATCGAACATATCCTCCACTTCGTCGTCCGAGTGTGTCGAGGTCGGTGCGTACACTTGCACCACCTTGAGGCTATACCTCTCGGTGAGCTTTATAATAAGGTACACTACCCTGTTCGACACGCTGGACATTTCCACAACGTTATCGGCAAGGGACTTATTTACCAAAAACCCAACGCCACCTTGGGACTGTTGGTCTCCCCCGCGGAAGTACATTAGGTGGCCCGATTCGAGGGTTATGGTATCCTCCCCCTCTCTTCGGACTTCACTTAACCCTAAAATGTGCCACCTAATCTTTCCAAGTTCCACCTCGAGTTGCGCCAGATGCGAGTCAAGCCGTAGCGTGCGTCCGTTGTACGTCGCCAGGGTCAGTCTTTTGTGGTGGCCTCCCGTAGCCCGGAGATTCTTGGCACCCCCCGCCCCACCGTTACCGTGGTCGCCACCGTGACCAGGAATAGCGGGGCTGCCGGGAACTGGGGGCCGTGGCTTGAGTTTCTTGTGCATGAAGGTTTTGCCCATAATCGCCACGCTGGGCAGGCGGGTTGGCGATCGCAGAGCGTAGGTTTATTTACTGATGACGCTGCTGCCCGTCACCAGTGACATTTTCCTCCCCTACCTCATTGGATGGTTATACCGCCATCGGTCGGTTTGCCAGAGCCTCGTCTGTTGGTCAACAGGGTGCACCACGTGAAGGTGAGGTTGGCTTGGGTTCTTGCAGGTGTATTTAGAACCCCTTACACCCCTTGAAACATTCCTTCCATACTATTCGATGAAGTACTAGCAACTTGATTGGGGGTAGGAACAACGTCATAAATTTGATCAGCAAGAACGGCAACCTCATCGAGACAAGTAGCTTTTTGTGACGCAATAATAACTTGAATATGCGTAGGAAGGCGACCTGACCACAAGCTGCGTAAAAAATCGTCACTAACACCATCCCCCGCTAAAGCTCTAAGGTGGCGCAAAAATTGCGACGGCTTGCGATCACCTAACTCCTCATGAGTAAGCAATTGACGCATTCGATGTTCCCGGGAAACCGAAAGACGACTAATAATTTCACGTATTTGCCGGTCGACGGTGGGTTTGTAATTATGTCCCGAACCTCCCGTGCGCTACGTTGATCTAACTCACGAATCACTTGAAAAAATTTCGTACTATCACCTTTTATTCCCATGCACGCGAACTGAGCTTCAACCTGCGCAAACCAAATTTCGGGATCTTCCGGCCAAAATGCGGGCATGCGTAAAGTAACTCGGTCCACCGCACTAGTATCTTCACCGCTCGCGTCCTTAAATTCTTGCGCGACGTCATCGCTATCGCTACGAGGCGGATTCATTATAACAACGCAGGCAAAATAACACGACGCGCAGAAAAATCAAAAGATTAAAAGCGTATTGAATTGGAGTCACCACTGAGGATGTAATGTTACTATCCCTACAAATAGCGAGCGGATACGAAGTGAAACACCGTAGAAGAAATACAATTCGTATACTGATAATAATTAACGAGATATTAACAATAATTGTATTGGAAAAGACGGAAGGACGAGTGACGTGGAGTTGTGTGCGAGGTGATTCGTAGCACACTGCGCTGCCGGCCAAGCGACTGGGAGCAGGTTCCAGACCGGTCCGCGTCTCCCGCATACCGCGCCCCGCGACATACGCGTTCGTGACGTAGCCGCTGTTAGTGATGAGGGCACGACGACGCGTAGTGATGTGCCACATACTTGACACACCAACACACGTACTATACCAACACTGCGCTTGCGTCGCCCCACCGCAAGGGTCCGCGCTGCCCGCTGACGACGGCGACGGAGGTAATATACCTGACACACCAACACACGTACTATACCAACACTGCGCCTGCGTCGCCCCGCCGCAAGGGCCCGCGCTGCCCGCTCACGACGGCGACGGAGGTAATATACCTGACACACCAACGCACGTACTATACCAACACTGCGCCTGCGTCGCCCCGCCGCAAGGGTCCGCGCTGCCCGCTTACGACGGTGACGGAGGTAATATACCTGACACACCAACGCACGTACTATACTAATACTGCGCCTGCGTCGGTACCCGGCCGCAAGGGTCCGCGCTGCCCGCTCACGACGGCGACGGAGGTAATATACCTGACACACCAACACTGCGCCTGCGTCGCCCCGCCGCAAGGGGGCGCGCTGTCCGCTTACGACGACGGAGGTAATATACCTGACACACCAACACAGCGCACTATACCAACACTGCGCCTGCGTCGCCCCGCCGCAAGGGTCCTCGCTGCCCGCTCACGACGGCGACGGAGGTAATATACCTGACACACCAACACAACGCACTATACCAACACTGCGCCTGCGTCGCCCCGCCGCAAGGGACCGCGCTGCCCGCTTACGATGACGGAGGTAATATATCTGCCACACCAACACAAACGCAGTACACCAGGGGTGACCATCCGGTCGATCGATCACACCAAGGATTTAGGATGAAGGAAGAAAAACAACCGCTCTTTTTGAATGCGTGACGAGCATTGATTTATTGAGAAAATATAAGTCTTTATATGACTAATACAATGACGTATTATGATGCATCTTAGATACAGCCACGTGATTAAAGTAGGTTATGCTTGATCTGATCTGCAGATATAAAGATTACTGTACGTCTCTCATACAGATGCGTTAAGAGACATTTAATAATATTAATTCCGTTCAATCACCGTATCGTCTGTACTAGAAATCACTGTGAATGGGACGTAAAATCTTCAAAGATAAAATAATCAATATATTTGTTGCAGTGCGGAATACTTCTATTCCTTATGAAGCCATAAACAACATCTGCAGCTCCGAGTGCCCGTACCTCTGGCTGTTTGTCTTCCTCGCCTTCTGCGTTATGCTATTCACCTTCTTAGCCACAATGCCTGCACTGTCAGCTACATTAAGGTGAGCTTTATTAATTGAAATCACGTTACTGCTGTTGCCACTATTCCTAGACGAAGAAAGAAATTTGGTGACTCATTTCTTTGTCGTACTATTCGCAAGTGGAATTCTTAACCCGCGTCTGGGATCCTTTAAGAGAGTTATGAAGAAGCATTTATGCAGGCCGGCATGGTAAGGATGGTTGCTGTGGCAGTTTATAACTGCTGCACCAGCTATCTTCGTGTCTGGACTATACCAACACTTAACATCATTAGGGTAGATCCATTTGCCCTCCTGGCTATAAAAAATATAAATGAGGATAAAATGCTCGAAGGACCATAATATACACGAGGATTTATTTGAGATCCTTTTTATTGTACTCATCTTTATGCGAAGCGAATGCAAAGCGAATTTGAATCTATCAAGTCAATAATGTGTAGAAATGTAAACTAAAGAGTTTACATTTCTACACATTATTGACTTGATAGATTCAAAAAATTATCCTGCACTTACTCAAAATTCGCTTTGAAAAACATGTCAATCTTTTGGTCCTGGCTGCAACTATAGCACATATTAATTAACTGTGCGCTCTTGTAGGTTAGGTTAGGTCTGCTCGGACAGTCAGACATTGGGGAGACTGCGGCCCTCAGAATGTACGTCGGGTGACCGTTGCAGCAGTATTGTCTTTTTTATTAATGCTTAATAGTCAAGGCGTTTGACCACAATCTCGCATGAGGGAACGCGATGATGAAGTCTAGGATGGTACACGCCTGCCTAGAAGATGCCTGACTCTGGCCTTGAAGATCTCCAGATTATATTGATCCGGAAAAACATACCTCGGTAAGGAGTTCCACTCCCTAGCCGTTCGCATAATGAAAGCGGAAGCAAATCCCTTCGTGCTTAGTGCTAGTAGGAACTTCGACAACATAAGGGTGAAAGCCCACGCCGTGCCTGGTCGTTTGCTTTGTTTGGTTTTTAGTTGCCCTTTTCAGGGCGTTAGGGTTCAGGGGTCCTGCTCATTTCATCCGGCCCAAGGGCTGGCTGAAATAACCAGGGAGGAGTACCACATACCCTCTTCTCACTCCCTCGGTGTTTGAAGGATGCGTAAGGCATTTCCCAGACAAAAAAAAGTTTAGGTTATTGTTTGGTTACCCTTTCCATAGAGAAGTTTAGCGCCCCAATAGTGAAGATATTAATAAGCTCATGAAACCAGGTGTGTCCGCGAAGATCAGCGTTCGTTCGCATTGGGCATCCAGTGGATCAAGGTGCGTCTGTTGGGCACGATTCCCGCACCGCTACTGTTCGGATTCCTCATAGACTTGTCCTGTTCGCTGTGGGACAAGTCTTGCGGGACCACTGGCGCTTGCTTGCTCTACGATAACGTCAACATGAGCAGGTAAAATCATGTCAGTCTCCTAAAAATTGGAATTAACACCTTCCATAAAGGAAAATATTATGTTAGCTTCTTATTGACTGAACACCATTAAAACAGTCTTCGTTTTGTAAAATATATTGTTTTGTTTTGCATTGATGTTAGCTACCGATTATTTTAGTAGTATCCACTTAAAGTTCGTTTCGATTGTTATGAGAGCCTAATAAAAGAAAGAGGTAGGACAGCCTGGTTATAGACAGCTAGCTAAGTGAAGGGAAATCGTAGAGCCTCATCAAAATCTATTGATAAATAAATAAATACTATAAAATATCTACTTCAAGTTATTGTGAGGTAAAGTTTTTGATTACATCTACTCTCAAAACGTTTGAAACGAACCATAGGGAAAAAGTTGAGAAAATACTGTCGATTCTCTCTATGCTTATGTATACACCCTAGCCTAGCTAGATACCGTGACTGAGGCGACGCAAAAAATATCTACTACTTATGGTAGATATACTCGTCACTAGTCGCTACTAGTGTTGCCAGGTCCGATTTGTTTTAAATCGGTATATGAGGTCAAAGAAATCGGGATTTAGGGTTGCAGTTCGGGGCAGTAAACAAAAAGCAAGGGGTTTTTAAGTATGAGTTTAATTTACTGCGTTTTAAACTACTAGTGTAAGTATAGTTTTATATTAATTAACTAAATTTCATGTTTTGATTAATCGGGACATTTAGCGTCCCGATCAGGTACAAATCTGGACGCGTCCCCAGACCCCTGAAAATCGGGACGTCCCGCGAATATCGGGACACCTGGCAACACTAGTCGTAACACACACACATTAACTGCTTTAATACAATCTGACATAAGAGTCAACCACACATGGCGCGAAACATAAGCCGTTTTCTTTGCGTGATTTATTTGGATTGCTCTATCTAAGCAGATAAATAATAAAAGCTCTGTAAATATATTCACAGGTACATGCTGGCTTTAGCACTTGTAGGCAAGTTCTGTTCTGTCCTCTTCTTCTTCCTTGCGTGGTGGTTCTACCGGCCACCAGGAGGCAGGAGCGGCAACGCAGTGGTGCCATCTATCGACCTGGTCGTCTGCAACGAGAAGCCCAACGGGAACCTGGCCAATGGGAACACGATACCCAACGGGAACACGGGGCATGTGGGAAACGGCTATTGTAACGCGGCGCTAGAGTGCAGCGATCATTTGTAAGGAACTGAGAAATTGATTCCTTATCCTATTGTAATTTTAGGCACGAAACTTCTCGATTTAATTCTAAAGATAATTTTACTAGATACAATACACTCGGTCATCAGACAGGATTCGAACCTGCACCATCCGCTATCTGGTCAAAAAACTAAATCTTTACATTTATATAATTGATTCCTTATTATTTAACATGGAAAATTCTTTGAATCGGATTTTACGATAGAGATATTTAGATGCCACTTTTTTTTAAATCCTAATTAAGTCATAGTATATATTAAAATTATTATAATTTTTCAACTTTGAAATTGTTATTGTTTGATTAATTATTTATTTATAGATGGTTAATTTAAAATTTACGAAGTATGGTCGGGGTCATATATATGTAGACGGATACATTTGACATCAACGGCGCCTTTATTACGTTGCAATAAAAGCGATAATGTTAATGCACGTATTTGTATACGTTATTTTCGCATTGACTTCACACCTGTAATATATATATATATATATATATATATATATATATATATATATATATATATATATATATATATATTTATTAAATGCAAATGGTTTCTATTTATGATCTTAATAGCGCTTAATTATTTTTTTATTTGATGCGATTAATGTTGCCATTTTTATGTAGGTCTCTACTATTAGTTTCACCTTTTATCACCTAAATACACTTAACAAAAAACTATTTATTTTTTTACAATTAAGAATACCTACGTTTGCGACCAAATAACATTTCCATTAGAGTCTGTGCGGAAAGAGAAATGGCATGGCGAAAAACGGAACTAACATAAGGATTTTTATTTGGCAATCAAACCCAACAATCTGTAAAACGTCAAAGTTTTGTATTGATACGGATTTGTTTGTTGTTGTGTTTTCTACGGTTTTTAATTTTTTTGTAATTTTGTATTTAATCATATCTAAAACGGGTAAAACTTTACAAATACGGTAGAAAAGCACTACAGCGCCCTCCAATCCAAATCCCATTCTCTTTCCGCACAGACTCTTGTAAACAATTTTAAGTAGATTTTATTATGCTTGTCTACAGCTGCTTGTATGTTTGTTAACAGTTATAGTTTCACAGCATTATTATTATTCATTATTACTAAGACTAGAGATAATACTTAAATTTTTAAACGGTAACCTAATTGCTCAAAAATTTTTAAATATACCTACAGGCGCTCTTGTTTATTAACTTGCATTTGAAAGACACAGAAATACTTTGTCTAGTGCAAGATACGGTTCTTGTATAAAGGCCTGTTCAACTTCCATTCAATATTGTTGCTACCTAATTGTACATTCATAATTATGTACAGTCGTTTGATAGAATGATATTCATATTATCTTTAATTAAATGTGAAATAATTTCAATTGAACATTCCAAATATTTTCTGTTGTAATGTTATCTGTGATGTTGTAGTTTGTAAAATATAATTTAAGGTTACCCTAGTTCGTCCCTGTGCGAACTAATGTAAGATTGTATAAAGTTAAGCATTAAGTTGCTGCGAAAATAATAGATACCGATTTAGTATTTATTAATTTCTTTACCAGCAATTTTGCATAAATTTCTCGGTAATTTATATTTTTTTATTATGACCAATATTGATGCCGCGTAACAACAGCTATACTTGAGATTTAGGTTTTTTTTTTAATATTGGAGAGGTTGAGTATTATAATAATAGGTACTTAAAACTAGATACCAATTAACTGACGCACATTACAAGCGTTGCTCTTCTACATTCACTATTCATTCCAAGAGAGTTTAACAATTTTTCCAAAATTTCTCTGCAGTTTACAAACTGCTTTAAATGGGAATAAACTTATTATTGTAACAAGTACCTATTAAATACAATTATTATATTACTAGCGGCCGCCCGCGACTTCGTCCGCGTTAACTTTTAGTTATTTTTTTTTTCTAACATAAAAGTAGCCTAAGTTACTCCTTATTACATCAGCTACCTGCCAATAAAAGTCCCGTCAGAATCGGTCCAGCCATTTCAAAGATTAGCCGGAACAAACAGACAGGCAGACAAAAATTGTAAAAAATGATATTTTGGTGTATGTACCGTATATGTATTCATATGAATGCGGTTATTTCAATATTACAAACAGACACTCCAATTTTATTTATATGTATAGATATGTAAATTCGCAGCAACTTTATGTCGTGTTCATAATAAATGTATGTAATAGTTGTCAAATAGAGTACAATCATAAAGGCACAATTTTAATAAATAAGTGTACCTACCTATGGAGTTTTTTGATCTTTTGACTTTTGCATCACGTTAGATTAGAGGTACGGTGTGTACAGTTTTTTAATTATTTGTTGAATATTTCAATATACTTTAGATATGTAGAAGTTAAAGGTGTATTTTGGTTGAAGACTGATTGTTTATTACTAATTTAGCGTAATAAAAATATTCTGTGGTTATTTGATAGTAAGAAATATGGGGCATTAAAAATATAGTTATCAATTATACTATTCAAGTAAAAGAAGGTACTCTGGAGGGTTATCTATCCTCCAGAGTATATCCATCCTTTTATAAGGTGACTGAGTTTACCAAATTTCCAGAAAGAACCATGCTAGACATAGGTTTACATGTATGATTTCCTTAGATGCCATCGCTTTAAAACATTAATGTGCCCTGTATTTCTATTCGAGGTTGTAAATTATTTTTGTTTGCCTCAATATATTAGCAATCTGAGAATATCTGGAAAAGAGTTAACCTTAGGCCGCGGCCGCACTACTAATGCGACAGCGACGATACGATGATTTAGTGAAAACAAACTTAAGTGTGTATTCCACCTGAAAAAAATTCAGGCGTCCTAGTTAGGATCCTAAAAAGAAAGCTAATTAGAAGCTTCTGATTACACTTGACTAATTTAGTTACTGATTCAGTCAGATGCAAGCGCGCGGCCAATTCAGACGGACTTTTTCGTAATGACTCCAGTCCTGTCAAAGCAACAAAAAATTGGTCTTTTCGTAGGCCTGGCCATTGGTTGAATAAAAATAAAAGAAAGTAAAAAACGAAAAACGTGGGTGGAAGAATATTATTAATGTTATTTTTATCGTTTTTGTTCCAAAGATACGGCATATCTTTGTAAAAGTCGCTTATCTAACTTCTTTTTTTTTTGCCGCCGACATCCCGCACTCGCGTAATTCGTAATTATAGACACAATAACGTCCTCACGCAGTGATGCCTGCGGTGCCCTAAACCCTATCATACGTTCCTAAATCGCTTTCTAATTAGGATACTAAATTATTTAGGCCCGTTTTACAGAATGACAACTAAGTGTTGCTCTTTACTTGAGTACAGTTAGAAAGTGATGTCGCTTGGTATAGCACATCCCTTTCTAACTGTACTCAAGTTGTCATTCTGTAATACGGGCGTAAGTCAGTCAGAAGCCACACTTCTTCCGATTTAGGATGCTAATTAGGACCCTAGCTTCCTAAATGCTATTTCACTTGACTGAATTAGTTACTGAATGATTTAGAACGTCTGAATTTAGTCAGGTGGAATACGCGCTTTACTTACACATATAAACACAAGTCGGTGGCCGAAGACTTATGCTTGTATACTGTCGCGTCGCAGTCGCTTTAGTAGTGTGGCCGCGGCCTTAGTTGAGCTCTACATACAGTTGAAATTCGTATTCGCGCCTTTATTCCATCAAGTCCAGAAGGCCTATTCGCCAACTGCTTTTGACAGGTGGAAATCATAAGCACCGAGCAATTTAGTGATCACCTGCTGTTTTATTATAACGCCACTAAGATACTTGTTCTGAAAAGCATCGATGGATATGCAATTTTCCCCTTAGTTACACACTGTAAATGTCAAAAAAGTTAGCTTATAGACCGGTAGTCCCCGTAGCCTAAGCACCACAATTTACATTTTAACACGTTTTTATCTCATCTAACTGTCGAAACTCCATAGTAATTTGACAATTGAGCGTGATAAAAACGCGATAAATACCATATCGCGGTGCTCTGTCTCTTTTTACCCGAATATGCACGCAAGCAGCGCGAAGTGCGACGCGCAGACAGGGACTAGTGTTTTAATCTTTCATTGCGTGTCTGTACCGAATAGATCAACTACGAAGTTTGACAAATCAATCGAATACTTTGAAACAAGTCGTCCAAGCGCAGTTTCATCATCAAACTACACTGGTAGGACTTCATGGAATAAAGGCATTGGCATGAGACAGAAAATACAGAAAAAGGATTATGAATACATACCCAGTTCCTCAAACAAAGATTGAGGCTATTTAGTCAATATTCATGTTATGGGTGTCTGTCTGGCTTACGAATTATGCTTCTGTGTGCAAACGGACGATTTATTTTTCAAATCACCGAGTATACGCACCTTAATTTTTTATGCTTGCTAGTTTATTGGAGTTATTGTTCGCCACGACACCAACTAGATGGCGTTTTTCTAAATTAAATTAATATGCTACCTAAAAATTCAAATTGATTATTAATCTTCCTGATAACGTTATTTGTTTAATGATTTCTTTTCATATAATTACTTCCACTATAAAAATATTGAATAATGTCGAAACATTACACTTACCAGCCAGACACCATAAACTACGATAAAAATATAATTTACACTGTAGTTGTATTGAATCATTATAGCATTAAGAAAATTAAATAGATTACTATGATGATCACAAGAATATTATAATTTATTAATACCCAAATGTATTAGAAATTTTCATCATTAATAATAGGGTAATACATAATCACAATTTATGAAGACTAATGAAATTACTTTACCAGTGTTTGATAAAAATTTAAATAGCCAATTGAAGTGATCAATTTTGTAATACTTGTACAATTTTACACAGATTGATTATTATAATAAAAATATTGTAAAAGTGTGGATGTTGTTTTTTTTTACATTATTAAACATAAATTGTCAAATAGCCCTACTGAGCTGTGCTGACAAGGCGAAGTAAGTAAATGAAGTGATTAAATCTATTGGTTCTATAATCATTACTGGCTAAGCATTCTCTCTGGTGGAAAAGCAGCCATAGCCAGGCATATAAACATCTCAGTGTCAGTCGGATTTGTAGATAGGATGCATACAACAATAAAAGTCCATATTAAAAAATATTCAGCAATATAATATTATGTACATTCAGAATTCAAATTGTTATAAATTAACAAAATGCAACAACATTTTTTTACATTAGACGCAAAACTTATAATACTTATAACATTATTTTTGTAACATTAAGATGATATTTCGACCTCGATTGCAGGTTGCAGTACAGTCTGCAAATAGCCCGGCTGCAGACGCATGACTGGCTTACATGCATTGTATGCTGCCTGCAGCCGACATCGGAATAACACCTTTACTTTAGGGCGCGTAGACATGGCAATCCTTTTTACAGGACCGTTATTTGAAGGCGAAACTGTATAAGCGAGTACACACAATACAGTATTCAAGATCCGGGAAAACATACCAATCCATCAATATATGCAGCACTCCGTTTTACTGGTCCGTTTAAACGTATACATTATTAGCGTATGTAGTTGTATGAGCTAGTTCACACACATGACAGTATTCCAGATTCAGTACAAAATCCCAGACATAACGGAAATACAGTACCCCTAGCACGAACCATTATCGAATTCAAATAGTATGCAAATCGAAATGTCAATGTCAAATTTTGTATGGAAACTTAAACAGCAGCGGCACAAAGTACGTATCGAGAACTAAAAATCAGTACACGTTTCAATGACATTTCGGACTCGCAAACGATACGAAATCGATATTGGTTCGTGCTAGGGGTACTGATCAGTTTTATAGCGTCGAAACCACAAAATAGCGAGTCGAAATCGCTCGAGGCTAATCACAGGGCCGGGCTTTGGTGCGTGCAATGTGAATATTACATTCAGTATCCGTTAATTTTTTTATTGCAAATGCTGTGTGAACCGGATGCTGTAAAACGGACGTTCTATGTGTACACGCCCTTAGGGTTAGGACTTACATACAGCAGTTATTTTCATATAATTTACAGTATACAGGGTTAGCAAAGCAACAAAGATAAGGATGCATGCACCATGTGATGGTTGAATAATTTAAGTAAGTTTTCTTATTGATTAAACCAAGTTATCATCCAGAATAAATTGTGACAGATCGCCAGGCTTGTTTGTTCGAACTGATAGGCTTCAACTCATGTGTTTATCTTTCACTCCCAATTTTGAAACTGATTTGTTTAATATAAAAAATGAATCTTTTTTAAACTTTTGCACCTAGTAAAGAGTAATTTTTTACTGCTCCGAGGTATTGTTATACAAGTTTCTTAAATACATAATTACGTTATGATACTGTAATTACCTAAAAATTGTCACTGATGAACAATACAAACAAAAAAGTGTGACAAGTAACTTGACTTATGGTTGTATCTGTATGGTAGGTGACATACAAATTGTTAAATTAAAATGACAATTATAATTTTTATTATTTTTAAAGCATGTAACTGCTTGATGTTTAAATCTAAAGAAAATATAACTAGAAAAAAAATTCCACGCGGACCAGGCAGCAGACGGGACTCGAACCCGCACCCTTCGCAATCCGGGCGAATGCACTGACCAATTATGCTACCGCAACAAAATAACAATTTCAGAAATTCTAAAAATCCTCGAAAGTTACTCAATTTATTAAATGAAATATTTTTATATTCATAAATGCTTTGCCGGCAAACTAAAAACCAAGTAAGTAACCAAAAAGAGTGACCTACAGACTTCATTTTCCTGACTCAAATTATAATTAAACCTATTTTTACTTAGAAGAACTTCACACCCTGATTGTCATCAAACTCCATCAATTCACACTTGCCTTTAATCTCTAATGCCTTTAGAGCCTTCAATAGCACATTCATATCCAAGCCATGAAATTCTGAAAAGAGAAAGTAATATTTTACAATAAGAGTACAAGATCAATCTAAACTATAGAAATTAAATAAACAAATATAACTTGATAATAGTTGCAGCCTAAGAAAGGCTAGAGAAATTTTTACATGGCCATCAGGGCCGCTGTAGCATAATGATCAGTGCATTTGCCCAGACAGCGAAGTGTGCGGGTTCGAGTCCTGTCTGCTACCTAGTCCATGTGGAATTTTATCTAGTAAAAATTTCTACAGATTTAAACAGTTCAAAGCTTAAAAAAAAAAAGAACTTTGATAACAGTTATTTTTTTTCATTATATTTTTAAAACAAGCATTAATATTAAAAAACATCTCATGAGATTACCCTCTTAGGTACCAACTCTTCCCTTATGTAGGCAGTGTTGTGACACTGAAGAAAGTTAAAGCATAATATACTAAAATTCTTAATAAATATCTGAGATACTAACCTTCATCAACTGTGTTTTCACCTTCCCGAAGTTCAAATAGGGTACAAACTGAATTATTTAGGCCATTACTGCAAGCCCAATTGTAGACCATATTGCCCCATTCATCCAAGGAATGCCAGTACACCTCCCATACATTTTTACTTTTATCAGTAGGAGCAGCCCTGCCAGTACGTGCCATATCTTCTAAGATTGTTAGAACAGCTTCTTGTGACAACTTCCTATTTATTGCAGTGTTATTGAACAGTGGATTATTTTGCGTTTCTCTTACGTCTACTGTAGATTGTCTGGTGGCTTTAAGGTATTCAACTATGAGTTGCTGCCATGCTTCTAATTGCTTCGCTCTTGTCTCTGCGTGAGGTTGTATACTGCAAAGAAGAGAATCAGCTGATAATAAAATTGCCTAATTGAAAAAAGAAAAACAAAGGTAGTTTCAAGAGAAAGTGTTTAAGTGAAAAGGAAGTTGATTTAAGAACAAATATTTTTATTTATTTCTCTGACACACTGATACTTACACTAATTAACTTTTTGTATAGATTCTAAATGGTCCTCATAAAGTTTTATTAGTTTTTCCTCTGTTTTCTTTCTTTTCTGTAGTGTTTTGACAGATTTTGGCTCTAAGTCTACCATAGCTAGTCGATATGATATGACTTGATCTCCAACAACAATTGATGAGTAATCTTCAACTTGTTGAAATGAAAAGCTTATCATGATTGAACAGTCTTTAGCAACAGCTGATATCAGCGCTCTGTGTATAGGTTCCAGTTTAGGCAAAACCTGTTTAATATTGTAATGTGGCTCCTCAAGTATAGCTTTTTCCACTTTATCCAAAATACAAGATACATAGTCTAGTTCTTCATTAGTACTGCCAAAGTTTATGTTTTCAGACAGTTTCTGAACATAGAGCAAATTGTGCAAGTAACTATCAATTGACAGGTTACATGTTTCAATGCATTCATTTTTGTTGTTACTAGAACAGACAGGACCTATCACTTTAATAGTATTTCGAATCTTTTTATTACTACTCATTAATATCTCACTAGCAAAATCAACAAATAAGTTAATGGAGTTTTTGAAAATACTGATGTTATTCAAAATGTCATAAAATTCTTTGATAGAAGAATTTTCACCATAGACTAAATCATCATTTCTAAAAAGCTTAAAATTGTTTTGTGGGTTGTTTATAAGATTGGTGAGAGCATATTTCATTCTCTTCTTATCTCCCGAAAACAAATCCAAAGGACAATATTTACTGAGGCAGTTTATTTTATTTTCTTTTAACTTCAACATTTGTTTCAAGCAATAATAACATTTTGAAAATTGTCTTAATCTTGAAGTTATAAAACCTTCTTTAGGCTTAATTTCAATGCTATAGCTGTTATTATCCGGAGTAACAAGTAGTAGATTTGGTGCTTTTATAGCGTATCGACTGAATACAGTTTGAAATTTCCTGTGGATAGGTCTGAACTCATGAAAAGCATGTATCAACTGAGCCAATTCATTTTCTGGTATTTCTATGACCTCATAATGTCCATAGTTAAAATTTAATAATGGATACATCACTTTATTCACAAAATTTATAGAAATTTGTACATTATCAAAATCTTTTGTTATTTTAGATTGTTTGCTGAGACGAAGCACATAATTTGTGGAGATTATCTTTAGAACCAGATGAGCGTTTCCTTCTCCTATATATTTATAGTGCACACAAAGTAAATTCATTTCACAAAAGTAAAATTCTCGAAGTTCTAACGTAATGAGAGGCGAGAATTACTTACGTGAAAAACGGTGGAAAGTTATACTGCCAGGGCCATGTTATCTCAGTCATTGTAAAATATATACAAATAGAAAAAAAATAGTATCTAATAAAACAATTTAAAATGTTTTTTTGTCATTCCTTCCTTATCGGTTTACGAACACGAACCAAAGAGTAGTATTTAAACACGAACTAAAACGTCATTCTGTATGTGTGAGGTGCACAGGCACAGACTAATAGGAGAACGTGTTGTGACGTGTGAACAGAATAAAGGACATTGGGCAAAAATGTATGGGCGCTGAGGGTTCCCAACTTAGGGGTTTTGCCCCCAGATTTAGGGGCTAGAAGGGTTAGACGTGGAGAATCCCTAAACGGGGATCTCGCGGCTTCGCGCTAAGCAGCTTAGAGGGTATTCGCAGGACTTTTTTAGCGGATATTATACCGTAAAGCGCGTAAGAGTTGCGGGGTCCTCGGCGGGCAGCCACTGGGGGGTTCGTAAGACTTGCGGGAGCCAGGTGTGAGGTCCGTTCAGCGGTGTGCCTCTTAAAGGCGCCGTCGTCTGTAAATAGATTTTTTACCTGCGTATTAAAAAAAAAAAAGGGGGCTTAGGGTTAAAACGGACTTTTTTAGGGGCTGCAATTTTTTGGGGATTCTTTTAGGGGCTTTTAACAAAACTTTCAATTAAATCGAAAAACGAAGCGTGTGTTTTCTTTCAGTTTTGTGCGTAGAATGGAACGCACCACGATATGAAATGACTGAGCTCACTGTGTGGCAGGTTGTTTCCTAAGGGTGCGGCCAGAGTGCACTCAGATTCAGACTCAGATTCAAATTTCGAAAACAAGCGCGAGAAATAAACAGTGTAGTCTAAGCAGGTTGCCTGCTTTTTCTCGCGCTTTGTTTTCTGAGTCTGAATCTGAATCAGGAGTGCAATCTGGCCGTACCCTTCGACTACACTGTTTATTTCTCGCGTTTGTTTTCGAAATCTGAATCTGAATCTGAATCTGAGTGCACTCTGGCCGCACCCTAAGGCTGTATGGACTCATTCTTTGCCTTCCACCAATCAAAACAGCTAAATAAGATTTAACAGCCTGTCACCTCATTTTCGTTTGATTTTCGAATAGAAAATGGAATTTCCAATAAAATAATTTACTGTAACTAAATATGTAACGTTTTAATTTATGAGCAACGAAAGAATTTAGGTAATAAGATAAGTAGGTACACATATAAATTTCTATATTAAGGGAATTTTAGGGGAATTTAAAAAATACATAGGGTAAAATTTTGGTAAAGGTTGGTAACACTGTGGGCGCTGCACCCACGTCCGCCACGCCACGGCTTAAACTACATTTATTTGAAAGGTATTATAGTCATGATCATCTGTGCCAAAGCGCATCAAATTCCATCCCGGGGGTCTTTAGTTACTTTAGGTTAAATAGGTACAAGTTCTATAACGAACCGAAGCAGCTACTCAGCTCAAAAAAATACTGAAATATTCCAAGTTGCACAGGGAAAATATAGGTACAGTTTAAAGTACTAATTTTCAAAATAGGTTTTATTCATTCATCCATCCATCGGTTGGTTTCGTCGAACCATACTCGAGCAGTTCGAGGTGGACCCATGGCAAGGCCGGCAAGGAGCCCCGATTTAACGCCAATGATTTTTTATGTGTAGGGTCATATGAAAAGCCTGGTGTACGACCAAATGACGCTGATTGAGAATATCGATGTTCTGAAACAAAAGATTGCGGATGTTCGTTGTTGGCGATGATTGATTTCGATGTTCTGAAGAAACGGCTGACGAAATGAGGCGAAACCTGTGAACTTCAGTCGTTAAAAGTAATTTAAGGAATATATTGAGAATGTGTGTTAGAAATAGAGGCAACCATGTTGAACATGAATTTAGGGAAGATGCATATTTAATATTTATGAAAATTTTATGATTAAAATGTTAAAAAAATATAAAAGAATTGCCACTGCAACGTTTTTATTTTACATAATGTTGTTTTTTAACAATTCTTACGAATTAATTGAAAATACTTGAAACAGAACGTATTTTAAAACACCAATCAGCGTTTAGTGACGTCACTCTTGTTATGACAACTTCTTTGAGGTTATGGTTGTTAAAGTAAATATTATTTTATGGGAATATTCATTGCGTTTTTTTACATTTAATAAAAATGGAAGTTGCGTTTATCAAAGTAGACTCCAGGAATTTAGCAAGAGTTAGTGTTGACATGGTTATAACTTTTTTTGTCCGAAGTGCAGAGTTTTTAAGTGTAGAAATGAAAGGGACTTAATTACTACGGTATGTAAAAATCGTAGTTGTTAAACTTCGTATTTTATTCAGCGGCTTCTACAAATCTTACAGCGATAATGCAATCGGCTATGTCCAAATAAAAAGAGATGGAGAATTATGTACAGTAAAAGGTCGAGTTCTCCGGAGCATAAAGTACGTAAAGGTTATCGTGTTACAGTTATTTTAAACGAAACGCAAAGCTTGGTTCAGTCCTGCCAATGTGAAAATTGTGCCACACATTTTAAACTTTATCTAATTTTCGACGTCATTCTCCAACTGTAAAATTAAAAATATGTTATAGACAGGTTTTGTAAGTATTAGGTAGGTTACTAATGCGTTTTTACGTACAAGCAGATTAATTAAGCATATAACAAGTATATTCGCCGACTTACGTCAAAGTGATCTTCACAGCATCGAATAATGGTCTTTGGAGAATAATTGTCATTTCTCTTCGCAGCTTGAAACCACTTTTTTTCAGTTTTGGGTCAGAAGTTCCAGTCAAAAACAATTTATTTGGAAACTTTGTTGAAGTAGATTGACACAAAACATGAGTCAACACGGCTTTTTTTCGGAATATTAGTGGTATTGTTATGATCACATGATGTTGATGGATAGTCCATTTTAAATTTTTCAAAAAAATATTTCGAAAGTCGAAAAAATATGCAAAAGTATGAAAATTTAAAGCCAGCGACGAACAAGACCAGTGACAGACTCGAGTGACGTCATCGCAACCATAGGTTCGTTTTCGCGCGAAAATTTAAATTGTCAATTTAAAACCGCATTTTTTCCAATAAATCACAATGTTTTAATTTTTTATTATATCTGTGGTTTATTCTACATGGAATTCTTTAAAATTAAAACAAAAATAAAAATATTGCATCTTCCCTATGAATCATTTTATTTAATTTATAAATTTTAGCCATTTATACCTCAAGCTAAAAATGTACCCTACGCTACCTTAACTATCATTTGGTCAAGTTATTGGCTATCTAATAGCTATTGTTATAGCTGTTTGAAAAAGTAAAGGTTGAATAATCGTAAAAAGGACCCTTGGAGCGCAAATCCCAAAAAAATCGATGAAAAGTGAAAAAATTAAGGATTATTTTAAAAAAAAACTTCAAATCTGAATATCTCCTTAACAAAAGTAAGTAAAGTTTCGGACACCATGTCATAGGACCAAATCCATCAGTAATGACCTGAATAATAACCTCCTTTAATATTCAGTACGACTTTCCCTGTAACCCTGTATTATTTACAACATATATCATTTTGAAATAAAAACTAAAAAAATCTGTATGGGCACAATACCCTTTGCCTTCCCAGAATGGGTAAAGAAATTTAAAAAACAACAGTCAAATTGTCATGTCAATCTTGGGGATATGTGTTCTGTCGTAGACAGAGAAGTGTTCTGTGATGTTGATTGACATCACAGAACACATATACCCAAGATTGAGAAATACAGCTTAATAGCATATATTATTAACAAGATGTATCATTTGAAAAAAAAACTGAAGAATTTTCTGTTTGGCCACAATACTCTTTGCCTTCTCAGAATGGGTAAAGAAATTTAAAAAAAACAGTCAAATTGTCATGTCAATCTTGGGTACCTTTATGTATTCTGTGATAATGATGCCAGATTGGGGGGATTCCCCCCAAATTTGGGAGGTTTTTTAAGCGATGGGGGAGTAATTGAGGGAAAAATATTTTTTGGGGGATTAATGGGGGGAAGAAATTTTAGTTTTGGGGGAAACGGTGTTTTTTTAATATTTTCTTTTTTTATGGCATACGAGCAGACGGCTCACCTGATGGTAAGTGATCACCGTGTCGCCCATGGACACTTGCAATACCAGGAGTATCACCAATGCAATGCCGGCCTTTAAGGAAGGAGTACGCTCTTTTTTTGAAGGTTTTTAGGTCGTATTGGTCCGGAAACACTGCTGGCAACAATATATACCACAGTTTTGTCGTACGTGGTAAAAAATTTCGATAAAAACGCACGGTTGTGGATAGCCACGCATCAAGATGACCGGTAGTGGGAGATCAAAGCCATTCGGAGTGGTGGGCATTGAAATCACCAAGGATCACAATTTTAGATTATGGGTTCTGCTGAATAAAAATAAAACCACTTCATAAACTTTTAATCTGTAAAAAGTCGCGATCGACAGTCAATCAATAGTCTCTCTTTCTCATTCTGTATAGAGCATGACAAGGATAGACTGACTGTTGTCAATGGACATGGTAAAATTTTGTATGAGAGATATGCCCTAGCAATGTATAACTATTGTACTGAGTAATATTTAATGCTGAATGGCTGAATATGTATAATTTCAATGAAAAAATTCTCAGGAACTTTGGATAAAGTCAAAATCTTGAAAATTATGAAAATTCCTATTACGTCATTATTGTTATCTTTGATAAAAGATGGTGCCAATTATTTACAGAGCTATCAAATTCGCATTTTCTTAGAATCTTTCCTCCCATTTCTCTGATTAACACTTCACAAAAAGTATTTTTAAAGCAAAAATAAATACAAATAATCTGCTGTCGTGGGCCTGTCAGGAAATCTGTGAAGTTTTATTTCGTTCATTTGCACAAATCAAAGGATTATTTATCATACAGCCTTGTCTACAACCTGAAAAGAAAAAAAAAATCTAATGTTTTAGGCCTTCAGTGATTTGTTGTAATAAAAATTAGGGCCAAATATGTCACAGTTATTAGGAGTTTGGAATTAATATTGTTTATCTCGATATACATTGCACAAATATTTTTTGTTCACATTTATTGTTCATTTATTTTTGTAAAACGGAACATTTTCCTTTTGAAACAGACATGAAGTAAATTTTTATACTTTTATAATTTGATTATTTCACGAAAGTTGTATGAGAATAATAGACACGTTAAAATTAATAAAATAATATTATGATGTTTTGGGCTAGTACGAAATAATTATACACGTTAAGGGCAGTTTCTTAGCTATGTCCTTTAATTTTATTAGGCTTAGAGAATCATACCAGATTCGGGCCCACTAAACTGTGTTCATTCAGTGAGCCCGATTCGGACCCCTAAGTCCAAAGCCCACTTAAAAAAATAATCTTCCTTCAGTCACTCCATACCGTCTCGCTCAGTCGCTCGGTCAGTCAATTCAAGCAAGTCAGTCAGCCGATAAAGGTTTAATTTAAACTGCAAATCGAATGGACAGTATCTATTATCTTTGCTTTGCTAAATCGCAATTTATTCATTTGTCCTTTTAATTGTTTGCACCTTGGTAAATTAATGGCATTATTAAAACAAAGTTATTTAAGAAGATTAACAAAGGAGTGGGAAAGACGACGCGTGCGAACATGTTGATCTACTAATGGATGCTGTTGCAAAAATACATACTTTGTATTTTTAATAAGTATTTTGCATGTTAGGGGGCTTTTCCTTCAAAAACCTGTATTTTGGGGTGATTTCGGGTAAGTTTTGGGGGGAAGGCGAAATGGCTTTCTGGTAACACTGATCCCTACTGTGATGTCAATCAAATCAACCAAGACAATCAATCGCAGAGATTTTTACGAAAATAAATAAAATTCTTTTGATTCCTATAAGAAAAATCCGTATTCAACGGCCAAGAACGAATAGGAATAACATTTTTCACATTTGCTATGAGACTATTTACTTATTAAGTTTAATATATTTCACAAACCATGATTACACTTAATAGAAAATTCAAAAAGGACGTGAATGAAAGACCAAACGGTACAACTGTGGAGTCAGTAAAAAGAATATCAGTGAGAGATAAACTATTAGTGAAGGAAGTACAAGAAATGAATGAGAACCTTCCAACGACGTGCTCTGTCCATTTCGAAGACCCTGACGTGCTAAGTGAATTTATTTTGACTGTATGCCCAGATGAAGGTTATTGGACTGGTGGCAAGTTTAAGTTCAGTGTATTTGTTACCGAAGACTATAATATGGAAGTAAGTACATCATATATCCTACTACCCTAATAAATATAATTAGTACTTATATTTTTAAATGTATAGAAAATATTTACTGATATAAATTCAATTCAACCCAGGTAGTTCATGCTGGTGATGGATTGGCACAGTTACCCTTCATCTGGACCTTTATCTTTTAGGCTTCAATAATTGTCTGAGTTTTTAGTTAATTTTTGCGTGGAAAAAATACATTACAATTTTCGAATCTGTATTTATTTCACACATTGATCACCCCCAACAGTGCTAGTATATTGTGACAGAAGTACCTATTTATACCAGTTTTTATCAGGATCTTTGAATTTTTTAAGGGCAATGCTACTGGCAGCCTAATATATAGTGAAAGAAATTTAATAATCAGCACAACAGAGTAATGGTCAGCTTAATCCTGAATATCAAAGTGTGTTAGTATGTTACCAACCTGATGATGATGGACTGAGTTGATTTTAAATGAAAAGTACAAGTAATCCCATCATGGAAATACTCAATGGGGACTAGTGGGAATACAATTATAAAAAAGTTAAGTTAAGTTTAAGTTAATGTTTCAGCCACCTAAAGTGAAATGTTTGACAAGATTATGGCATCCGAATATTAATGTGGATGGAGATATTTGCCTGTCACTGCTCCGGCAGACTGCCATAGATGAACATGGATGGGCACCAACTCGTAGACTGAAAGATGTTGTGTGGGGATTGAACTCTCTATTTACTGTAAGTATATTTTGCAATTGTAAGTTGATGCACATAATTTACGTCTACACTAAATTTAATTTTGAAAGCTGCAAAGTTAGTATTCAATGCTGCTACCATAATATATGATTTTTTTACTTAAGTAATGTTTTGACTTTTAAGTCTGTCTATGTTGTTCTGATTCTTATGGTTTTACTTTACTGTAACCTAAAGAAACACTCACCCAACTTTTGGCTTAATAATGCTTGAATCATTGAGTGTAGCCATCATCATCATCAGCCTATTAATGTCCCCACTGCTGGGGCACAGGCCTTCCCTTTGGATGGAATAGGGAGATTGGGCCATGACCCACCACGCGGGCCCAGTGCGGATTGGCTATATAAGATTGCTATATAAGTTTTTAAGTTCATTTTAAATTTCGTCATACTGTTTAGGCTACTTTTTTATAATTGATTTCATTACTGGTTTATTTTTTTCCAGGATCTCTTAAATTTTGAGGACCCATTAAACATAGAAGCAGCTGAAATGTACAAAAAGAATAAAACTGAATTTCAAACAAAAGTTCAAGAGTATATTGCGGTTACCAAAGGCAAGAGATGAAAATTACTCAACCCGATTAAGCCTCAACAAATCTCATTAGAAAACTTAAAATATTCGTCACTTGTCAACAATGTTATATCAAACCATTTAGCTTTTGATTTTTGTTTTAGTCAACTGTCTAAGAAATTATATTACTCATTTTCATTCTTGGTGCATGCAATGCTGCAGAAAAACCGTGCGGCGGAATAATATTGCGCCAAAGTTGTGCAGTATGAAAAGTCATAGAAGTATGTGCACGGCTGCAATAGTACACCTCGAGACTTCTCCATATTTTTTTTTTGCAGTTTTTCTGCCGCAGCTGTGCATGCGCAATTTTACTTTATAATATTGGAAACGCAAAACATTTTAAAAAAAATATGAAATGTATTCAAAAATAAGACTATTAACTCAATTGTGAATTGACAAATCATAATACCAGCAAACAAATTTTTTCGCATTTTTGATAAATAACGTAAAAAAGGTCAATGCTAAATGGTTTTAATATCATAATTATGTTATGTGTTAATACTCCACAGTGCTGATATCTATTTATATTAAATTTTTGATCAGTTGCATCTGGCATGAATTTTTAGTATGTAAGTTATCATACAGATTTATTAGGATAGCAATATCACATAAAACTTAATTTACTTCTCAATAAAGTACACATTTCATTGAAAGAATTCAAAAATGCCCTGCAAGGGTTTCACACTACACCGCGCTATAAAATGTGTGTCTTTTTGTGTAGTAAATAAAGTTTCATTTATATCGCTATCTTAAAAACTGGGCGCTGCTTCGCGTCTCGGTGTAAACTGGCCTTTGTTTTGCTCGTGAAATAGTAAAAGTAGTAATAAAAGTGACACTGGCTGTTGTACTTTATATTCTACATTCTTCTTTATTCTGTTAAATTTATTTGAACCGACAGCCACAGGTTAAGTTACCCAAAACTATCAAATGTCTCAAACTGTCTTTTGCTTTTGTCTCTTTTTAATATTTTATTGTCACCCGATGAGACGCAACCACAATCACCAAAAAAATGGTGTAAACTGGCCTTTGTTTTGCTCTTGAAATAGTAAAAGTAGTAATACAAGTGACACTGACTATTGTACTTTATATTCTATGTTCTTCTTTATTTTGTATTTTGATAAGTTTATTTGCCAGTCAGCCACAGGTTATGTTACCCAAAACTATCAAATATCTCGGACTGTCTTTTAGACTTTGTCTTGCTTTTGTCTCTTTTTAATCTGCTATTGCCATTGCATTGCATTGCCAGCTAATGTTATTGTTACCCAATGAGACGCAGCCATAATCACCAAAAAAATATTTGTTTTTCATGTAGATTCATAACTGATTGGGAAAATGTATCGGGTACCTTCATCTGTTGCTGTCTGTACACAGGTGATACTGGGTGATATAAATCGATTTTATGATTAATATTATTTTATGTAGGTAGTGATTTACAATTCTTACGCATGTACTCAGACACGTCGATTAACTATTCGGTTTGATTAAAGTTATTGCTATCACTGTCTTTGCTATGATAATGAAATGAAATGAAATGAAATTATACCTTATTCAAGTACGGCAAGACCAGAGTAAATATTTTTTTTATCTCGCGTCTCTGAATACATGTTGTTACTGCAGTTGTGAAATCAAACTTCAATTAATTATTGCTATTGTAATCGCAAAACTGTGTCAGCACTGTCTAATCAAACTTAAAAGTTAACCGAAATTTTAAGGTACTGATGATAAGATAAACTACTTGTACAGTAGTAAGTACTCCACTGGGGTAGGGGAATGGGTAGGGTAACGACGCGAGTTATATTTTTTAAATTGAAACTTCTTTGGTCACGCTTGACTTGGGGGGTAAACTGGCGAATGCGTTAAGAATTACGCGTTACGATAAGTATCACCGATGACTCATCGGTAAACAATGTACAATACCCGTCACAAAATACATGAATCTAGTGCTAACTTACATGTTTACTTGATGTTAACTATTGAAATTGGTTTTTTAATTGATTACACGTCGTAATTTATTAATTGTCATAATCAAATAACATTTCAGTATTTTACTATTAATTCTACGCCTTGAAATCCGCCGTATGTTTATTTTTTTCTATCAACAACTCCTCAGGTTAAGTTTGGTAAATTTGAAATTGGGAAATTTGACTGTTTTGTTTAACAATGAAAACATAAAATAAATTTATATATTTTAGTCCAGGCAACGAATGCTCAAAAACAGGTATAGAGGGAAATGCTTGGAACACAATTTTTGACTTCGTAACTTTGTTAGGACTAGTTAGGAGGTAAACATATCGCCAAAATATAAAAGTCCCCGCCCGTAGCCCTTAAGCCGGGAAGGGGGGGGGGGGATTGCAGGTCCCATTTTTAGGTTTTTCGCATATATCTCGGAAAATATGCATCCTAGCGACATGAGACTTTGACAAAAGTGAAGACTGATAAATTTGCTACAAGTCTTATTCAGTCAAGTTTTATGATATCTTGTATAGTTTTCGAGATATCCGCTCTTGAAAGTCTGTAATTATGGAAAAAAAAAATTGCCACTACTTCCTGGGAATGCTGTTTTACTGCTCCCTCGGTGGGAGGAAGACAAGAGATATCAGGCTTGATGGTGGCCACTGATTTTCACCTGCCTTTTGTACTTGAGCGGTGGTGGAGAAAGGGTGTGAAAAGACCGCTGCTGCTTTCTGGATTTCTGGTGACTTGATAATGTCTCTGGTCTCTGGGAAGGGAGGAAATTTCTCAAACCAATCGGTGAGCTTGGCAATGTCAGCTCCAGTCTTGTTTTGGCGGGCTTGTCCGAAATCTGCATGCTGCTCACTGGTGGAACCAACAACCCTACGGCCGGCATTGTTGAAGAGTTATCCGGTCAAATAGAGCAAAAATATGAAGCAAATTTTTTTTCCCATAATTACAGACTTAAGAGCGGATATCTCGAAAACTATACAAGATATCAAAAAACTTGACTGAATAAGACTTGTAGCAAATATAATCAGCTTTCACTTTTGTCAAAGTCTCATGTCGCTAGGATGCATAGTTTCCGAGATATATGGGAAAACCCTAAAAATGTGACCTTCACCCCCCCCCCCCCCTCTTCCCCCCGGCTTAAGGGCTACGGGCGGGGACTTTTGATATGTTTACCTCCTAACTAGTCCTAACAAAGTTACGAAGTCAAAAATTGTGTTCTAAGCATTTCCCTCTATACCTTTTCGTTGCCTGGACTATTTGTAGAAAATTAATATATGTGTATGTGCATGTATATATTGTGTGTGTACACACACACACACGCACATACACACACATACACACACGCACACACACACACACACACACATCTGATTACAGATTGACCTAAAGAAGTTTCACTTCAGTCGTGTGGTCATAAGCACACTTTTGTTTTTGTATGGCAAGCGTCTATGGGCTCAGCTCATGCTACGTTTTTTATCGAGACTAACTGTCAAACTCCATAGTAATTTGACAATTGAGCGTGATGAAAACGAACTTATAGCGCTGTGCTCATGCTAGGGGGGCTGGTGGCCGCTTACCATCGGCATTTTGATTAATTTTACACACGAAAACATCTCCAATGTGCAAGTCATCTTAGTTGTAATTTTTTACTGATTTTATACTTGCTTAAAAATAATTGTCTTGTCATTCACAAAACTGTGTCAACTTTCATAACCTCTACTATTATCTTTATTATCATAAAGTAGGTACTGGTACCTATCATCTATCTTTATAATTCTGTTTTCTTGGCCAAGTCTATTTTATTGTTATATTTTTAGTACTTACGCTGTTAATATTTTAATCTGTGAAGAAATTGCAATAATGAAATGAATTTTATTGTAGCAACAAGTAAGTTTATTGATGTAATAGTTAATTTTACAAAAAAAACATAAATATAGTTTTTTCACTAATACCATTTTTAATAGCAACCACAGAGCAAAATGAAATGCGCTTCGTTCAACAATACTATATACAGGGTGTTACAAAAATACAAATAAAGCTTGAAGGGCGTTTAAGTACATCATATAAGGAGTCTTCTCTAATTTTCTTAAAATATTTGCATGAAGTTTTAACTTTTTATAAAAATAGTTATTTTTAATGATTAATAAAAATATCGATCATTTTAGACACGTCACTAGTTCGAGGATCATTAAAAAAAAACTGTTTTAATAAAAAGTTAAAACTTCATCGAATTTTAAGAAAATTAGAGAATTATTATATGATGATGTACTTTAACGCCCTTTAAGCTTTATTTGTATTTTTGTAACACCCTGTATAACGGGTTGCATACAAAATCAAAGCTATAAACTGTCCGCGTGTGTATATACTTTTAAAGCTACATTCGATTACTAATGAATAAAAACACGTTTAAAAAAAAATAAGTTGAACCTAGCAACAACCATATTGCAAAGGAATAAAGTCACAAATCTACAAAATGTTATTCCGTACATACGACCTATACCTTGAAAAAGGAACAAGGCAATAAATGATATCTGATACTTGGAAAGGAAACGACAACGGGAAAATAGTCGATACCCTGTCTGAACGTCACGCTTCGCGCACTTGCGTTGCGCAGTCGGGTAAAAGATATTGAATGAAAAAATATTGATACCTTATGAAGTTTATGACCCACAAAATAATGTATTTTTACCAGTCATTGGTACTTACGTCATCTATAGTATTGTTGATCGAAGGAAATGCGACATGAAAACTAAATCACAAAAATTTGAAGCCACCCTACGTGAGCAGCGTTTTGATTGAACACCAGTGTGACGTTACGGTCGGATGAAAATTCTGATGAAATTATGTATCGCCGTACGTCGAGTCGTCAACGTTTGGGGGCGTGACACGCTTATGTAGTATTTCTGCATAAGCTTGATCATAACACGCAGTCTTTATTGGAGGAGCTCTGTGATATTACCAGCTCCCCTAGCATAAGCACCGCGATATTATATATAACGCGTTTTTATTACGCTTACTGTCAAATTACTATGGAGTTTGACAGACGCGATAAAAAACGTGATAATTGTGGTAATCTTGCTACGGGGACTGAACTTTTCCCTTTTTGAATCAAAATGGGAAAATATTAACACTTTTTAATTTTACTTTTCGTATAAAACTGTTGGCAAATTGTTGAAATTTTATAGGAGGATAAAGACGGCTATATATGCTTATGTACCTGTTTTAAAGTGTAGACTTGCCAAAGAAGAAAATGGATGAAATAAAACACTTTAATTATAAATCAATGCCCTTTATTAAAGTCATTAATACTGGAGCATCATCAAGTATACCAATCAATATAAATAATAAAATGTAAAAATTTGTATACAATAATAAATAGCTTAACAATAACAAAAGTTTCGTAACAAGGTTTTTTTTGATTCATTATGACTAGAAGTTTCGTTGTGATTTGAAAATGTTACAATATACATGAAAAATATGGTTGGGTGAAGAAAGAGATGTTTACAGTGCTCGGAACCATAATCGAATCACAGATGCTTTCGAGAGGTTACATGAAATGAAGGGTAATGTTCGATGTAAATTTATTTTAAAAAGATAAGCATAATATCGTTCTTTGGGACAGGCGAAAGAAAAGACATACAGCCAATTCGAACGCAGAATGTTCTCATACTTTTTTGTAATTTTTTTATGGTAATGTACATTTTAACGTTGGGATATCAATGTTATTGGCTAGAGAAGTTGGTGAGCAGTTCTTCTTGGATGCTATTGGAGCGAGTGATGTGCCTCGGGGACACTTTCCCGAACGCTGCAGATACCGTGTCCGCTTGTGACGCCTCGCGGGATTTCTTTTCGTGATACTCTTCGGAGAATTCCTGGCAAAATCACTCAATGTCAGTCAACTATGTATCGCTAAAATTGGTAGGACAAATTTTGGGTGTAAAATCTTTTTTTATATAGATGTACGAAGTATCCACATAGAGTTACTACAAAATGACAAATTTTATCACACAATCGATTTTGGATCGTAAATCAAACTTGATAAAGCTCAAAATCTGTTGAGAAAATTGGATAGTTTTGGGGCTTGCTATCTATCATCATCATCGAGATAATAATATTCTCTTCCACTGCTGTACTATGATTGCGGTCAAATATAAATGAGAACATTGCCGTACTGCTCTTCCGTGTTTCGGAAGGTATGTTGAGCCGTTTGGTACAACGGCTGCTTAAGCAGTCTTTAGCTCCCACCAATTCGCAATGGGCCCGCGTGGTGGATCATTTCATGGCCTAGTATCCCTATTCCTTAACTAAGTAAGGCCTGTGCCCCAGGATTGGATATATTAATTGGCTGATGCCGATGATCCTCAAAACTAGACTTGAACTAGCGTTACAGACATCAGATTGAGCATTTTGAATTTGTTAAACTTCAAATACTAACAGCCTCACTCGGAGCAGTCAATTGATTTGTTCTCATTGGAATAGTGGCCCCAGTAATGGCGCAATTATACTTGGTCGTTAGCCCGAATACAAGGGCTATGGAATGCAGATAAACCGCTAGGTGTATGAACGGAGTCGAGTACGACCGTATTCAGGCAGTTTTTATTTCGGTTACCCTACACTGGTGTCGATTCTAGCATGATTCTCTAAACCTAAACTTAAATTTGACAGCAGTATATCTTTGTCATTCTCTATACAGAATGAAAGGGAGAGACTGATGTTAAATTTAGTTTTAAGCTTAGAGAATCACGCCAGATTCGACACCACTGTCTTCCAGCCCATGCTCGAGTAAAAACAAAACTGTATTTCGTGCACCCGAATATGGGCTATCGACCAAATGTAAATGCGCCATAAGTTGGTAACAAAGTAGGCCAGCGCGCGTGGTCCTCTGAAAGGGTAAGGTGGGATAAGGGTGAATTGACGTTTCTAAATACCTTGAGCCTGTTGCCTACGAATAGGTACAGACCTCTCGAACGGCACTTTCTGGAGGAAACGAAACGCTTCCAGCCACTAAACCCAAACTTTATATACTAATTACCTTGTGCGTATTGCCGAGGAATACAGCCCTCTCCCTCTTCCTGATCACGAAGTCGCTTTGCGTGAGCCTGCGGTGATCGTAGCACTGCTCCGCTGAAGGCCTCTTCAAAGGCACCTTCTTAGGGAAACGAGTCGCTTCCTGCTACTAAACTTAAACTTTATATACTAATTACCTTGTGCGTATTGCCGAGGAATACAGCCCTCTCCCTCTTCCTGATTAGGAAGTCGCTTTGCGTGAGCCTGCGGTGATCATAGCAGTCCTCGGCTGAAGGTGTCTTTAAAGCTACCTTCTTCAGGTAACGAGTCGCTTCCAGCCACTAAACTTAAACTTTATATACTAATTACCTTGTGCGTATTGCCGAGGAATACAACCATCTCCCTCTTCCTGATCACGAAGTCGCTTTGCGTGAGCCTGCGGTGATCGTAGCACTGCTCGGCTGAAGGTGTCTTTAAAGGCACCTTCTTGAGGAAAGGAGTCGCTTTCAGCCACTAAACTTAAACTTTATATACTAATTACCTTGTGCGTATTGCCAAGGAATACAGCCCTCTCCCTCTTCCTGATTAGGAAGTCGCTTTGCGTGAGCTAGCGGTGATCGTAGCACTCCTCGGCTGAAGGTTTCTTCAAAGGCACCTTCTTGAGGTAACGAGTCGCTTCATGCTACTAAACTTAAACATACTAAGTACCTTGAGCGTATTGCCAAGGAATACAGCCCTCTCCCTCTTCCTGATTAGGAAGTCGCTTTGCGTGAGCTAGCGGTGATCGTAGCACTCCTCGGCTGAAGGCCTCTTCAAAGGCACCTTCTTAGGGAAACGATTCGCTTCCTGCTACTAAACCAAAACTTTATATAGTAGTTACCTTGAGCCTATTGCCGAGGAATACGGCCCTTTCCCTCTTTCTGATCATGAAGTCGCTATGCGTGAGCCAGCGGTGATCGTAGCACTCCTCGGCTGAAGGTCTCTTCAGTGGGACTTTCTTGAATAGGAACATCAGGAAACGGGTCGCTTCCTGCAATAAAGTCAATAGCTTAGCTTAGCCGTATATTAATGATGATGATGTACATTACCTAAGGAAACGAGGACATAGTCGCGAGTAAGAGCTATATAATATAGTAGAAAAATAGCTATAGTAATTGTTTATTAATAATTGAGGAGCTGGCGAACACAACGGTATAATTACATAAAATTATATTTTAAAAGAGCTGTATAAAACTGAATGACATACCTCCAGTGAGCTTTTGGCATGGTTTCTAATTTATAAATTTAGTAATTTTAACACTGTTTTAGGCGGTTTTGATTGGAAATTATTTGAGATTCAAATTCAAAGGGCCCGAAACTTTCGGACTGTAAAAAAAGTAGTTTGACCAGATGCGTTGGTAATTATACCGTTTTGATCGCCAGCTCCTAAATTATTGTTAATATGACTGAGCCAACGAGTGCAGTGCGGCGAAGCCAAACAGACCTTGCCGAGTTTCTTGCCAGTAATTTTCAGTGTAAGATCTTTCGCGTGGATTTACAAACTGACAATAGCGTACCTATCTTTTTGAAGTGAAACGTCTTACTCACGCTTGAATTGGGGGGTAAGCTGGCGAATACGTTACGTGTTACGAAAAGTGTGTTCGGGCGAGGCGAACGGGAGTTGAGTGGGGGGTTAATATAAGCAAGAGAAAGCAGTGCGCGCGCACATTTTCTTTCTCTTATAGCTAGTAAATGAAATATGTATATGTACATACATGTATATATTGTACACACACATATATATATATATACATATATATATATGTGTGTGTACATATATACATATATATATATATATATATATATACATATGGAGCTAAACTTCAGTCGTGTGGTCATAAGAACACTCGTTTTTTTAAAGAGTTTGTAAAAGCCCTGATTTGATTTTTGTCTGTTTAATTTTTGAATTGAGTTGTTATATAATTAAATTCGCCATTATCGTGCACCATCGTTGTGAACTACGTATTAATGTTATGTGTACGTACCTGCGTGATCTCCTTGTACAAGTGCTCGAATCGGTACCGCACGAAGGAGATGTTCTGCTTCGTCTCCTGGTCGTCTTGGCCTCGGAACGGCGACACACCAGACAGCATAATGTATGCGAGAACACCCACGGACCAGATGTCCGTTTGAGGGTAAGCCGGCTCGTCGTTTATTATTTCAGGTGCTGAAAATTTGTATTGAATAAAGATATCTTTACACGCAAAACGGGCGCCACATAGACGTAAGGGTAAGTGATTAAAGCTTTCTAATGTCATCACACTAATATTATAAAGGCGAAAGTTTGTGTGTGTGTGTGTGTGTATGTTTGTTACTTCTTCAAGTCTAAATAGCTGGAGCGATTTTAATAAAATTTGGTATGGAGTTAGCGGACACCCTGGATTAACACATAGGCTACGTTTTACTGCGGGAAAATATCCCTAATAAACCGCGGGTAGCCCGCGGGGCACAGCTAGTACAAAATAATTTTAACGCAGCGTCTTTGAATGTCCAATTATTACTAAAGCGAATTGTGGTCAAGCACCACAATTAAAGCATATCACTTATTAACCGCGAGTGCCGTATCTTCCCTTTTCGTGTTTTAATCTTAGCATTTTGTAGATTCCTAACTTTATTCCTTTGGAATATGGTTATCAGGTTCAACATAAAACGTTTGTCTTTGTTCTTTAGGGATCGAATGTAGCTTTCGCTAGTATACAATAAAATGTTTTTTTTTCATGTTAAAAGGGTGGCAAACAAGCTTTCGGCCCGCCATATGGTAAGCGGCCACCACAGCCTATAGACGCTTGCGATACAAAAACTATCACTGGCAGCTTTGCCTTCCCTGACCCAATAGGGTATTTGACAGTATTAAAAATAAAGTCCCAATTATTAGCATCTGTGTTAAGAATGAATATTGGGTGTGGGTTTTTACTATTATATACAAAAAACAATATTCATAATTTTACTAAAACCCACGAAAAAGATAACAGTTTTCTTATCTATTGTCACGTGACCCAAAACGCTTGGAATTGGCGGAGCCTAAAATGACGTCACACGCAAGTAAACTTCCGGTTAAAGTGACATTACATTGTATCATTTGACGTTTTAATAACAATCGTGTGACGTCACAGACTAGTAAGACGCCATATTGTCCAGAGAAACGTTTTCGCGGCAACTTGAAAATGGAGTTTTTGATTTGGTTATTTTTACTGAAATACACAATAGAATGATGAATATCTACTTTTTACGGACTCCATAAACATTAGTCAATAACTTGAGATCGTTTTCTAAAACTTGTCAAATACCCCATTCCCTACTCCATAGGCCTTGGAACCTTACTCACCGAGAGCAACACAACACCACCAAAAAGTAGTGTTATTCCTTATGTTAAAGCCTTATGTAAGTTGGAAGTTAGCCTCCAGACTAGCGCTTCATTTCGAGCGGAAATTCCGCTATGCGCTACCAAACTTGCATGTAAGCAAAAACTAATGCAGATTTTAAGATGAAATAGGAAACGGTGAGTAGTGTTGCAAAAAAGTTGGCTGGTTTGTATATTTCATTATGGGGAATAATTTACCTAATCAATACCAAATATGGCGTTGTGATGTAGTTAAAATTGTTATCTATACTATTATGATAATATTGTAATGCCTGTCTTACACAAATCTTATATCGTTTTCACTAATGATAACTCATATTATATGATTTTTTATGACATAATACTGACATATAATAACGCCGTTAGTATGTAATGTGTACATAATGAGTTTCTGTAATTGGCCTTAAGATTGTATCTATATTTTATTGTATTAAATTTCACAAAAAATCGCTGTATAACTGTAAAACTTTGTTAAAGATAAATAAATAAATAAAGATTTGTGTGTCTTTTGCATGCATGATGAATAAATAGTGCGTATGTTTAAAGAAATATTCGCGGTACTTTAATAACACAATTTACAGCATACTCTCAAGGTGACAACAAAAGTTAAATCTTTCCACAGAACGATAGTAAAAATAGCTCAAGTTAAATGCTCACCTTTGTATTCCAGTTCGCCGACCTGAGGCACACTCGTTCCGAGCTTGGTGACTTTATGGGCTGACCCGAAGTCTATCAGTTTGACTTGAATCGACCTCACAGACGCCATCACTACGTTATCAGGCTGCAAGTCTAAATGGCAGTAACCGCGCCAATGCAAGTACTGAAGACCGTCTAGGATCTGCTCGACAATTGTCACTACCATTTGTTCGGTGTAATCGTGTCTGCTGGACAAATATGTGAGGATATCCGCTCCTTGGAGTTTCTCTAGTATAAGAGCGGCAACAGGGGAGCCAGGAGCTTGGTAGGCGGCCAACAAATTCGATATCCTCTCGTGCCTTAGCCGTCTCAAGCATTCGAACTCCCTTTGAATCTGAACTTCAGTGTCGGGTCGCATTTCCAGAATCTTCGCCACGACCACGTTGTCGTTCCGCTTGTCCACCCCCTTGATGACGATGGAGAACTTGCCGCGCCACAGTTCCGATATGAAGCTGTAGCGTTCAGTAAACGCGTCCGTCGAATCCCATTCGATGGGGTTCTCCTCGATGGCGTAGTTGAGCTTCGGCCTCTCCTCTTCGAGAACCACTTCTTGGCCAGACTCGGTGATCTGCTGCAAGTGTTTCATCGCTTTGGTCACTTCTATTTTCGGCGCTCCAGAAGTTTTAGTTTTCACAAGCTGCGTGGGTATGCCTTTGTCGCTCCATCCGATCCTATTCCTTGAAGATAGTCTGAACTGGTAGCTGGTATCGGGTTTCAAGTTTCTTACCACGAAGAATTCGTGATCAATATTATCGGCGACGCTCTTCCATTCTACACTATCGCCTTCTTTATATTGGAGGCCGTAGCAAACAACGGGAGAGTTTCCATCATATTTCGGCTGCTTCCACCGCAGTAAAACTTCAGTATCTGATACTTCTGCAGCGACGGGGCTATCAGGAGAGTCTGGGGTCGTGGCTTCCACTATTCTCGTTCGGGCTACAGTTTGTCCGACTTTGTTGCGGGCGACCACTTTGTAGTATCCGACGTCGTGGTGCATGGAGGGGTTGAAACTAAGAGTGGAGCGGCCTTCTTCGTCTTCTGTTATTTTCACGCGCTGTCCTTCGGCAAGAACCATGTCATTTTTGAACCATTGGACCGAAGGTTTGGGGTCTCCGACGGCCAAGCAGGACAGTTGGCCGGGCTCGCCTTCTCTGATTGGTAAAAGTTGGGGTTTCTCGCGGAAGAAAGGCAGCTGCCCGTCTTTCTTAGACTCCATAAAAGCTTGGGCTTCTGCGTACGAGTCAAGTCTAGTGCCGAGTTCGTGACGTAAGCGTCTGATAGTGTAGGATTCTGTGCCGTAATTGTTGATGCGGTCACGGCGTTCGTCGTCTATTTCCTCGTCCATTATGTCGGTGAAGCGACGACGCTCGCGAATGATCGGGGTCTGAGATATAACAAAAAGAATGTAAATTAATGTGTGGTAAAACGTATAAACTAATAGATATATGTGATGCTATTAGACTGGTAGTTTATCGCTATTATTTGCAGAAAAAAATTAAACCCAAATAATGCCATATGCTTGGATGCTGTATCTAACTGAATTCAGATTAATTATAATCGGTGTCTGCTTTGTTCGTAGTTTAACAAATCGAATAAGATCATAAATAAGATGATCTTACAAAAACTATTAAATAATTATAATTTTTATTTTTAAAGCATGTGCATGCTTGATGTTTAAATCTAAAGAAAATATTACTAGAAAAAAAACCACGTGGACCATGCAGCAGACGCGACGGTATTAAATAATATTAAATATCATATGCTAGCACTTCACTTAGCTATTCGTGTTTGCTATTTGTAAACTTGACATCAGTCAGTCCTTTTCACTCCTTACAGAGCGTGATAAGGACAGACTATTGTTAAGTTTACAAATAGCAAATATGAATAGCGAAGCAAAACGCCAGCAATAAATACACTGCGGAGATATTAATATTCATATTTTTTTTTAAATTCTACTCGGCTATAAATGTAAAGGGATATGGTATGAAATTTCCTACATGGATAATATTTATATTAAACTCACCCTCGGATCGTACGTGTCATGTACAGAGAGACTGTACCCTGGTGAGCGAATGCAAGCCACTTTCATGTATTCGCGGAGTCGCACCGGGAATTGTACATCCCGCAGCTGCAGTAGATACGTATCAGGCCCGTTCTGGTAGCTATAGAATAAAACGGTTCATGAAAACAGCTGCTAATAGAAAATGGACTACGCAATACCTTTCCTGCTAGCACGACCACCAAAAGACGATTTTCAACGATACGATAAAGCAATTTATCGACATCAGCCCCTCTAGCATGACCACCGAAACCGGATATGATAAAGCGATATATCGGCATTAACTGTCAGACTACTGTCAAACTCTACTGTAGTCTGACAGTTAATGCCGATATATCGCTTTATCATATCCCGTTTCGGTGGTCATGCTAGAGGGGCAGCTGTGTCGATAAAAAGCTTTATCATAATTGCGTTTTGGTGCTCATGCTACGGGGGCTGCATGAAATTAAATACTCTTCAGAAGGAGAGAACGCGACCAACGGGAAGAAAAGTGTTGAAGAGACGAGGCGATCGAGCGAACAAAAGCTGCGTTCGGTATCTGCGGGTGTATTCCGAAATATACATCAGTATACTGGCCAGTGGTAATGACGTCACGAATCCGACGCCATATTGTACTGGTATGCTAACATATTTTTACCGGGAAAACGAATATGACGTATGACCAAGCGTGCGTGAGATGCATTCAAATTTTATTTCTTTTTTATTTAAAGAACAATAATGGCATCCGAAAAAAAAGAATTCCTTTTAATTGATGAGGTGAATAAAAAATCTTCTTTATTCGCACTATTTTAAATATTACGACGATTTATGACGTCATTGCACTGGCCATTATATTTTGGAACAATTCACCAGTATAGCGTCGATTCATGACGTCATTAGCACTGGCCAGTATACTGGTATATATTACGGAATATACCCTGCATCTGATAAATCTTTTTAGTCTGAATCGTTTGTCTATTTCTATAGTAACTAAATTTGAAGCGTTTAGTAATTCCGCTCAGATCAGGCCGAGGTAAATCAGTTTGCTCGGAGTATATTGACCGACGAGAAAGATTAATCTGGCTATCTGTCATGTTGTGAGGTTATTTTCTATTTGAGGTAAGAAATTAATCTATGGTTGGTCGAGCCGTTCGGTAATAGAAATTTGCTCTGATTAATCTGTGATCACGTGACCAAAAATCCGTCACCTCTGCGATGCAAATACCGAACGCAGCTAGAAGTTCGCACTAGATTTTTCTCACAGCTGCTTATGGAATGCTTAGTCTATTCAATATATGTGTATGCAGTTGCCTAATGCTATAATTTCACATGGCTCTTCGTATTTTGCTGTTTGTCGATTTGACGGCAGTATATCTTTATCATGTCCATAGGGAATGAAAAGGTGAGACCACTGCTGTCAACGTTAGTGCCAGCATGAAATTCAGATTAAAGCTGGATATTATTTTATTTATTGATGTGAAACATCTTTCCTCTTGCTTTCCTGCAATTTATGGGAGTGATTTCGTGAACGTGACCCAAATCGCTTGGGATTGGCGGAGTCTAAAATGACGTCATACGCAAGTAAACTTCAGGTTAAAGTGACATTACCTTGTATCGTTTGACGTTTCAATAACAGTCGTGTGACGTCATACACTAGTAAGACGCCATATTGTCCAGAAAAACGTTTTCGCGGCAACTTGAAAATGGAGTTTTTGATTTGGTTATTTTTACTGAAATACACAACAGAATGACGAATATCCACCTTTTACGGACTCCATAAATATTAGTCAATAACGTAAGATCGTTTTCTAAAACTTGTCAAATACCCTATTGGGGATATTGATCATCAATGTCCTACACTACTGGATAGGCTGATGATGATGATGACTCACTGGCTCTCAGACTTGGCGGAGACTTCCCAGTCGGGGTGTTCCCACTGCTTGAAGTTGAGGTCGAACGGTGCGGATGTGCGGTCGTGTGACCCTCTGTCCCTTTCCGGCGTGCCTGTGTATAAGTAACATGATGAAATATAAGACAAAATAACTTATTTATACATGACAAAGAAAATAATAATTAGTGTGCACGGACCACTCATCTGAAGTGAAACTTGTTTTCTTAAATAACCTTACATAAGGCGGTGCATAAGGTTATGACTGGATGGGCGTCTAATGGACGCCTTAAGGGTCCGAAAAGTAAACAAATATTAGAAGGAATGTAATAAAAACGCGCTATGGTCGTGCAAAGAGTGTTATTAAATTCTAATATTATAAATGCGAAAGTGAGTATGTTGGTTTGTTTATTTGTTACGCTTTCACGCCTAAACAACTGAACGGATTTGGATGATACATATTTGGTAGCCATATAGTTTATGACCTCGATTGAGACATAGGATACTTTTGATTTGTAATCTGTAGTTATTGCGGACGAAGTTGGCTAGTATAACTAAAGTTGGGTAAAAAGTTACTGTAACAGAAGTTGGGTTAGGGTGGCGAAATTCGCTGTGCGAACGCCTGCGCTATTGCGCTTTCTCGTGCAGTAGATAATAAGCACATGAAGAGTACAGTAGGTTTTAGTGGGTAATCAGAACCCTGGAGTCCCACATAACCCAGGAACGGCCCCATATTGTTACTGGGTATGCATAAAGCATTTCCTACTATAAAAAAAAATAAAAAAAAAGGGTGGCGAAATTAAAATGCGGTAATAATCAAGTAACGTGTTCAGTCACCAGTATTACAAATAGGATTGAATAAAAAAAACTACATCCCGGGCCCCTAACACAATATCGAAACAAAGAATTAACCAAAAGCTAAGACTACGCAGAAGTAATTGGTTAATGTAAAGAAAACCAATGCATGGCGGTCAATCCATATCACACATAATAATCGGGCCCGGTGAGGCGAGCTTTGTGAGCACTCTATAACAGTTACCTTCAGGTGTATAGATCTCTCCAGGCGGGTAGACCATCTTGGAGGGGTGGTCGAAGGCGCCGCTCAGCGGCCGGCGCCGGAACCACGTGCGGCATTGCGCGTTCGCCGTCCAATCCCTGGCCACATCCCACCATTTATACACTATATCCTTTACTTGCTCCATTAATTATTACTAAACTAAAATAACTTATGAAATTTAAAGGCAAAACTCCACCCGAAACAGTGCCAGAAAAGAAAAATGAAAGTCCAAGTTCAAGAGATTATTAAATTCGAAATCCTAGTTGCTAATATGCAATAAATTTATTTATTTGGAATCAATTTGAAAAATGGAAAATATAAGATTTTCTTCTGTTTCAGACTTGAACAGTGTCCGGTCATCTGTCAATACTGATCGTAAAGGTGATCTTTACTATGCCAGCCAGAGGGCTTCCGACAGCATTTGATTCGATAGTTTAGTCACTTGGCATTCATGTAATGAAATATTGTTAAGGGCAGTATGCCACTAATAAATATACTTTTGATCAACTTCAAATAATTTCTCTTATCTCTACCTTCGCTATAGTAATATAACTGTAAGCAAGAGATGTTGCATTATGTTAGATACATATATTTATCGCTTTTAAGTGAGCGAAATGTCCAAAAACGTTCATAAACGCACAATAAACATCCTAATCCTAAATGAAAATACTTTTTTGCCTTAAACATATTTCATTAACGCGACGACCTCCGTGGCCGAGTGGTTTGTACGCCGGGTTTCATGGTGTCGCCGTCTCGAAAGATGTTTGTGTGATGAATACGAGCATTTGTACTTCAGTCATAGATGTTTAATATGTATTTCTAAATAAATATACTTATATATGTACAATATATGTATTTTATCCGTTACCCTAGTATCCCAGAACACAAGCCTTACAGTGCTTACTTTGAGGCCAGGTTAATTAGTGTGAGTGTTGAAAAAAATATTAATTTATTTACATAAGTACTTACAAAGCTATTTAAAATTTATCAGTAAGGTAAAATATATCATAATAATTTGTTTTGCAACATCCAGTAAATGAAGCAAAATATATAAATTACGAAAATAATATCGAATGAAAGTACCTACTCAAATACTTACTATCTTAAATGTATCTAAGAACATTATTTATATCAGTGGGCAACGACCTTTAACATTCAATTATAATTATAAATACATTACTGGCCACTTGCCAATGGTCAATTAAAAAAACATAATCACATTCGGAGTTGATGTAGACGGGTTGATTAGTAGGGATGATGCAAATCTACAAAGCTTGCAATGCCAGCTAGTGTTATAAATGTACCACGTTTTTCTTGTTATATTTTTTTAAGACGAATTAAGCCCGCTCTGCCTTTTTACTTTAAAGAACATTTAAATAAAACTAGTTTAAACGGGATAATGCACGAAACTTTATTTATTTATTGACGTTTCGTAGCCTTTACAGGCTTCGTCGTCAGAATAAAACTTTTGTTTAATTTGTCGAGCTACCTTCGATAGACTTTTATTGAGCGTTTGGTTATTTCATCGTTCGATTTTTAAGTTTTATTGTCTATGTATGAATTTATTATTTAATTTACTTAATAAAGTATTTTATTTAAAATTCTTGTTTGTAATTTTGATTTTATTTATTTGACCCTAACTACCGTAAACTACCACCGGTTCCAAAATTGGGAGACCTTCCTGAGAAGAACCGGCGAAACAAACTCAAGAGAGGCTTTCTATCTCCTTCTTATGTTAAATTATGCAAGCAAAAAGAACTAATAGTATCTGATGGTCTTGCAGTATGTGCTCGGGGTTGGGATTTTATCTCCTGTATAATAGGGTCCCAAGCTGGTGGTATATACCAACCATCTTCCCTATTGAAATTTGGATATTTTTTAATCTCAATAGCCTCGCGCATCATTCGAGGAACGAAACGCCGCTCAGCTGCAAGGATCTGTGGTCTATCAAATCTAATGTAGTGGTTTGGTCCCCCTAATGCATGTTCACACACTGCAAACTAGTTTTATTTAATGAGTGATGTGCGTGAAAACTTAAAGAACATTTTATGAAATAATCTTTTTTGCTCGATGTTGAATTATACTAAGGAGTTGTTACTCAAGTTGCTTAATCTTATCTATAAAGATTTCAAATGTTGGAGGAGCGATAGATTTTGATCTCGTGCTCATCGTGGTAAAATGGTAATGGATCCGAGTAATTTGCTAGTTTGTAACAAATGTCTCGCCAGAGAGCTCTGCGTTGAGACAACTTCTGCACTCTTAGCACGAACCAATATCGAACTCGTAACGTTTGCGAGTCCGAAATGTCATTGTCACACTTCTAAGTATATGTTAGTGCCAATTGTACGTGAGGAGTTTGGTCAGGAATTTCTATTCTAACTCCTAACTAATTCTCATTTGTAAAGGTTGTAGTAATTGCGCAGTCTGTCAGTAGTTTTCTGGTACTCTTCTTGATAGATTTTGTTGGCAAGGTTGAGCCAAGAGTGCTACAACGCCTGCTTCACTACTAACTCTAAACTTCTGTACTAGAGAATTGAGAAGTGTCCTAACCTAATCCTACCTAATTGTAACCTGTAAAGGTTGCTAATTATACGCTTGTACTTCCGTGGAAGAAGAGTGGTAGATTCGAGTAATTTGCTAGGATATAACGCATTTCTCGTCGACGAGCTCAACTTTGACTTGTACTAAATAATCGATACTTTAACCTCTAAGTCTCACCTGTAGTAATTGCGCAGTCTGTCAGTAGTTTTCTGGTACTCTTCTTGATAGATCTTGTTGGCAAGGTTGAGCCAAGAGTGCTACAACGCCTGCTTCACTACTAACTCTAAACTTCTGTACTAGAGAATTGAGAAGTGTTCTAACCTAACTCCTACCTAATTCTAACCTGTAAAGGTTGTTAATTATACGATTTTTCTACCGTGGAAGAAGAGTGGTAGATTCGACTAATTTGCTAGGATATTATGTTGACTAGCTTAATGTTGAGCTCAACTTTGACTTGTTTTAATAATCTTTACTTTAACTTCTAAATCTCACCTGTAAAGGTTGTAGTAATTGCGCAGTCTGTCAGAAGTTTATTGGTACTCTTCTGGATAGATCTTGTCGGTGAGGTCGAGCCAAATCCTTGGCTCAACCTCAACATATGGAAGTAAAACAAGTCTTAAAGCATCCGCTCTAAGACTTGTTTCACTTCCATAATTATGTTAGTGCCAATTGTACGTGAGGAGTTTGGTCAGGAATTTCTATTGTAACTTAAGAGTTAACTTAAGACTAATTCTCACCTGTAAAGGTTGTAGTAATTGCGCAGTCGGTCAGTAGTTATCTGGTACTCTTCTTGGTAGATCTTGTCGGCGAGGTTGAGCCAGGGGTGCTCCAACGCCTGCTTTACTTCCATACGTTCGTGCCAGTTGAATTTCAAGAGTTTGGTGATAAAGTCCCGACTCTCGCGGCTTAGGCGAGACCACCACTCCTCGTCGTGCCATTCCCACTGTTCAAACCAATCGGTATTATGTAGTGAAGATTCTATGGTGTGTTGCATTACAAGTTTATACTTGTCATTAGAAATGAAATTTCACTTCAAATACTCCAAAATTATGGAAGTTTTTCCTTTGTAGAGGGGATAATGCATCAGGAGTCTATATCATACTGTAATTGAAGGCTTTTTATAAAAAAAACTGCTTTGATTTTGAGTTATTGGCTTCTTTCAAAATGTACATGATTTTTACTGAAATATTCAGTGTATTTTAGGTGATAGAACACAGAGTACTTACAAGGCTTTTATGTTATAATAAATAAATTAAAAACTGTTTTGATTTTAAGTTATTGGCTTCATTCAAAATGTAGATGATTTGCTAAAATATTCAGTGTATTTTAGGTGATAGAACATACTCGTAGACTACTTACAAATATTATGTGGAAGGAATATCGTGGGAAAGATAATACATTAATACATCATAGAATGATCACCAAATTAAACGCTATGCTATAACAATTTCTTTCATTAAGATAGGTATACCTACGTCATGGAATATGCTTATCCTGCACAATTTTATATGACGTACCTTTCCTTCCCTAATCTTGGTGAGGGTCTCCCTGTCATTAGCGCCTCTGAAAGGCGAGTGTCCACTGAGCAGGATATAGGTGATGATGCCCACACTCCACATATCGGCGGCGTAAGAAACTCCTTCACCTGATGCCACTTCCGGGGCTACGAATTCAGGCATTCCGTAATCCAAAGCCGCGTGCTTATTGAATTGGATGCGGCGGGAGAGGCCAAAGTCGCATATCTTCAGCTCGTCGCTGCCAGCGTGGGACAGGAGGAGTTCACCGATCTGTTCACGTTAAAAGATAAGTTATGCTTATTTGTTTCTTAGGTTTTCACGCACATCACTCATTAAATAAAACAGTTTAACGGGTTATATGCACTGAATTTATTTATCTATTGACGTTTCGCATACTTTTCAGGAAGTTAGAGTAGTAGTCTTTTTAAGAGCCCTTTCACATTTTTTGCAAAAAATCGAAATTTTTGAGCGCCTCGTTTACACTTTCATAAAAAAGAATATTAGTAAAATCCACGCGGACCAGGCAGTAGACGGGACTCGAACCCGCAACCCTGGCAGCAGTTACATGCTTAAAAAAATACTTTAACATTTTTAAAACTTCAAGAAGGATAACAAATTAAATTTTATAATTGAATTCTTAATTTTTCTTTTTGAGTGTTTGCTTTTAGAATTTAGTGGTGACATCAGACAAAGCATTTAAATGTAATGCTTGTCCAAGGTACGTTTGTCTCATCTCACTATATGGCTTTCACAAAGACACAAACTTTGATCAAACTGTACACTCACCGTGAGTCCCAAATGTGCGACGCTATTCTCATGCATGTACTGCAAACCTCTCAGCAGCTGTCTGATATATCCGGCTATATCTCTCTCAGTATAACCCGGTCCTCTTAGCAAACGGTCTCTAACCAATTCTCCGCCTGCAGCCAACTCTGTGACTAGGGCTACGGTATGATCGTGCTCATAGGCGTCGTGTAAACGGACCAAGTTGCGGTGGTTGAGCAAGTTCATAATGTCCAATTCGTTCTTCATGAACGGCTTCAGTGCCGAGTGGCCGTGCATTATCTTGGCGGCGTAGTTGCGGCCTGGGTATATAGTAAAAATTAGCCAATAATCAACGCAAATGTTTAAACGAAATGACGGAAACTAGAAATCTACAAGTTTTTGAACCTCCGAGACCGAGTGGTTTGTACGCCGGGTTTCATGGTGTCGCCGACTCGAGAGATCCCGGGTTCGAATCCCGGTGGGGACAGATGTTTGTGTGATGAATACGAGCATTTGTTCTCCAGTCGTGGATGTTTAATATGTATTTCTATATAAATATACTTATATATGTATTCTATCCATTACCCTAGTATCCCATAACACAAGCCTTACAGTGCTTACTTTGGGGCTAGGCAAATCGGTGTGTGTTGAAAATATTTATTTAAAGGAAGTTGCAAAACATTAAAATGTACTTGACCTATAAATTAATCTAGAAATTTACTTGACCCACAAAAATAATCTAGAATTTTTTGTTGATATATGATAGTTGATATTGGATAGATTGATTTATTAGCAAGTCGAGAGCAAAGCGAAGTGCCGAGAGGTCGTGCTAATGCACGACAAGATAATAGACAAGACAAGATAATTCTTAGCGGCGTAGTTGCGGCCTGGGTAGTATTAAACGACAAAAATTTAGTCAATGTTTCATATACTATTGAAAAGAATTGTGAAAATCTACTTGCCCTCTGAAGGTAAAATTGGATAACAGCTACAAGCGTTTCAATGAAATCAAGAAAACTAACAAGACTTTAGTCAATGATTCAACTATTTATACAAAATCATGAAATCTTCTTACCTTATACTGATATAAAGGATACAAAGGTAGATTATCTTATGAGTAGGTAGACGCTATGAAATAATTTTAAGAAATTGACCGCACTTCGTCTGAGTGCCAGGCAGATCTGCCGGCGGGTCACCAGCGTGCTGAAGTGTTTTTCGAAATTTACTATGGTTCGTACCAACGTGATTGTATATTGGAATTCTTTGCCTGCGCCCGTATTCTCTCCTTTCTACAATCTGGGGTCCTTTAAGAGAGGCGTGAAGAAGCATTTTTGCAGGCCGGCAAGGTGTGGATGGTTGGTGTGGCAGTTTATAACTGTTGTATCAGCTATCTTCGCGTTTGGACTTAATCACCACTTTACATCAGGTGCGGTAAAGTCATTTACCTACCAGGCTATAAAAAATGGATGAATGATCAAGGGCGGATCCAGGGGGGGGGGGTCATGGGGGTCATGACCCCCCCCTGGGCTGGATACAGATGGACCAAACCCAGGGGGATTTTATTTAAGTACTTTCAATATTTAATATACCACGACTATATCACCCCCCCCTGGCGCCAAAGCTGGCTATATGACCCCCCCCCCCTGGCGCCAAAGCTGGATCCGCCCTTGTGAATGATGAATGGAGGATTATGATGGTGTATTGACAGCGTACTGACCGGATATCTATCCGAGCATCTGCTCGGCCGCGTGGTAGACCCTTCACGCTGCGCCCGAGTTCGTCCCTTTCACGTGAGGTGATATTGACGTTGTATTGATGGTATATTGACTACGTACTGATCGAACAGCCGCTTGGTCGCGTGGTAGCGAGCCCTGCACGTCACGCCCGATTTCATCGCCTTCCCACAGGGTAATATTGATGGTATATTAACTGTGTATTGACTGCGTACTGACCGGACAGCCGCTCAGCCGCGTGGTAGACGACGCCCTGCACACCACGTCCCAGTTCGTCGCCGAGATCGTAGAAATCGCCGAACGGCTTCGTGCTCGGCTTCACGCGGGGCGGGTGCTCGCGAATCCTGTTCGCCAACATTTCATATAGATCGCGGCACGTAACTCTAGCGCTGAACAAAACGCAGAGGGGATAGCTGCGCATAGGGTTACCGTCTTTTTGGCTTTTGTCCGGATTTTATCAGGCTTTTTAATTTGTCCGGTTTTTTTAATTAGATGGTATATGAGTAAAACTACTTATTAAGTTATATCAAATAAGTGAATAATCTTTATTAAGTAATCATTAATTTAAAAAAATATATAAATCATCCTTAAAAATCAACAACGAGACTGTATCTAAGTGGGTGATGTTTGCATTTTGTGACTAAAATGTCCGGACTTTTAACCAAGTGTCAGGCTTTTTGTCAGGACTTTTCAAAATTTTAAATAGTAGCCCTAGCTGCGCATGGGTGCGACGACTGGAAAGCCAATTGGCGCAACGCACGCCCACCCGCGCACCTCGTAAAGTAGTAGTAGTAGTAGTAGTAGTAGTAAAGGGTAAAGTAAACGAAATTTTATTAAATCCGTCAGTTAGATTATCTAATAATAATTTACATGTATTTTATCTTTCGTCAATCAACAAAAAAAATACAAAGATACAGCGCGTCTATATTTGAGTAGGGGCTCGTGACATCGCTTTTAAGTAAAAATTGTAACATACGTGACGTAAAACATATTATTATGATTATCATCATCACCTGTCAGAATACTGGTGTTCATCTTCCTCTACGTGAAGCATGGCGGATGAGCTGACAGCACCGGCTACGTTCCGTGCTGACACCGAGTATAGACCTTCGTCCTTCAGGATTACGTCGTGGATCGTCAGCACAGTGGTGTCAGGCTCGATGAACTGGATCTAGGTTATGAAATAATGCAAAACCATTACTTATGGAAACTTTACAACGAAGACATTCCTATAGACCGAGTAGGTACATAAATATATAGTAATTAAAATTAAAATTAAATCTTTTTCTTATAAAGTGATGATCAAAATGTAGCTCAACATTTTAGGGGAAAATGTGGTTTTTGAGCTTACGAATAACCTTACATTTTACTTTGCATTACAGTTATTGTAGCAGCTGCTGTTTTAGACTAAAAGCCTGTTTCACAATCGCTGTGTAAAGTTCTAGGTAAGCTAAGCTGCTCAGTAAAGAATAGGATGTGATTTTTATGGGAAAGCGTTTAAAAGCAAGCGAAGGTGTCCTGTCAAAGTCAACATTCCCATTTTTTTACTGAGCAGATAAGTTCTAAGTAGCTAATTGAGAACTTCACTCAGAGATTGTGAAACAGGCTCTTAGGCCCGTATTATAGAAAGATTCTCAGTGATTGATCTAGTCTTGAGCATAGTTAGAAAGGGATGTCGCTATATATAGCACATAGCGATATCCCTTTCTAACTGTACTCAAGTAAAGATCAACACTTAGTTGTCATTCTGTAATACGGGCCTTAGTCTAGAACAGCAGCTGCTATAATTTTATATTTATTACTACTACTTTTGCTGAGTCAACAACCAGATAAATAGAATCAGATCATTTTGGATTAATAATTGAGAACACGTTATTGACTAATCAGCTTTATCTTGACTCTAAAACAAGTGGCAGTCAGTTCAGGTTCTATTTGCTGTCATTTACATTCGAGTAATGGCCTGGCCTCTGCAAGGGAACTTGGCTAGAAGTAAATATGGTTTCTCGATTAGTTTAACCTTGACCCTAGCGCTGGGTGCTACAGGCTGCCAATCCCGGTACCACTTCATGCCCGAATAAGGCATTCCTGACCCTGGCTACCATTTTAACAGTCCTCATCTGTAAAGCCACGGTTTCCTCATAGCGGCGTAGTAGGATATTCTGCCAGTTCCAGCCGCACTCTTTGACGAGCTATATATAACAGCCCTTCTCTACATGGACAAAGACAAAAGGAGAGGTATTATGCGAATTATTACCTTGACCCTAGTACTGGGTGCTAAAAGCTGCTAACTCGGTACCACTTGATATCAGGATAAGGCACTCCAGTGACCCTGGATTTCATACAAATAACCCTTCTCTGCAAAGGAAATTGGCTAGAAATGGATGAGAATGTATAGGGCATATTCATTAGTTCTACCTTGACCCTAGCGCTGGGTGCTAAAGGCTGCCAATCCCGGTACCATTTGATGTCCGGATAAGGCACTCCAGTGACCCTGGCTTCCATTCTCACAGTTCTTCTCTGCAAGGCGACGGTTTCCTCAGGGCGGCGTATGAAGGTAGGATATTCTGCCAGTTCTAGCCGCACTCTCTGACGGGCTTGGCCGTGCTCATTGGTAGCTACGGCTTCATACCATCCAGCGTCGCGTTCCAACATCCTGGGATATATATTGTTTTAAATTTTCATGGTCACTAGCATTATAGCTATTAACGGGATTGTTACCATGTACAAGACGACGTCAGTAAAGGTCGACGACGTGCAATAAAAGACGACGTCAGAGGGTAGACCAATTACATCTACCCGCAATTACTTCAGTTATTCCGTGATCAAAACAAGGTACATGGTAACAATCCCGTTAATAGCTATAATCCTGGGCTAAAATAATGATATGAGTAACTCCAACTTTGAAAAAACCCTTTAAATAACCATACCTATTAAAAAAGTGCTTGATTATATCAAAGACAATTTAGCTTTATTTGCACACCATTTGTGAAAATCGCTAAGTTGGCAAGTTGCTAATGAGCATATTGGTATGGAAAATTGTTATGTGTATATCCTATAGACAAAAATGATTAGGTTTGAACTGTTAAAATCAGTCCAAAGGACTTTTTTATGAAACATAATTGTGGATCATTATATCGACAATATAACGCACACACAGTAACTTTGTTAATGTTGCTGCCATTAATATACAAATACCTATAAGCGCGACCCCAAAAGATATTATATTTCTATTATTTATTAGTATTATCACTAATTAATTATTATTATTTGTGAAAATACTACTGGGAATATTTCTGAAAGACCAATTAATAATGAATTAACACCGAAAGATTGAGTTACAAGGGCATGTGACAATATTTAGTGAGGCTTAAATTAACGCGCTTTTAACATAGATTGAAGACGAAAGATTTGTGCAACCGCATCCACCATGCTGCTGAGTTATGACAGCACCTATAATTATTCTTTGAAGTTCTTGATTTTAGCTTAAGTGTAAACGGTGAATGTAACTTGGATGGTCAGTCATTTGTTGTTTTACTAGTAACCGTTAGTAATACTACATTAATTTCCATTACGAGACAAAATCAGTTTGGCTTAACAACTGTCAAACTAATAGGCAATTTTTTAAGTAAACTTAATCACTCACTTGTTGATGAACAGAGTAGCCTGTCCGTTCCTCGTATAACTCCAATCGTATCTGCCGCCGATCTCTATAGGTTCATCGTTGAAGAAGTACGTCATCTTCGGCTTAGGGTATCCGTAGACGAACCAGAATAAGTTCACATTGTGCCCTTTGACGCCGTACTGAGAGTCGTATTCTTGGCGTAAGAACTTTGGCGCTTGAGCGTAGTTGTCATGAGGTGGTCTTTCTATATCAAAGTCTTTCGGGAAGTACGGGGAAGTTTCTGGCCGGAAGTCGATGCCTGGTTCCAAGTAAGGCACGAATTTCGGTGGATCCGGTTCTAGTTTCGCACGATGGGTTTGCGCGTACGGCGAGGGGTCGCTGACCCCGTATTTGTTTTCTACCCGCACTCGGAATCGGTAGTCGCGGAAAGGTTGAAGGTTGCGAATGTCGCAAGCGCAAGAACGTAATCCTGTGCGCGCTGTGAACCAATCACCGTCGGGCACTTCGCACATCTCCACCTGCGATACGAAATTAACTATAAATACATAATTTTCACTTTATTTTTTTAAGCATGTAACTGATGTTTAATTTAAAATTTTAACGTAAGAAAATATGGTACTCATGTTATTTTATCTGTATGGCTATATTGCAACTAAAATTGGGGAAGGGCGCTGAAGCCAAAATACAGAATGAACTTCTTACTTTGGTTGAGGATGTCTATATGTAGTATGTGTGAAATAATGGCCTTAGTTTTAACATATTTATAAGAATATTACCATGTACAATTTTTTATAAATAAATATTGTTATTATTAATGAAACATCCAGAATTATAAAGAAAATTTCATCTTTATTACAAACTCTGCGGGATGATTAGGGTTGTATTTTGAAATGTATGTAGCGCCCCAGACCATTTACGAATTGCATTCCTACCTGGAATTAATATGAATATGGGTTAGTTACGAATACTTTTATATGGCTTCGTCCGCCCTGGGCCTAGGCCATCTTGGACCTAGGGTACATGCATTCCTTAAGGATGATGTTGAGCGGTTATTATAAACGCACACTTGGAATGAAAGTTCCCTAACTCAAAAAAGTTTTGCTACTAATTGATCTTAAAAAGTATACTCTACAACCCTGTGCAGAATAAAAGACCTATATTTTTTATTTATTTAAGTGACTGATTCATTTATTCAATATGCGCTACCCAAAAATATTATGTTAATGACCATATATGTGACAGGAAACCGTCGTTAGTGTGGGATAGAGCCTCTAGTACAGTGTCAGATATCGATCAGTCATAAGCGATATGGCGGCGTCGGCATCCCGGTTTTTTCATCGTTAACCATTTAATATACGCACTCTTCGAGTGAAACTGACCAATCTCAAAAAATTACGTGATATCTGATTTCGCTAAAAAATACCTTAAAAAGCATATTCTACAATCCTGTGGGGAAACGACTTAGGTCACTTTTATTCAGGTGTGAAGATTAACAAAATTACTAGATAGTAGCTTTGTAGTTGTTTTTTCCAGAATCACCATTTCTTCTTCGCACATATTTTCATTTTTCACACAACACTAACATTTTCATTATAAAATGTTGTGTCAGATATGTGTAATATTATATAATTATCTATAATATTTTGTTTATTACTCATTACTTAGTGTTCAACTATAAAATTATGACATGAGAGCAATGACAAACGTGGAAAAACAAACCGCAATACCTTATATTCAACTTAAGAGCTATATTCACTTGAGATTATTTCATTGACCTGGTAGGTGACAGGGAAGCGTGGTCCATGTGGAATAGAAGGCCTCCAGGATAGTGTCAGATGCCTATCCGTCATCCGCGATATGATTGGCTTATCTGCCAGCGGCATCGGTATCCCGGTCTTCTTCATTTTATCGAAGTCCGAGTACTGATCCGCTAGCGGTTTCCTCTGCGTTGGAGGTTCCAGAGCTGGAAAAAGCGATTGAATGTACTGGAAAATCTATTTTTTGTAACCGTGTACTGTCATTAAGTCTTGAAAACCCTCATTTGTAAATATATAAATATTTCCAACACTCACACAATTAGCCTAGCCCCAAAGTAAACACTGTAGGCTTGTGTTATGGGGATACTAGAGTAACGGATAGAACACATATACTGATACATATATAAGTATATGGAAATACATATTAAACATCCATGACTGGAGTACAAATGCTCGTATTCATCACACAAACATCTGCCCCCACCGTGATTCGACCCCGGACCTCTATAGTACACCTTGAAACCCGGCTTTCAAACCACTCGGCTACGGAGGTCGTCAAATTTATAAACGAGGAATAAGCTTAAGACTAGTTAGAGTACACTTTGAAACTCGGCATTTAAACCAATCGCCCACGGAGGTTGTCAAATTTATAAACAAGGCTTAAGTATAGTTACGCCGTGCTTTATTCAAATCACTCAAATGCTATCTGAAATTTAATAGAGACCAAACACAGAGTAACTAATCCAGGTTTATTCTTCGTTTATCATTAAGGGGGAGGATGTGTTCCCCTTTTCTAAGTGCGTTCTAAGAGTTCTGTAAACTTGTAAAGAATGACACTATACCAAAAAGAAATCACGTGATTTTGGATAGGAGGCAAGAGGCTAGTCTTAAATCTCACCACGTATCTTTAGGATAGAAAGGGATTAAGAAGTTGCTGAAAAATGTGATTAATCGACAACTTTGTCGTCTTACCTTTAATGACTTGTTACACTTACAAGAAATACAGAGAAGTGAAGCTTGCAGTCCGGTCAAATTAGATAAAACAGTAAAATTATTTTTACTTATAATACAGTACTTATGCATATTATGACGTTTACAATTTTTAAATCGTTATATCTCAGGAACGGTGACTCTTAGGAAAAAAATATGAATCCCTTTTTGTAAAGATAATTTTATGATCTACATTTTTGTGTAAGGTAATTTTACGATAACGATTTACTGTTTTGATGAAAAAAGCGAAAACAGTTTTGAACGGTTGTACTCACGTTCAGCTTGATGTGAATCTATGTACCTTCGAAAGTCTAAATTGACTGGACTATTAAACCATTTGATAATATACCTAGAAGATTACTCTCTAATTCACGATCGTCAATATGGATTTAGGCCGAATCGATCGACGGGTGACCTTCTAGCGTACGTGACACACATCTGGGGTGAAGCTATAGACAAACGGGGAGAGTCTCTGGCTATTAGCCTTGACATCGCCAAGGCTTTTGACAGGGTCTGGCACAAGAGCCTTCTCTCCAAGCTTCCTGCATACGGTCTGCCTGCTCAGCTCTGCGCCTGGGTAGCTGACTTCCTGCATGAGCGTAGAATTCGCGTCCTTACGGACGGATGTAGTTCGCAGTTCATGTCAGTGAATGCCGGTGTTCCTCAGGGTTCCGTTCTATCCCCCACACTCTTTTTGCTGCATATCAATGATTTGATTCCACTTGCGAATATTCATTGCTATGCAGACGATAGCACAGTGCATGCGAGATACTTTGGACACGCGGCGGCTGGACAGGTAGAAACCATGGAGAAACGGGAGAATCTTGTCGTTGAGCTCAATCGGGCTTTAGACCACATTTCCGAATGGGGTACTAGGAACTTGGTTGAGTTCAATGCCAAGAAAACTCAGGCTTGCGCTTTCACGGCAAAAACATCGCCATTCCTTCCCCTTCCCTCTCTTCAGGGCACAACACTGGCGCTACAGAGCAATATTACCATGCTCGGTATGGAAGTTCGCTCAGACCTGAATCCAAAGGACTACATCGAAACGTTGATCAAAACAGCTTCACGCAAACTCGGAGTCCTGAACAAGGTGCGGCGTTTTTTCACGCCCGATCAACTGTGCTTGTTGTACAAAACACAAGTGCGGTCCTGCGTGGAATATTGCTCGCACCTCTGGGATGGCTCCGCAAAGTACTTACTCGATGCCTTGGATAGGTTGCAGCGGCGCGCTGCCCGCATCATTGGCGATGAAGAGGCAACTAAGAAACTCGAGTCTCTACAATTACGCCGTGATGTGGCATCATTAAGCGCATTCTACCGAATATACCACGGCGAGTGTTCTGAGGAGCTATTCTTGCTTATCCCTCCATCACCTTTTCTTCAGAGGACCACGCGCGCTGGCCTACGTTGCCATCGACTTACTGTGGCCACTATTCCTACACGAACAAAGAAATTTGGCGACTCATTTCTTTGTCGTACTATTCGCAAGTGGAATTCTTTACCCGCGCACGTGTTCCCTCCTTCCTATAATCTGGGGTCCTTTAAGAGAGGCGTGAAGAAGCATTTTTGCGGGCCGGCAAGGTGAGGATGGTTGGTGTAGCAGTTACTAACTGCTGTACCAGCTATATTCGCGTTTGGACTTTATCACCACTTAACATCAGGTGGGGTAGAGTCATTTGCCTACCTAGAAATATATATAAAAAAAAAAAAAGAATTTCGTCCTCCGTGGCCGAGTGGTTTGTACGCCGGGTTCCAAGGTGTCGCCTACTCGAGAGGTCCCAGGTTCGAATCCCGGTGGGTGCAGATATTCGTTTGATGAACACGAGCATTTTGTACTCCAGTCATGGATGTTTAATATGTATTTCTATATAAATATATGTACTTACATATGTACTGTATCTGTTACCCTAGTATCCCATAGCACAAGCCTTACAGTGCTTGCTTTGGGGCTAAGCTAATTGGTGTGAGTGCTGGAAATATTTCTTATTATTTATTAATATTAACTTACTGTCGTATGTAAGTTGAGCACTGCAAGTATCTTCGCCGTGTGGGTTGTAAATGCGACAGGAGTAAGTGCCGACGTCGCTTTGGTCCACGCCGCTAATTGTCATCCGTAGCAATCCCGTCGTTTCCTTGTCCATGCGGATACGCTCGCAAGGGAACAGACGGTCGCCGTTGCGGTACCTATAGCAATTACAATATCATCATCATCATCAGTCTATATTCAACTTCCTCTGAAACAAAAGGAAAAGAAATAAAGAACCAATTTTTCTAAAACTTTTTTATCGAGAGTAAAGATGGCAGGCAAAACCAGACTGATTGCAAAATTTAATTTTCACTTTTCAATTCAGTAATATTAAAATGCGTTCAAAGTTTGGTAATAGCTACAGTTTTAGTTGGTGGGTGCTAACAATTCCAGATGCTGCCGGGACCAAAGGCTAAACGTGCCTTCCGCGGAGAAACTCAAGATATCAGGTGGGATGGAGCCATTGTCGGAACTATCTACATATAAATAAAAAATGGGTGCGTGTACTTATGTAGGCGCGTGAGAAGTTATCCTTCTTTGGCATCGTTTAAATAATTAATTAGTATAATTAGTTTTTAATTGCATGCAAATAATTAATTACAATAAATTAATAAAAAGTCTGGAAAAGGACACAGTCAATAAAGTTCAGTTTTAATTTGAAAAAAATAAATAAATAATCAAAATATTCAATTAAAATCGCTACTGAATATAATTTATTAGAACGTATGTGATTTGCACTTGTATGAAACTCAAACACGTATTCCGAATATACAAACTAGAAACATGTGGATAAATATTATATATATGAATACCTATAACTGTTACTTTATTACAAAAAATAAAGATGTGGTTTTTGGTTCTACTACACCAATGGTCAAGAGATGGCGCTGTAGTCTCCTGAATCGCGCTTTGGTTCCGTTGTTCCAGATTAATAAATACTTTTGATAGGCCTTCACAATGCAGTCGTTTTCGTTCGCACCCACTAAATAGAGATTCCATTTCTATTTTGTTGGTAGATTTTCTTAATGTGCGGTAAACACAAAAGTAACAGCATGAAGTTGGTCGCTAAAGCGACCAACTTCATGTTGTTAAAATTTTGTGTTACAGTGATGCGCGCGCATCTTAAAATTTCACTCTCATCATTTTTTCCTAACGCGCATAAAGAAGTATAACTTCAAAAAAACGAGCGATCCTTACAGTAGTCGCGTATGATGTGTAACATTTGAAATCTCACCTTATATTAGTAAAAAAAGAAATAAAACCTACTACAAAAGGAATAAGCCATTTGAACATTATGTTCTAAAATCAAATCAAATAGCGCGCGCTTTCGTGATTTCCTGTTTCACATTTACATGAAACATAGGCGCGAAAATAAGTCTGCAGTGTGCATTAGGGGGACCAAACCATTACATTAGATTTGATAAACCACAGATCCTTGCAGCTGAGCGGCGGTTCGTTCCTCGAATGATGCGCGAGGCTATTGAGATTAAAAAATATCCAAATTTCAATAGGGAAGATGGTTGGTATATACCACCAGCTTGGGAACCTATTATACAGGAGATAAAATCCAAACCCCGAGCACACACTGCAAGACCATCAGATACTATTAGTTCTTTTTCATTGCATAATTTAACATAAGAAGGAGATAGAAAGCCTCTCTTGAGTTTGTTTCGCCGGTTCTTCTCAGAAAGGTCTCCCAATTTTGGAACCGGTGGTAGTTTACGGTAGTTAGGGTCAAATAAATAAACTCAAAATTACAAAAAAGAATTAAAATAAAATACTTTATTAAGTAAATTTAATAATAAATTCATACATAGACAATAAAACTTTAAAAATCGAACAATGAAATAACCAAACGCTCAATAAAAGTCTTTCGAGGGTAGCTCGACAAATTAAATAAAAGTTTAATTCTGACGACGTAGCCTGTAAAGGCTACGAAACGTCAATAAATAAATAAATTTTGTGCATTAACCCGTAAAAACTAGTTTTATTTAATGAGTGATGTGCGTGAAAACCTAAGAAACAAATATATTATAAGTACTTGTTTCTTATATTTCCACGTACACGAATCATTTAATTTAGATTTTTATTTATAGGGGTTATTGAAGTGAAACTTCTTTAAAGTGTGACGGGAGGTATTAGGATTTTGATGTCACGAAAAAGCGTTAGAGGCGGCAGCGGTTCCACTTGTGCGTTGAAGATTCACTTCTACTACGTGTCCCAGTACACATTTCGATTTTGCCACGCCCGCGTAACTCTGCTTTTTTTTTTTTTTATAGTTAGGTCCGACAAATGACTCCACCCCACCTGATGTTAAGTGAAGGTGAAGTCCAGACGCGAAGATAGCTGATACAGCAGTTCTACCTGCCACACCAGCCATCCTCACCCTGCCGGCCTGCATGTTGCTTCTTCACGCCTCTTTTAAAGGATCCCAGGTTGTAAGAGGGAGGGAACACGTGAGCGGGCAGAGCATTCCATTTACGGATAGTGCGACAAAGAAATGAGTCACCAAATTTCTTTGTACGCGTTGGAATTGTGGCCACAGTAAGACGGTGACAACGTAGGCCAGCGCGCGTGGTCCTCTGAAGGAAAGGGGAAGGTGGGATAAGAGAGAATAACTCCTCAGAACACTCGCCGTGGTACAAACGATAGAACGCGCTTAGTGACGCCACGTCACGGCGTAATTGAAGAGGCTCAAGGTGTTTAGTCACCTCCTCATCGCCTATGATGCGGATTGCGCGCCGCTGTAACCTATCCAAAGCATCGAGCAAGTACTTGGCGGAGCCATCCCAGAGGTGCGAACAATATTCCACGCAGGACCGCACTTGCGTTTTGTACAACAAGCACAGTTGATCGGGCGTGAAAAAACGCCGCACCTTGTTCAGGACTCCGAGTTTGCGTGAAGCTGTTTTGATCACGGTTTCGATGTAGTCCTTTGGATTCAGGTCTGAGCGAACTTCCATACCGAGCATGGAAATGTTGCTCTGCAGCGATAGTGTTGTGCCCTGAAGAGATGGAAGGGGAAGGAATGGCGATGTTTTTGCCGTGAAAGCGCAAGCCTGAGTTTTCTTGGCGTTGAACCCAACCAAGTTCCTGGTACCCCATTCGGAAATGTGGTCCAAAGCCTGATTGAGTTCAATGACAAGATTTTCCCGTTTCTCCCTGGTTACTGCCTGCCCAGCCGCTGCTTGTCCGAGATACCCCGCATGCACTGTACTATCGTCTGCATAGCAATGAATATTCCCAAGAGGAATCAAGTCATTGATATGCAGCAGAAAGAGAGTGGGGGATAGGACGGAGCCCTGGGGAACGCCGGCATTCACTGACATGAACCGCGAACTGCTACCATCCGTAAGGACACGAATTCTACGCTCATGCAGGAAGTCAGCTACCCAAGAACAGAACTGGGCTGGCAGACCGTATGCCGGAAGCTTGGAGAGAAGGCTTTTGTGCCAGACCCTGTCGAACGCCTTGGCAATGTCAAGGCTGATAGCCAACGACTCGCCACGCTTGTCGATAGCCTCACCCCAGATATGAGTTAAGTACGCTAGAAGATCACCCGTCGATCGTTTCGGTCTAAATCCATATTGACGATCATTAATCAGGGAGTGATCCTCCAGGTAGCGGGTCAGATGGTTATTAAGGACCTTTTCTAGAACTTTACATAAAACTGAGGTGACTGCTATTGGCCGATAGTTTGCCGGGTCTGAGCGATCCCCTTTTTTGGGCACCGGTTGCACGTTAGCATCCCTCCAAGTCTCCGGCACACGCCCCAAAGAATACGAGCATTGGTACAAGCGCGTGAGCACGGGAGACAACTACGCTGCTCATTTTTTAAGTACTACTGCTGGGATGCCATCAGGTCCACTAGCTTTCCGGACGTCGAGTGATTGCAATTCGGCACGAACCTCACGCTGCCTGATTTTAATATCAGGCATCGTTGTGCCACAGTGAGGTAATGATGGTGGCAGTGCATTGCAATCATCGATTCGGGAGTTAGCCGCAAAGAGTTTTGCCAGTAAATCGGCTTTCTCCTGCGGCTTATGAGCTAGTGTTCCGTCTGGGCATCTCAGAGGTGGCAGCGAGGGCTGGCAGAAGTTTTTTTGCACGGCCTTGGCCAAACGCCAGTAGCTACGGGAGCCCGCAGGATGCGTTATAAGTTCCTGGCCAACACGTGCAACACGCTGGGCATCCGCTCTGATGTAAGCCTTCTTACAGGCCTTGGAAGCAGAATTGTAGGCTGCTTTGAGTGAATCGACCCCGGGATCCTTGAGAGCGCGGCTTCTGATCCAAGCACGATATGCCGCTTGCTTACGCGAAGCAGCTTCAGCACAGTCGTGATTGAACCAGAGGTTACGTGTGCCCTTACTGATGAGATCAGAATGAGGAATATAGTATTCCATACCCATTATAATCTCCTCAGTAATGGCAACGGCACTGCCCGATAGGTCCCTGTCACTGAAGCAGCGCTGCTTCCAAGGGACGGACGCAAAGTAATCACGCATACCGTCCCAATCTGCCGACCCATAATGCCAGATACCGGGGGCCAGAGTCGACGTGTACCCCCAGCATGGAGAAGGAGGGATCTTCCAAGCAGCGGAGACGGCGACAACAAACATCCGCCCGAACATACAGGCATACACCGGCTTTCGCTTTGAAGGACTCTTCAAGCACGTAGCCGGGATAATTAAGGTAGCCTGTGTCAGCAGGCGGAAGTATTTGTGTCTCCGTCAGGAACAACAATGCTGGCCGTGCTATCTCGAGATGGTGGTGGACAGCGTTGAGGTTAGAGTGGAGTCCGCGTATGTTGCAGAACTCGACCTCAAACAGCGTTGAAGGCGTGGGGGTGTGCACCGCTGTACGTCCAAACTTTGTTATTGAGGCTGCCATGGTGGAAGTGAAATAAAAAAGAGACGCGAAAACAAGCGGACGCCGTCGCGAAGAGCCCGGGCAAATAAGGGGGGTTTGTCTTCCCGATTGACTGCCTGCAGTGGAGATGCGCCGATCCGCCGGACGGAAGGGCCCCCGCACCCCCCCGGGAGTGGCCGCCGGGACCCCACGCCCCGGTCACCAACCGGCACGACGGTCCACCCCGAGATTATGAGTGACATGATGGGGCAGCCTCGCGAACTGGTTAGGAACGCTTGGGCCCCTGTACTGTGCCACGGACGGCCAGCGGGACAGCCGTTTCTACGGGTCTCCCTGGCCGACGGGTCGATGCAGTCCTCCCGGCATCGGTTCCAGGGATGCCTCCCCTGGACCGAATCCTTCGCGACAACTTCCACTCGAGCTCTGGTTGTACGCTGGCTGACCCCGAAACGCGCGAGAAGCACTTCACGGGTTTTTCACCATGCGCACGGTGGTAACAAACCAGGCGGGTGTTAGGCACCCTACCACCAGAAGAGCGGATGGAAGCTCCGACATGCCTTAGTCGCTTCTTACGACACCCACGGGAAGAAAAGGGGCGGTGAGTTGTATTCTTTCTCCGTCACCGCACGGATAAAACAGTAAGCACTGTTTTATCCGTGCGGTGTGTTCTATAAGCATAGAACAGTCGCGGAATGCAAAAATCGTCACCATAAGGTGAGTTTTCATTTGTACCAGTGTAATAATAGGGTATTTGACAAGTTTTAGAAAACGATCTCACGTTATTGAATAATGTTTAAGGAGTCCGTTAAAAGTGGATATTCATAATTCTGTTGTGTATTTCAGTAAAAATAACCATGACAAAAACTCCATTTTCAAGTTGCCGCGAAAACGTTTCTCTGGACAATATGGCGCCTTACTAGTGTGTGACGTCACACGACTGTTATTAAAACGTCAAACGATACAATGTAATGTCACTTTAACAGGAAGTTTACTTGCGTGTGACGTCTTTGAAGGCTCCGCCAATCCCAAGCGTTTTGGGTCAAGTGACAATAGATGAGAAAACTATTATCTTTTTCGTGTTTTTAGTAAAAAAATGAATATTTTTTTGTAAAAATCCCCACCAATATTCATTTTAAACACAGATGCTAACAAGTGGCACTTTATTTTTAATACTGTCAAATACTCTATTAATTATTCCAACATATTCACATAGTATTCAGTACAATAATAGTTTTTGAATAAATGTAAATACATAGTTATATTTGTTATTTTTTAAGCATATAACTACTAAATGTTTAAATCTAAAGAAAAAAAATGCGCCGCGGTAGCATAATGGTTAGTTCATTCGCCCGGATAGCGAAGGGTGCGGGTTTGAGTCCCATCTGCTGCCTGATCCGCGAGGAATGTTTTTCTAGATTTAATCATCATTAAAAGAAATACGCACAACAACATTTAGTGACTTATTTCTTTATTGCACTATCCATAAATAGAATGCTTTGCCGGCTCACGAGTTTAAGAAAGGCATACTTAGCAAATTGCCGACCGGCTAGTTGAGAATTTATTTATTTTTATTTATTTAATTATTTATTGTAAAGATAATCACAGCTCGATATATTTCTACATGAAAAAAATATTTTTAAAATTTTGAAGGCCAATTAAGATCATCTACTTTGTAACATCGAATCCATCTGAATATGTACCTATGTGCTCAAGGAAAGCCAATTTAACATTAATATAAAAATACATGTAAATATAATTAGGTATTTATACATAAATACATATAAATAAAAAATAATAAATTATATAAATATGAGATTAATCGTGCATTTAATATAAGGAAAAAAAAACAAGTTGCAGTTGCCTCTTCATAACCCCTGCCTCTAAATTATAAACAAAAAGCAGGAGTCTCTTTGTACTATTCTATACTAGTCTGGATTTGTACCTACAACAATGCTAAATGGGGTTAATTTACTACATCTCCAATTAAATTCATTCTAACAAATTAGTCACCGCACAGATGTCGCTTAATATTAGCAAGAAAAAGGTTCTTAGAGAATGGATTCTAATTCTTCAGATTAGGTTAGCAGCTAAAACTAAAATCGTATGCAAAGGACTAAATTATCCTATATTTAAATACTGAATATCAGTGCACCAGAGCGAAAACCGCAAATGACGTCGGTAATCTTTAACTACCGGTTTTAATATGATTTCATTTAATTTTACCCTGTTTACACTTTATTTTTGTATTGTAATTTGAATATGATATTTTTTATGCCTTTAATAAACAATTATTATTATCAATAAAACCTTAAAAAGCTTTTTATAGGGGACCGGATAGAGTTGAATATTGCTTACCACTCGACGTCTGGTTCGGGGCTGCCAGTAGCGCAGGCGGTGAACTTGGCACTCATGCCGCGTAGCACTTCCGTGTCACCGATCTTCTTAAGGAACGATGGTGGTTCTATCCTCTGTTTCCTTGCACTGCGAAAATAGATGATTTTCAATGGATTTGTGGAGTCATTATTAGATATATAGATATAGATCGTACAGGTAAAGGCAAACTTCATGAGGAAAACCACAGACAAATAAACTTGCGCAGTAGAAGTTCTTCTATGTAAAATTGCAACAGCATATCACATAGATATGTGTAGGAGAATGAACTATGGTGTTCCCTGTACAAAGATCAGTTTGAGAGAGACGAAGCGATCTTGCGGTCGATATTTCATAAAGGTAACGCACCGTCGCTTTCTCTTTCTACAGCGTTGTCAATTTCATGCGAGTGTCGCTCGGACCATTTTTTATGTCTATGATACAACCACACTTTTACTCTACATAATTATATCCCTTGCTTCTTGATATTATATTGTTAAAATATGTGATACCGTTTAAAACTCCAAAAAGTTCTTGTTGCATTTGTGAGTCAAGGTATATGTGCTATAATAAAATAGTAAAAAGGAATAATTAATTTACCTTTTAATAAGTTTAAAGTGCGAATAAAATCTTGTATCCTTAAGAAAGGTAACTATTAAAAATTTCATAAATGATAAGGCACCTTGGGTTTAATATAATAGACTAAGTCGTTTTACTTTGCTAATTTGGTTCAAAATTGTTTAATCGCCCCTTCTTAATTTAAAAATAGTACCTAGCTATACTTAACTTATTGTTAATTAAAAATATTAATGTGATGAAAGTTGACATTAACACATGTTTACAGTTTTTGATGCCATCTTTCAATTGACGACACTGTATGAAACAAAACAGGGAGGAAAAAATAGCCCTCTAGATTTCTTGCCGGTTCTTCTCAGTACAAGGTCTCCGTAGATTGACGAACCGATGGCGTAAGGTTTGAGTTTCACAAGAGCTTGTAACAACCTAGAATGAATAAATGAGTTTGAGTTTGATGATGAAATTAAAGCAACTTACATCTTATCGACGACATCCAAAGCTGCCTCACAAGAAGCTTCTCCTTCTCTATTCTTAGCAACACACTTGTATTGTCCCGCGTCTTCGGGCGTCAAATCACGAACGTACAAACAACAAGCGTCTCCGTCCCGCTTGATGTTGTATTTGTCAGTATGGCGAAGTGGGACACCGTCCTTATACCACGTGATATCAGGAGATGGGACACCGAGTACTCGAGCTGGGAATTTCGCGTCGAAAGTCGGCAACTGTGGGTCAAAGGTTGAATATGTGAAAGTTTTCAATTGCCCAATGTTTAAACTAAAAGTAAATTACTGCTAACCCCTGACATCTTGTGTGTGGGATTTTGGTTTGTAATTGATTTTCAAAAGCTTTGTTGTTATTTTACCGAAACGGATTTTTTTTTATATGATTAGGTAGGCAAATGACTCTACCCCACTTGATGTTAAGTGGTGATAAGATAGCTGGTACAGCAGTTATAAACTGCTACACCAACCATCCTCACCTTGCCGGCCCGCAAAAATGCTTCTTCACGCCTCTCTTAAAGGACCCCAGATTATAGGAAGGACGTGCGCGGGCAAAGAATTCCACTTTCGAATAGTACGACAAAGAAATGAGTCGCCAAATTTCTTTGTTCGTGAAGGAATAGTGGCCACAGTAAGTCGGTGGCAACGTAGGCCAGCGCGCGTGGTCCTCTGAAGAAAAGGTGATGGAGGGATAAGCGAGAATAGCTAAATAGAATAGAATTATTAATAATAATATTGCGAGATGAAAAATCATAATCTGATTAATAAACTAATAATTGGGGAGCTGGCGAACAAAATGGTATAATTACATAAAATGAAATTTTACAGGAGCTGTATAAAACTGAATGACATACATACATTCTTATTTTATAAATTTAGTAATTTTAACACTGTTTTAGGTGTTTTTGATTGAAAATTATTTGAGATTCAAATTCAACAGGCCCGAAACCTCCGGAATGTAAAAAAAAAAAGTAGTTTGACCAGATGCGTAATTATACCGTTTTCTTCGCCAGCTCCTGATTTGAATATCCAGATTTATCGAACGAGAAACAGTAGGATACATGATTTCGTACTGTTTTAAGAATATTTTGAGTTGAATTAGTTAAAAAAAACACGGAATGTACACTACATAACGCCATGTCATGCGAAAAAAGGATTTTGCGTTATTGCTATACGAAATATGTAGATCTATCTCTACACGAAAATAGTCGCAGCTAGTTACATTACAACCGTATTTCAGACTACTTAACGGACTTGGAAATGGAGGAGCTCGATGGCGCAGGTGGCTAGCGCGTTCGGCTGCGATCGTTGAAGTTAAGTAACTTTCGTAATGGTCGGTCATTGGATGGGTGACCAAAAATCTTCAATCTCGAGTTCCTCCGTGCTTCGGAAGGCACGTTAAGCCGTTGTTCCCGGCTGCATCTGCAGTAGTTAGCACCCGCCATTCCGCACTGGGCCCGCGTGTTGGGTCATGACCCAATCTCCCTATTTCATCCACAGGGAAGGCCTGTGCCCCAGCATTGGGGGCAATAATAGGCTGATGATGATGAATGGACTTTAATCGATCCTATATCAATGTCTTACCTGCTGCAAGTCGGTGAATTTCTGCGAGAAGGTAGGTGGCGAATAAACTTTTCGTACGTGTACGGGTCCTTCCGAAGAATCTTCTCCCAGAGGGTTGACTAACTTCACACCGTATACGCCCGCGTCGGGGAGTTCCACAGGGCTGATCTCTAAGCCCACCTGATGCAAAGAAATGAATTCGGGTGATTGCTATGTTTTTATTTAAGCTTTGGAATGCTTGATTTAAATATCTTAAGAAAATTAAACTAATACATTCTAAGCCTAATACCTCGGCCAGTGGTAATCGCACTTAGCATCATCTAGCAACAGCAACGCACACGATAATCCGATTGCTCTACATAAGAGACTGTCAGTCCTTGGTCCAAATGATATAAGATAGGGTGTAGTCGACTATCCGTCATCAGCCGTCATCACCGTAAAATTAAGACCAACCTTATATAATATGAAATGACTAACCTCATTGCTATCGCAAGTAAATATTCCATAAGAAGCAGTCCATATTTTATTTGGAACGGCCGAATATAGATTCTATACAAGGGTACAGGCACGGGCCGGGTCAGGATTTAGCTTCTTTTTAGCCCTGACCAGTATTTTTCCAGTTATATTGAGACCTAACTCGTATAAAATGATGAAACTAACCCCATTGACATAGCAGGCGAATAGCTTTATCGCGTGCTGTAAAAGTCATATTTGGTCAAACATGAAGTCAGATACAGGGTTGCCTACTATAGGCGCGGAAAGGGTCAGGGTTTGTCCTTCTTCATTGTCCATATAACGTCAGGTACAGGAGGTCTAATTTCTTTCCCCGAAACGAACTTTCGATAACGAACTTCAAACGAAATTTAATTTCGTCAATTTAAGGTTATACTTAATTTGAAGGTTAAACTATCAAATTGAAGCTTTCTTTGAGTAGGCTTAGAAAATCTACACCTCAATCTATAATCCGACGACGAATATTATGATGATTAAAAACGAACCAGAAACATAGTAAGAAAAGTGAGAAATTTCGTTTTTCATTGAATTAGAGTAGGCCACGAGGGTTCAGTTAAAAGTAAAACCAATGAACTCACCCTTTTACCGTCACAGGTGAGCAGTACCCGATCGCTGGGTGTTAATGGCTGTCCGTCCTTGGTCCATATAACGTCGGGTACAGGGTTGCCTACTATAGGCGCGGAAAGGGTCAGAGTTTGACCTTCTTCGGCCGTAGTTTCGCGTAATCCGTGGATTAAACGTGGTCGTTCTTGGGGCGAAGTCTCGTCCGCGCGTTCTGTTTTAAATAATAAATAAATAAATATTTCCAACACTCACATCAATTAGCCTAGCCCCAAAGTAAGCACTATAAGGCTTGTGTTATGGGATATCAGGGTAACGGATAGAATACATATACCGATAACATTACATACATAAGTATATTTATATAGCAATACATATTAAACATCCATGACTGGAGTACAAATGCTCGTGTTCATCATACAAATATCTGCCCCCACCGGGATTCGAACCCGGGACCTCTCGAGTTGGCGACACCATAAAACCCGGCGTACAAACCACTCGGCTACGGAGGTCGTCGGAGGAGGAGGTCGGAGGTTTCTTTTTATAAACATTGGCATAATTATTGTAGTTTTCTAAAAACCACTTGTATTAATAATCTAAGTTCAAATTAAGGCTTATCCTGTCCTGTTTTACACATTATTTCATCTTTGTGAATTGTTAAAAGTCAAATACAATCAATAGAACGAGTCTCAAAAATCATTAGCGTTTGAATTTAGTTTTAAAGACTATTGAGCAAGTAGACCTTAAATACACTTAACACTTGAGTAAATTACACTTAACATCTTGAGTGGTGAAGTAGATAGAGATAGACATACAAAGTCCTGCATATGGTTGGACATTGTATGTACACAAAACAAAATATATAATGAAGTTTTTGTCACAGACAATTTAACTTGTATCGAGTAATAAACAGGGCAAGATTCTTTAACTATTACTAGTAGTCCAGCTACGTTACGTAAGATAACTGTTGAGTATTTTATTTAGTTTCATTGCAAAGGTGGACCATATAAGCATGAGCACCTTGATTATTTGCGGTCACCTCATTATAGCCTGTCAACGCTTGCGATATCATGAGTTTAGAATGCAAAATCATGAGATCGACAATATATGATAAGAGACCAAAAATTTATTATCTCGATTCTCGAACTTCTTCGTTTTTCAGCCGTTGGTCCCGACTAGGGATGACGATCTGAGAACGATTAATCAAAGAATCGATTTTTGGAGCCAAAAAGATCGATTTTCTAAATCGATATGTAGAACTGAATTGATTCAGTGAATCGATATTTCACCCTTGAAAATCGACATTCGGCTGTTCTTCTTATTCAATCGATATGAAAGGAAGGTCTTTGCCTCATCAGTGGGGACATTAACATGCTGACAATGTTGTATATATATATAATACTGACTGGCAACATTAAGGTCGGCAGTGGAAGTGGCTTCTCCCTTGTCGTTGGTCGCGATGACGGAATACTTCCCGGCGTCAGCTGCGCCCGCCTTGTCTATGAGTAGCGCGTGAGTGCCGTCCGGTTGGGAAACTAGCCGGATGTGGGTGCCGTCCGGCACTATCTCCTTGCCGTTGTGAGTCCTGGTAAAGTTTATGAGTAGAATAAATAAATAAACGTTTCTAAGACTAACATCAATTAATCTAGCCCCAGATCAGTGTAATGCCGCAATTACATTTGGTCGTTAGGACGTATTCGGGTGCACGAAGGACATTACTCGAATTCGGGCACCCGTAGCAATATTTACAATGGAGTATGGACTAGGAGACGTTGTCGGATAAACAAAAGGAAATCTACTCGAATACGGGCGTACTGGACTCTGTTCATTTAGACTTAGATGTTTACCCGAATTCCATTGGCCCTCGTATTCGGGCTAACGGCTAAGTGTAATCGCGCCATAAGGTTTATGTTATGGGATGCTAGGGTAACGGATAGATATACATAATTATGATACATAGAGAAATACTTCTCAAGAGTTTCTTTTGTAGAAAAGTATAGAAACATCCAGTCTTAGGTCTGTATTAATAGTTCGCTCTCAAATGTGACTGAGGGCGGTCTTGAGTACGATCTTGATATGCTGTTTTGTATGAAAGCAGTCTCTCAAGATCGCAGTCTCAAGAGTTAAGAGTTATCTATCAACACGGGCCTTAGGTACAAATACTCGGACTCATCATTTAGATATTTGCCGAAAAAGTTTCAAATGCACGATCTCTAAGTAGGCCACACCTTGAAAGCCGGCGTAACTTCCATTACACACCACTTAGGTCGCCGATAATGCTTTCAACGCTGTTGCTTAAAATAGTTATCAAAATTACACTTCAAACTCGGGACAATCAGAGCTCAATCTTTTTTATGTTTTTATTTATTTTTAAGCATTTAACTGCTAGATGTTTAAATCTAAAGAAAAGTTTACTAGAAAAAAATCCACGCGGACCAGGCAGCGGACGGGACTCGAACCCGCACCCTTCGCTATCCGGGCGAATGCACTGACCATTATGCTACCACGGCCCTTTTCGCCGCGTCGAATCTTTTTTATTTTACTCTTAGTATATGAAAAATTCTTTATTTTAACTTTTTGCGAGTGCCCGATATTATAAGTGCCATTCTCACAGAGAGGCAAATGATTATGGCACTTGAAATTGCCGAAATATCGGGCACTCGCAAAAAACGAGGTAAGTAAACATGGTAGCGATTCCGCTAATGAGGATCCGTAACGGTTTTAGTTGAGAATGCAGATTTGTAGAGCTAAGGATTCCATAAAATATAGTGGTAAAATTTTTGTTTAACTACAAATATTGACGAAGTTATGACCAAATTACTAAACGAATTTTCGGCTGGCCGCGTGGTGGCTGTGACGTCACAGAACTCTAGAGCTCGGGCGCGAGCATGCGTAGAGACGCTATTGAAGTTAGACCGGAGTGAACCACGATCGAGCTCTATGATGTCACACGTTTCGGCCGCCAGTGAACATTGACTACCATGAAATTAGTTATAAATGCGCAACGAATGAACCGATTTCGATGATTAAAAAAGTATATTAATTAAAAAGCTTATGAAATCATTATACTGTTGATTTTGAGTTCATTTGCTGACCTAGTAATGATCCTCATTACTTTCTATACCGTTAGTGACCATGAAAGTATTTGTTTTTTTATTATGTTAAAAGTGTGGCAAACCATGGTGTATGACCCGCCTAATGGTAAGCCATCATAGTCGCTTGGGATACCAAAAATATCAATAGCACCGTTGCCTACTCTGACCCAATCCCCTTCCCCGTGGAGGAAGAAGAAACACAACACCATCATAAGGTAATGTTATTATGCTGTAGTTTTCTGTAAGGTGGTGGTTACTTCTCCCGACGGGCGCTCCAATTCGAGGAGGAAATTCGCTATGCCCTATATCTCTTAATTCTTTTGCTGCATTTAAGTACTTACCATTTAACCAAAGGCGGGGGATGTCCCAGCAGCTTGACCTCGAGTCGCGCGGGGAATCCCTCGATGACAGTTGCCGGCATCAATTCTGCGAGGAAGGCAGGCTTGCGTTCCTTCTGCGTGACCTCGACCTTGGCTTTAGACGATACCTGATGAGGGAAAAACCAGGTAAATTGAATCGAAACTCAAATTACACGCGCTCGCTATTAACCAAATATTAAAAGATAAGCATTGAAACGAGGCGGGGAAGACTTTACAATGTTACCATACTTTAAAATGATGTAGTTTTGTTCATAATTCTCCATAAATCCAATCAAAGCTTTGTGATAGCTAAGTCCTTAATAGTGCTACTGCTATCCTAACTTTATGGCGGTTATGAAGTTAGCAGCGAGCGCAACAATGCACAGCTTTCAGTTTAGTAACATTCCGCGCGTGCCTATATATCATCCTATATTTCGTTTACGCATCGCGACTTGCGCTAACTTCACAGTAGCTCGCCATTATTAGAAATGCACTATACTACTGCGCCATTTACTCGTTGCTTCTGTGAGGTGTTTCGTAGCGTTTGTAGCTACGTAAAATATCTTGTATATTTTTAGTGTAGAGTAACATGTTTCAGAAACATAGATTTTATTTTTTATTTTTCAATTCCTAAGTATTGCGTGCTACTTGCTATAGGCTACATAATACACGCTACGAGTGCTACGGCGTAGTTCGTAGCGGCAAACGTTTCGAGTAAAACTAAAAAAATTGCCTAATAAAATGAAACACCGTAATATATACTGTGGCTATGGTGTAGTTAGCTGGCCCAGCCTATTGGCCACAATCAGTTCGTAGATTCCAGCGACCTCAAAGCGCGCCGCCTCTAAGCTCAAGCCGGATTTAAACCTACAACCATCTAAATATTACTGTAGCTATGGTGTAGTTACCTGGCCCAGCCTATTCACCACAGTTAGTTCGTAGACGCCCACATCTCTTGGGTGCGCGGCCTCTAAGCTCGGACCGGATCGGAGATCTACAACCATCTATACATATATTACTGTAGCGACGATGTAGTTACCTGGCCCAGCTTATTGGCCACAGTTAGTTCGTAGACGCCAGCGTCTTCAGGGCGCGCCGCGTCTAAGCTCAGGCCGACGACCCCGCCCGGCTGGTTGATGAAGTTCACCGCTTGCGACGGACGGATCGGAAGACCTGTAAACATAATGATTAGCTAAGCCTTATCTAAACATCATTCCCCTTATTACAAATCGCAGACTAAAGTTAGTCTTGGTTTAAACCTAAAGTTGTCTTTGATTTCTTACTAGCAAAAAAAAGTGACAGCATCAGTTTTAGTTCAGGTTTATCTTTAGTCTACGTTTTGTTGTAAGGCCGAGTATGTATAACACAAAACTACCCCCGCTCTTTGTACGTTTCTGTTTTAAATTACGTAACGGATTCAGTGCAGGTTTTAGCAATATACAGAATATTCAAGAAAAAGTTTTAAATGCATAATATGAAGAAATGACGTGCGAACGTACTATAAGGTGTCTGATTATATTTCAGACAAAAGTACTTGGGGTTTAAACTTTGCTTTGGGTTCTTATGAATAAAGAGTATTTTAAGGTGTCTGATTATATTTCAGACAAAAGTGCTTCGGTTTAAACTGTTCTAAATGTTCTAAGAGGCTATTTCTTATACATGATAAAGATAATCTGATTTTGTAATTGATACTGTAACAATATAATATTTTGTAAATATAGTTACAAGATTTGACACTGTGAAGTTCTTTTCGCTCGTTTTTCTCCACAGCAAAAAAAATGACCGAAACGGGTGGTAGGGAAAAAATGTGGGCGATTTAAAAGAGTTTTCCTATTTGAATAAAGATATGTTGAATTAATTAAATTGAATAGGCACATGCATATTATATTAGTTACATTGCACCAACTACGCTAATTAGTCACATATAAATAAACAAAAGTAGAAATGTTTGGAAAATTATCGTAAAAGTAAACAATAAAGAAAGATTATAGATTTCATTTGTCATTCATCAAAATCAATGAAACTGTTGGTTTGCTCTTAGGGTAGCCATTCACGAGATGTTTGTTTGGAATACTTCTAAATGGAATACTTCCGAATGGAAATACTATAACTTGAAGGCACATTGACTATACATCCAATTGGACATAGGCGCCGGCGCAGTCAATTTAAACGCCTTAACGAATAGTTAGCTTTTCATACACGTGTGAACAAAATACTACGATTGATTTTTAATAGTACTGCTTTTACGCAGACTGCATTTTTATAAAAACACCGAAAAAAACCTAAAAGAAAATGGATGAAAAGTTGTTGTTTAAAAAGAAGAAAGAAGCAATGATTTGTTATTTTAATTATGTTGTATACTAACCGTCTTTGAACCACTTGACCTCGGGCGCGGGGTAGGCCATCACTCGCGCCTCCAATTTGAGCGGCTGGCCTATCACCGCCTTCGTGTCTTCCAACTCCTGGCTGAAGGATGGTTTACGGGGCGTTGCTGTTTCGAGCACAACACAATTCATATTAATAATTAGATTTCTGGCAACATTTTGAAGTGATCTTAATACTTAAGTCCTTTTTAAAAGAATTAATAGTGCGCCTTGTAGAAGACGCGCAGAGCAGCAAGGCGCGTGCAGCGCCTGGCAGAAACTATGTATTACAGTAATATTATAAAGGCGAAAGTTTGTGAGTGTGTGAGTGTGTATGTTTGTTTCTTCTTCACGTCTAAACGGCTAGACGATTTTAATATTTGGTATGGAGAAAGATTAACATATAGGCTACGTTTTACTGCGGAAAAATATCCATAATGAACTGCGAGTAACACAGCGGGGCACAGCTAGTATAGCATAAGCCGGATGAGAATATATATAGCATAAGGGTAACTGTTCAGGTGTTATGCGAGCCTGGTACTTAGCGCGCTTGAGCTGATCGTGCCTCTCTATCGCTTGTTCTGCGCTCTTGCTTGCACGCTCATGCTCAGGCGGAACGTGACACATTTTCGTGCGTGCAGCTAGTGCTCATCGATTAATAAGACGTAACCATCTCAAAAATATAATTTTAAACATAGTTTAAAATCTCTTTTAATCGTACACAAAGCCAGCAAACCCTTTGGGATGAACGAAAATATTAAGCTTCCGCTGTCCGTCTCTTTCGTCTGTCAGCGTGCTCTTATCTCATCTAAATCACGAACTAGCGGCCACCCGCGACTTGTCCAAGTTTACTTTGGTTTTTTGTAAATCCCTCAGGAACTTACCACTTTTTCGAGATATAAAGTATTCTATGTCTCAATCCAGGTCGTAAACTATATGCGTCTCAAATTTCATTCAAATCCGTTCAGTAGTTTTTGCTTGATTGAGTAACACACATACACACACACAAACTTTCACATTTCTAACATTAGGAGGAATACCTTTAGGTAATCTGTGGAAATTTTATTTCTATTGTCGTTAAGACGACGACGACAATAAAAATTAATTGAAATTTCAAATTATGGAAGATCATCATATACTATTCATCGCTTCTTTTGGTTGCGAGTATAGGAGATAGTGTTATTTTACTGTAAAATTAAGAAGTTATTCGCTCTGTTCTATCTGATAGCTATCAATCGTCAACTTTTAAGGTCATATTGGGAATGGTTCTAACATGATTCTTTAAACCTAAAACTAAACTTAAGTATGTTATCTTTATCATACATCATCATTACATCGCGTGTAAAAAGGATTGAAAGCTGTCAAATTTTCATAAGAGTTCAGCGAACCATGTCAGAATTTCTGAACTCAGATCCGATGTTATTTCTTTTCTTATCTATATGTTTTCTAATTGCTGTTCGTTAGTCTTAGTAAAACTCGAGAACGGCTGAACGAATTTATCTTATCTTGGTCTTGAAATGTTCGTGGAGGTCTAGGGAAGGTTTAAAAGAAAATATGGAAAAATTGCGAAGATAGTAAAAACGTCAATTTAATTTTCCCATATAAACTAGGAAAAAAGATAGGACATCTTCTTTTCTGTCAAATAATTGACGGTTGTCCCTTTTGGTACGGTAGACACGGGTCCGTCATTTCTTCCAAATTATTTTAACCCGTACGATGTACGCGGGGTCAACTATTAAGGTGATAAAAGTAAGTTTTATTAATAAGAACATACGATTAACAGCGACTGCGCACAAGGCGGAGGATTCTCCGTGCGGATTGGAGATGACCAGCTTGTAGGCGCCGCAGTCGGCAGGGGTCGCGCGTTCGATGCTCAGCTTCACCGTGCCGTCGGGTAGGGCGGTCTGTATGATGCGCGAGTCGTTTGAAGGTAGTTCTACACCGTCTTTGTACCTGGAGGGTTTTGTTGTTTTATTTAATCATTTATATATTCTGTACACAAAAAAATAGGAGCTCGATGGCGCAGGTGGTTAGCGTTTTCGGCTGCGATGGTTGAAGTTAAGCAATTTTCGAAGTGGTCGGTCATTGGATGGGTGACCAAAAATCTTGTATCTCGAGTTCCACCGTGCTTCGGAAGGCACGTTAAGCCGTTGATCCCGGCTGCATCTGCAGTCGTTAGCACCCGCCCATCCGCACTGGGCCCATGTGGTGGGTCATGACCCAATCTCCATATTCCATCCATAGGGAAGGCCTGTGCCCCAGCAGTGAGGACATTAATAGGCTAATGGTGATGATGTACACAAAAAATAGATTAAGGAGCAACTTAATTAAAGATACATGTACAAGGGCACAATTTATTTCAATTTGAAATTTCTTCCCGTGGTATGAAAGAATATGAGAGAAGGCAGTCAGCGTTTACATCTATTTTAGTGTGGTATTGAGCATTGTGGAGGATAGGCACCTTTTGCAATATACGGGTATAGGATCAAGGGCGTATTTGCTCTAAGGCTAAAATAACCATGGCCCGGAGCGACAGTCAACAGCCTGCCGGGTGGATGAAAGAGCTGTAAGGGGAGGCAGAAGCCATATAAAATTCATTACTGATCCTGACGCTGATTTAATAATTCCAGGAGGGCAAAACGTAAATGGCCTGGAGTACCAGATTTCAAAATACGCCCTGCGTCGAATGGGTGGCAAAAACTGTATTGTCTCGAGGACCTCCGCGCATCGGAAGACACGTTAGACTGTTGGTCTCGGTCGCATCTGCCGTTGTTAGCACCACCTATTCCAAGATCCACGTGATAGGTAATTATTTGTCCTTCTTATTCCTCCAATAGGTTAAGACATTTGAATTAACCAAATCAGTAGGGAAAGAAAAAATTATGACAATTCTAAAGAGAATACGATGTAGGTTCCAAGTTAACTATAAAGTTTTGATTTCGATTTTTTTTCCATTTCACTATTCCCCATTGCACACTAGAAACACTGAAAATTTAAGACATAACAAATAGCATTCTCACGATTTGGCCTCTGGTAGGGGGCTTCCATCTTTGTCTTTCTGTCGCTCCAGCTTATGCGTCGCTCAAGTGAGTGATATTTTCCCTAGAAATCCTATTAAATGGAATGAATAGTAGGTATTCTCACCATGTGGCCTTCGGAAGCGGGCTCCCATCGAGTTTGGCCTTTAGTTCGAGCGGTTCTCCTTCGTCTACGTCTTTCTGTCGCTCCAGTTTGTGAGCGAATCCCGGCGTTCCTCGTGCAAGAGATATTTCTGCTTCACACACCGCTTCACCCGCTAGACTCACCGCACGTACTTTGTACTGAACAAACATAAGATATTTGTTATTGTTTGTAAAAAAGGCAAATCGTCAGACCAGAGAACATTTAATGCAATGTTTACCTTCCGAAAAAAAAAACAAACGCACCTTTAGTCAAAAAAAGAAATAAGTCAAAATTTCAATTTTGTGGGAAAACGCAATCAAAGTTTGACTGTTTTGCATAAGCAACTTTAATCTGTCATAAAAAAAGAATGAAAATATTTAGGTGAATTCTAAAAGTAGATTCTCTTAGTATAATTATTTAACTTTTATACCAACTATCAAAATTATCAATTTTTTAAAAAGAAAAACAATAAAATAAACATTTAAAAAAAAGTTCGAAGTTATTTCACTTTATGCCGAAAAATAAAATCGCGAAGTATGGACATACGCGAGGTAATATCAAAAGTTGCTATTTTTTATTTAATATACTTGAAAAATGTATATTATATTTTGATTTTGTACAGTATTCTTCTAATGAAATTAATAATAAATGACTATAAATTGTTTATTATTTCGAATTTATTCATTGAAATTTGCAAAAAATATGGTTGATGGTATTAAAACTGATGTTGTAATTCTTTATTTTACCCGTAATTATCATGCAATAAAAATAATATAGAATCCTTATAAAGCACAATTGAAAAGGATCATGGTTTAATAAAAATAATTTAATTGTCAATTTAATAATAATAACCATAAACTAAAGTTGTAGTCGTAAAACAAAACAAAAATAACTCTCAACAAATAAACAACAACATTTAGCATAATGAAAATTATAAAACGTAAAGAATTTATATAAAACTATACTCTCATCATTATAATCAGTTTTCATTTATATAATTGAGATCTTTTTATTGATAACAACTTAAAACACTTACAAAATACAATTTTAGAACGCTGCATGACAAAAAGGACCAACCCAAAGACGAAAACATAATTATCGAAACTTAATTAAGTATAATCAAAATGATGACAACACTCTTTATCAAAGCATTAAATTGGTCCGGTTTATATATCCGTCCAGACTTAAGGTTCTTTTTACTTCCTTTTCTATTATGCTATGCATGCTATCTGCATCATACTGGGTATGTCCTCTTATATAGAGTTTATGTGTTATACATTAAATGTTTAATATTTGAATAGCATGAAATTATAAAGATGTAATATATTTATTTTTATGTTGGCCACAGCAATTGTCCGAGTGAAAAATCACTTCCTTCTCTTCGTCGTCTTCATCACTTAAGCATTTAATATATACCCACACACAAGAGCATCATACTTGCACTTATATGTGCTCTTTGTTTAGCCAAGACACAAAAATCTCAAAATTTTCGGAAAAATTGTGCATTCTACCGCCACGGTCTTTCAGATAACGGGATGGCACATTCTTCTGACTTTTTGCTAGATATACATAGAGGTGTCAATACTGTCATTATTCTCTAAACTTAAAACTAAATTTAACATCAGTCTCTTCTTTTCATTCTGTGTAGAGAATGACAAGGATAAACTGTTGTCAAATTTAAGTTAAGGTTTACAAAATCACACCGTTATCATTCTAGTATACGTTTACGTTTTATCTTATTCTGCTTCCATTGGCAGAGTTTTAGGATGCCCACGCCCTTTTTTTTTGAATTTGCTCTATTGGTCGACGAAGATAATGACTGATTAATAAGGTAGTTCCTATTTTTGCTTGATTCACTATTTATAAATGTAGGATCTGAGTCGCTAAGATCAATATCACTTACACCATCAATATATACAGGAGACGTATAATAATTAAGATTGTCCCTGATACAACGATTAAATACCTAAAAAATATATAAATGTAAGAATTACAATTGAAAGTTCTTGGAAGTTTTATGGTGCATAACATTTTTAATTACGATCCTTCTATTTTCAAGATTAAAATGGCGAACGCATCTCTCACTTGCGATTTGCTGACGACATCGTCATCATGACAGAAACCCTGCAGGACCTTCAACAAATGCTGAATGACCTGGCAGACTCTTCTATACGCATCGGCCTACGGATGAACTTGGCTAAAACCAAGGTCATGTTCAATGAACATGTTCTACCGGAACCGATTGCAATACACGGTGCCGCTCTCGAAGTTGTTCAAAAATATGTATACCTTGGGCAGACATTGCAGTTAGGTAGAAACAACTTTGAGGATGAGGTGAATAGAAGAATTCAGCTAGGTTAAATGCTGCCCATTTGGGAAGCTACGTCAAGTCCTGACATCGTCGATTCCACAGTGCCTAAAGACGAGTCTTTAATCAGTGCGTCCTACCTGTGATGACATATGGAGCCGAGACGTGGACACTGACGGTACGGCTGGTCCACAAGTTCAAAGTCGCTCAGCGCGCTATGGAAAGGGCTATGCTCAACGTTTCTCTGAAGGATCGCATCAGAAATGAGGTAATCCTACAGAGAACCAGAGTCATCGACATAGCCCACCGGATTAGCAAGTTGAAGTGGCAGTAGGCTGGTCATATTTGCCGATGAACCTATAACCGATAACTCGTCTTCTCCAACGGTAGACGAGTTCTGGAGTGGAGACCGCGTCTAGGCAAACGTAGTGTAGGACGTCCTCAGGCACGATGGAGTGAAGATTTGCGCAAGGTGGCTGGCAGGAGCTGGATGCGAGTAGCCCAAGATCGATCTGAGTGGCGTGCAATTGGAGAGGCCTATGTCCAGCAGTGGACTAGGATAGGCTGTTGATGATGATGATGCTGCGGGGGAGTGTTTTCAATTGCAGGTGAACACGCTTCTTCGGTTTCATTTATAGTCATGACTGTCATTGTGTCCAGGGTTATTATATTGTAATTAATTTGCTTTATTTAAATTATTCACATCAAAACTTGCCAAAGTATCGGGAGAAGATGTGTTTGAACATGAAGAGAGTGGCCTCGAATATGTAGATGTCGAGCTACTTGAAGACGACAGATGACGTACACGAAATTCTTTATTATAACTTTCTGCTTCTATAGTGAAGCATGGTGTCTGATCTTCATTATCTTATATGGTAATATCACTGTCATAGTAAGATACTAGACTTATGTTGGGTTGTTTTATTTCACGCTGTGAATTCTGTGATCAAAAATATTATATAATAAATAATACTAGAATCAATTTGCTGTTTGGTTCTTATTTTACTTTTATACTTTTTACTTACTTTTATTTTACTTACTTTGATATTTACGTACTGTATTTGACGACACGAGTTTAAAGATACATTTAGTCGGATTGTACTTACTGTTAAAACCAAAAGTTAAACTTGTTCAGGGATAAGTGGAAATTAATAATTTTAAAATTAAATATACCCACTTAATTAATAGGTAGATACGTAAGATTATTAAAGAAAGTCACCTCGAGATTAGAATCTTAATTGTTATTTTTATTCGAATTATAACTGAAAGAACTATCTTTATCTTCCACAACTTTACTTTTAAAAAAATAAAACCAATATTCTTCGTGCCCTCGAAGCCATCTTAAAAGCTGAAACAGAATAATGTATGGTAGCTACTTAAAATTCTTAATAGGGTGTAACAATTTTTAATTTAATTTTCGTTTAATAATTACAATTTTTTAAATAATTTAATAAAAAAGTGCATTAACTCGAAGTGCTACACAAATCGCACCTGAATATTTTATAGAGAACTGTAATAAATCCCAATGAACTTCTGAAAATATGAGTGTTTTTTCAATTAAGCAGATTTAAGACTCAAGATATACACTTTTTTTAAATAATTAACCAGAAGAAATACTTACCTGATAGTATAACACCGCTATATTTAGAGTTTTTACGTTTTTCCAAAAATCTTTAGAGACCTTACTGTCAACGAAGCCGGCTTAACACTGAATTCGATCACTTATTTAGTATCGACTTGTGCTAAACCGTTTGTAGAAAAGAGAACGATGGTCTTCTATCTCTTTCATTTTCATCGTATCGAAACGGCTGTTGAACTGAGCGCATTGACTCTAATTAGTTAGTTCACTTTATGCCCAAAACCCAAAAAATGGAAATTTTGGGTTATTTCTTTTTTTGAATAAAGGTGCGAAATGTCCGTCAAGTTGACAGTGAATGCAATTAGAATGAATCATACACTGCTACGTGAAAAAGTCGCTGTGAACTTGACTGTGCAAACAAACACAAATGTCTATGCAAGTAAGCATGAAAATGCTTGCAGAATTAACAGAACATTTAAAAATTACACGAAGCATAATACATCTTCGAGCCTTTGGTAACGGTTACATATGCAGTCTTTAGCACGCACCAATTCACTGGACTCGCATAGTGTGAGGCCTTACCTTATTTCGTCGTTAGGAAAAAGCCTGTGCCTTAACAGTGGAGACATTAATAGAAAGAACCTATTAATGTCTCCACTGTTGAGGTACAGGTAATGAAGACGTAACAACTTCAAATTCGTTTCCTGAAAATTGTCAATAGGGCATTTGACAAGTTTTGGAAAACGATCTCACGTTACTCACTAACGTTTATGGAGTCCATAAAAAGGAGGAAATTCATCATTCTCTTGTGTATTTCAGTAAGAATAACTAAATCAAAAACTCGATTTTCAAGTTGCCGCGAAAACGTTTCTCTGGGCAATATGGCGGTCTCACTGGTGTGTGACGTCGCACGACTGTCATTAAAACGTCAAACGATACAATGTAATGTCACTTTGACCGGAAGTTTACTAGTGTGTGACGTCATTTTAGGCTCCGCCAAAGCCAGGCGTTTTCAATCACAAAACTATTATCTGTTTCGTGGGTTTTTAGCAAATTTATGAATATTTTTTCTGCAATAATAGTAAAAACCCCTAACAATTAGCACTTCATTTTTAATACTGTCAAACACCCTATTAACAAAAGTAACACTTACCTTGCCAGCGTCGCTGGAGTTGAAGTGTTTGATAGCGAGTTCACTGTCCACCTGACCGCCGACTTGAGTAGTTATAGTATGGCGGTCATCGTTCTCAATCTGTTTCCCGTCGCGGTACCACAGTACTTGAGGCTTGGGAATGCCGTCGCAACGCACGCGTAATACGACGTCTTCGTAGTCTTTCACGGTTTCTTTTTGAAGTGGTTTCGTGAACACTGGTTCGCCGGCTGCATTGGACATTTTAAGGTTTATACTAATGTTTAAAAAAAAGCTATTAATAGATACATATATGATGATTTCTGAATGGTAACTATGACTCTGTGTAACTTGAAATAAATAATTAATATATATGACAGAGCTGAATTGGCAGAGAACGGGTCGTCCACAAAGAAATATTTTTTGGAAAATTCACATTACAATCGTTAAACCATTGGTTTTGCACCACTCAATGGCGCAAGTGATTGTGAAATTCAAGCAACTTTTACAATGGCCAGTACCCCAACTTCGTAAAGCATGTTAAGCCGTTGATAACGTCTGCATTTGCAATTGGTATCATCCACTAATTCGTACTATCTACAGAGCAGGCCTCTTAACCCAAACTCCTTATCCCATCCAAAGGGTAAGGCTTGTGCCCTAGCAGTGGGGACATTAAAAGGCAAATTATAACGATACTGTACTCACTATGAATTGACAGGCGGGCTTGCATAGACGCCTCGCCGATCTCATTGGTAGCGGTGACAGTATAAAGCCCAGCGTCTTCCACGCTGACATCCTTCACGACCAGTTTGTAGGTCTCCGCAGGAACGTCCTCTATTATCTCGTGGCGAGGCGATGGCTGGATCACGAAGCCATCCTTGCTCCTGGACGATTAAAGAAAAATCCTATGAAAAACTTTTGGAAGCTGCAATACTATCGATAACCAAATACGCGAAAGTTGTATAAAGCATGAAATCTGAATAATAGTTTTATTTATTCGGAAAGGGTTTGCGCTTTAACTCTATCGCGCCTGATGGTACGATGTATAAAAGATGGAGCGCATGTGTCCATTATACGCCCATTAACTCTTGTCTTGATGACTATTAATTGTATTGTCTGAGAAGACTGTGACTCGAATTTTAATCTCGGGCAGTACGCATTAAAAACGAACATATCAAGTATTTTGTACGCACTGCCTTCGGATTTAGTTTGTATCTATCGTTGTGTTTCATAATATTTTACAAAGCCTAGCAAATGAGATCACTAGTCTAGATAAATGGATATTTATGCTATGAATGTAGTTGTCAGAACGTTCTGAAGTCTTCTGCCAATGTTCATTAAGTTCCAGGGTTGGTTGAAAGTCATCAAACATCTACTAACCATTTGACCTCAGCGACAGGATTGGCTCGCATGTTGCACACGAAGGTGGTTTCTTCGAAAGGCACAGCGGTGACGTCATGAAGCCCTTCCAATTCTGGTCGCAGCAGTATATCTAGTCTCGCAGAACTCTCGCCTACTCCATACTCATTCTTGGCTTGAATTGTGTACATGCCAGTATCGGTATGGCGACCTATGGAATAACAAATTCATATAAAAATCGGGTGGTGTAAGAATTATAATATTAATAAAACATGTTTCAGATCAATATTTAGGACAAAGTGGATAGAGAAAAAGTCAATTAATAGAAGAAAGAAGAAAGACTATGGGCAGTAGCGTATCTTAAGGCGAGGCGCCTTAAGATACGCGTCCAAAATAAACCAGCCATTATTCTATTTCTTTCTCTATAAAATCGGCGATTTGCTTTTGGCCCTAGAGTAAACACACACATGTCTACGGGTCAGTTTTATCAGCTCCTGAACCTGAAGTATTGATAGAAGACCAACGAATTAGAAATAATATTATGGAATCCGAACTGCGCTAGGAAGTGGTTCTACGTAAACTGCGATCAAGCAGGCAGGGCGAGAAAACTGCGATCAACACGCCGATTATGAGATTAATTGAAATTTCCTGTTAACATTATCATTGCGTAAGATAGCAGCAGGGAGAGCCTAAATCATTTGCAGATTTTGATTTGTAAAATTATTTTGTTTTGTCTGTGTGCTGAACTTCAATATTAACTCGACACAATTAATATTGAAGTTCGTTGTAGAAGACTCACCTGACGGAATGGTAAGTGTGAATACGCATTCGTTCAATCCATGTTCAATGGGTGTGGACTCCATATTGGGAATGATTGCGGCACTCGGTTTGATCTCTACGCCGTTAAGCAACCATGCCACGTGGGGCAGTGGATCAGCGGTGCACACGGCTCGAAGGGTCACGGGTTCGCGCTGCATCACGCGTTGAGCCTCCAGTGGCGAAGTGAACATTGGCTTGCGGTAATCGCTCGCCGCTGTGAATGTCAAACCGTAATACAGATCTCGTTGAACCATAGTTAAAGTTAAATATCGTGTGAATTTTTAAATGAAACTGAACTATCGACAAAAAAGAGAAAGTAATAGCCAGGTACCGCAAGGTATCTCAAGGTGATGGTATCCTAAGATTTTTTTTTATATATTCACGACTTCGTGTCTATCTAAAAGGCCGTTTACTGTAGAAGATGCTACTTTTGCGCGATTAGAAACTTTCATATGCAAAAAAATGTGTAATTGCGTGTCATCTGTTGTAGGCCGTGTCAAGTAATCAAGTAGTAAATATATAAAGATTGGAACCGTATCTAATGCTTGGAGAACTTTTCATGAAATCGATCTAGTACATAATGGATGCTTACGTGTCACAGAGAGTTCAGCTTGTAGCACTTGTTTGCCGAGATCATTGCTGACTTCGCACTGCCATTTGCCGGCATCCTTCAAGTCTACTTTCTCGACTACCAGCTTATAAAGTTCACCATCGTTTGAAATTTGTATTCTGCCGCTGGGTTTCATTTCCTTGCCGTTGAGCAGCCAACGGACCGCAGGCTTGGGATGGCCTGAAGCTTGCACTGTGTACACTAGAGGCAGTCCTTCGACCGCACTGCCGTCTTTCATATTACTCTCGCCGAGTTTGGGGGGTGCTGCAGAATGAATTGAGGATCACGTCAGCGGTATGATACTAAACATTTGTTTAATGCGGTTTGCACTTGCGAATATGTTCAGTTTAAAAGATAATTTGTTTGAAAAGAACTTTTATACTCATCGAATTCCAAGGTAAAGACAAAGTTAATATTAAAGATAGACATAGTTCTTGATAATTCTGCACAATTTACATGGCATCGAAACTTATTATTAACGAAAAGGGCAAACTAAATAGTACTAAAAAACCGACAAGAATTATAAAATCTTAACTTGAAAACTTTTGAAAGTCGAAAATAATTTTACAAAAAGAAAATACAAAGATACGAAGAGAAAATCAGTTGAAATCCTTGCAGCACACTCAGTGAAGCTCCTAGAATACAAATTTGCATTATTTACAGTAGACACATAAATATAAAGATTTGCATGTATGTACAGCTGTTAACCAGAAACTTATTCACCGCGAAAATACTCACCAAGCTGCTTTTGAAGAAAAGTATGTTGTAGATAAGATTTTCTTAGACATTGTTAATACGTACCATTTCAAAGAAGAACTTCAGTGTCATTAAGGAACATAGACATGCAAAACTCATGCTTAAAAGGATATATAATTTTGTTTTACCTTGATGATGTGAGTGATGAACGTATCGGTATCTCGAACTTCCTAACATCTCCTTCGTAGGGTGCTCCAAGTATTAGTATGCCAGAAGGGAATGTTATTACGCATGCGCTCTAAAACAAACATACGACAGAGCATTAGTACAATGATGCTGCTTCGTAGGAACATAACATAGATGCTGGTGATGTAAACAATTTTATAAGATAGTTATTTGAAAACGAAAAATTACTGTTAGGTTTTTATCAACTGTAATTATGTATTTTCAAAAGCAACACGTCATATCCCCAAAATTGACATTGCGTAGCGTTACATTGTGAATGCCAGCCGTTCCTTCGAACAAGGACCCCATTTTTTAGAATACTTTATATGCGTAAAATTTACCTTTTTCTTCTTCTTGATTAATGATATCATCGAGTATGCTCCTCTGCCTTTGGCTTCGTTTTAGTAGGGCTTCTAATTCATCGTCATTTTCTTCCTCCACCACGCTAAATAATTTCGAATCTATTTTCTTTCTCCTTTCCACAGTAGATTCAGTGACATTTTTCGTGATATTTTCAATATTTTTCATAGGCCCCAGTACAAATTCTTCCATTATACGATTTTTAACATCGTCGATCTTATTATCTACAGATTTGATTTCGTATTCGTCAAATTCTTTCGAAATGTTTATAAGTCTATCTGTGATATCATTCTCGTATACTTGATGATTTTTTTCTTTGTATATGTAAGATTCTTCTTCTCCCCCATCAGTGAAATAGTCTTCTTTGAAAGAAGATGATCGGACATACGAATCTTTACTATAAACTTTTTTGGTGTCATCAATGTCGAATATAGATTTCGAGAGGTCCTCAATTGAAATTTCTCTAGATGAGAGTGGTTCGTTGTGCCAACTCATCTCGTCTTCTGACATAGACATTATCGATATTGTTCTATTGGAATACTGTCTTCCAGACCTTGAATTATTTTCAGCTTCCGAATCTGTTAGCGGTTCTTCTATAATACCATATGTGCCCCTCCTCACATGATCGGGTATTGTGTAGGACCCCAAGTCAGACAAGAAATAGCTATGACTGGCAATTTCCTCTACCTCTAAAGAAGTAGTATGTGGTTTAGTAGGGTGTATTATTTTCCTGCCATCGAATTCATCATCATCATCATAATAAACGGCAGAGGATGTCATTTTGTGTAACGTGCGCGTTTCGGCCGGACCTACCAGTTAAAATATTATATAATGTTGATATTTGGAAGAATAATTACTACCATAGATTCAAGTTGACATGCATTTAGAAATGTTTTTATGTTTGCTTTAAGATAAACATTTAAGCAATCTGAATGATGTTTTAGTCGATGTGAATTTATAGGTAATGTGGTTAGAGCTGGGAAGAGAAGGAAGAAGCTTTCATACGGACCTGTTATAATAGCGCCGTGAGACTTTGTGCTGCTGAATTTAGACATAATAATGGAGCCGTCATCGCCTGTCTTGAACGTGGTTACTGTTTCGAAAACTCGGCCTAAACAACAAATCACACCTCGATGGTTAATAACACGAGTTAAAACATGCAACAATGTACGCGGAAAACGTGAGGTCTCGAAATCTAGAAGCTGTTCGCCAAATTGAAGAGAGAAGCATCAAGCGTTAAACATTTTGTATACCTTCGATTTCAGCACTCAAAGGCTCTTCTTTGAGGGCAGCTTTTTTAATTGATTTACGTTTAGAAGACGAAAGTTCTTCAGGTGCTGTGACTTCTTCGATGATTTCAGGCTCTGTAATCGACTTCTTGCCCGCTTGTTTATCAGTACTGATCTCCTCTATTACTGGTTTCTTATTCTGTTCATTGTGATTCTCATCCCAAAATGATTTTTCCTCAGCGACTTCTGGTTCTGTTACAGATTTTCTACCTTTGTTTTGAGTTGATTTGTCAACATCGTCGACCTTAAGTTTTTTAGGTTGCCCGTCATCATCAACGTCATCCCAAATCGATTTCTCTTCAGCAACTTCGGGTTCAGTCACGGATTTGTTTGCCTTTCCTGGAGTTGGAGTATCTACGTCATCGACGGTGACTTTTTTAACACTATCTTCGTTGATGTCATCCCAAAATGACTTTTCTTCGGCTTCCTCTGGCTGCGTTTTTCCTTTGTCAGCTTTTTTCTTTTCGCCACTGTCCACAGGTTCTTCGATAGCTTGTTTTATAGCTTTGCTTTCGTCTTCGAGTTCATTTTCGACAAGAGTCTCCTTCTTTAATCTCGAATGTACTTCTCTCGCTAATGGATGAAAATTAAAAAAGGGTAATGACAACTATGGTAAATTAAGATGATAAAAGTGGGACATCACAAATGAAATTAAACAATCTGTGCAATCATTAATCGAGTGCAAACTACAGCATTGAGTCTGTGGAATGCTTTTTGGGTTGGTGAGAGCTCGACCATATTCTTGTGGTATCTAAGGGCAACTAATACGTGCGAATGCAACAACTGTAACAACATGTCATACATTGTTATTTCAAACTACTGCTTGAAAAAGGCACAACTAGACCATTAAATGATGACTTAGATTATATCTAAGTTAAATTTAATGCATGCTTTAAAAATATGTCCCTGTAGTCCAATTCATAGAGTGCCTCTACTTTACCGATGATTGCCATGTTGGAACCAATGGTATTGAGTGCCACTGATCCTACTATTTTGCATACCTTATCAGCTGATGTGATGCTGGATCTATTTCCACTAACTAATGAATTAAATAAGACAAACGCGTAAGAAATGTGCTCAGTAATGAGGATATTTTTCGTTTAAACTTATATGTATATTGCCTTGTCATAAGATTGTTTTTGCATTGCAGTTGTGTAATGATACTTACTGTGTACGGTGACGGTGCTCTTAGATGAGACGCTTCCCATTTCGTTTTCGGCCCTGACCTCATATTCACCGCCGTCTTCTTCTTTCACCAAATTTACGGTAAGGTGGTAATTTTCCAATCTATAAAGACAGAATAAAACTATTTTAAACTGTGTCATAAAGTTAAATAAACGGGTAGTGAAGCAATTTGAGGTCCACTTGCAGAAATTTTGCTAAATCTCAATTCAACTAAAACTAGATGTATTCCATACAATACTGTTTTTCCAATAAATTGACATCGACATAAAACACTTTTCTATGATACATATCTTGTTTTAGTTGGATCGACATTTAGCAAAATTTCTGCAAGTGGACCTGCAAATCCTCAAATGTAAATCAATATTAAATCCATAAATAGGGTATTCGACAGTATTTAAAATAATGAATATTGGCATTTAGTTTTACTATTTTTACAAAAAAAAAATATTCATAATTTTACTAAAAATCCACGAAAAAGATAATAGTTTTTTTTATCTATTGTCACGTAACCCAAAACGCTTGGCATTGGCGGAGCCTAAAATGACGTCACACGCAAGTAAACTTTCGGTTAAAGTGACATTACATTGTATCGTTTGACATTCTAATAACAGTCGTGTGACGTCACACACTAGTAGGACGCCATATTGTCCAGAAAAACGTTTTCGCGGCAACTTGAAAATGGAGTTTTTGATTTGGTTATTTTTACTGAAATACACAACAGAATGATGAATATCTACTTTTTACGAACTCCATAAACATTAGTCAATAAACTGAGATCGTTTTCTAAAACTTGTCAAATACCCTACTAGGCATACTCAAAACACAATCTACAATGCTTTGACGATCTTTTAAAGTTCGTGAGAAGCCGCTGGATGCGGGCAGCTCACGATCGATCAGTGTGGAGATCTTTAGTGGAGGCCTATGTTCAGCACTTCAGCAGTGCCTAATTATTTTTTATAGCGAGGTAGGCAAATGACTTTACCCTACCTCATGTTAAGTAGTGATAAAGTCCATACGCGGAGATAGCTGATGCAGCAGTTATAAACTGCTACACTAACCATCCTCACCTTGCCGGCCTGCAAAAATGCTTCTTCACGCCTCTCTTCTTCTTCTTATTCACGCCCGCTTAATCCAATATTAGTTTCCTCACCTCTTAGAATCTCTCTCGATCTTGATCGTGACGTATGTGTTCAGTTCCCTGCCATCCTTGAACCACCGGACTCTGGGTTCGGGGCATCTTTCTACCGTCATATCCATCAGTCTCTTGTGGTATAACTTAATTAACTTCGCTCTTGTTATACCTCTCGATCTTAACCCTGGTGTCAGTGGTCAGGTTTCTGGCGTCCTTGAACCATCAAACCCTAGATTCAGGGCATCCTTCTGCCGTCATATCCACCAGTCTCTAGTGATATAGGTAATTTATTTACTCCGCTCTTGTTGTATCTCTCGATCTTGATCCTGGCGTCAGTGGTCAGGTCCCTGGCGTCCTTGAACCATCGAACCCTGGGTTCAGGCCATCCTTCTAACGTCATATTCACCAGTCTCTATTGATATAGGAAACTTAGTTTACTCACCTCTTGGTATCTCTCTCGATCTTGATCCTGGCGTCAGTGGTCAGGTCCATGGCGGCCTTGAACCATCGAACCCTGGGTTCAGGCATCTTTTTAACGTCATATCCACCAGTCTCTAGTGACATAGGAAACTTAGTACACTCACCTCTTGGTATCTCTCTCGATCTTGATTCTGGCGTCGGTGGTCATTTCCCTGCCGTCCTTGAACCACCGGACCCTGGGTTCTGGGCAACCTTCCACTTCCACCTCCATCTTCAGGGTGGTGCCGGCATCTACCGTCATGTCTACAAGACTCTTGGTGAAACGAGGCTTCCCTGTTGACAATCGAATATATTAAATAACCTATGAACTTTTAAAGATCGACTGCTACAACTTGTCGGCATTACAGCTACAAAAACAATTAAACTTGACAAAATTTAGATTTAAAGGTTCAGTCAGAAACCTTTATATTGAATTGATAGTTTCATAATATATCTCCGTATATGGAGAATGGGAACAAAAAAGTCAGTGTGTTAGAATTCAAATGGTCATTTTGTAAGTTAAACAATTTCAATATAATGTCGATATTCTCAATACATTACTATTTCCGGACACATCTATCGGCTCTTTTAGTGTTATGAGTTTCAACGATCTGTAGCAAAAATATATGTTTATGGCTTAGCAATAATTTTAAAAACACACCAAAAGATGGATAATGTAAAAAACTGCGTAGGTATTAACTTTTTGCTCAATGTAACATTTATTTTTAGCTATGGACGCTCAAAACTTAAAATACTAGGTAGGCCGATAGATGTGGCAGGAAGTGTACTTTTGAGGAGAATATCCTATAATAATGTCATCTATCTAATATATAAAGTGCGTAATTGAACTACTCCGAAACGGCTCGAATGTCCCCGTGAAATTTTATATGCATATTCAGTAGGTCTGAGAATCGGAAAACATTTATTTTTCATCCCCCTAAATGTTAAGGGTGGTCCACCCTAATTTTTTTTTGGACAGAACTTTTTGTTTTTATTTTTTTTATTATACTTCATACAAAAACACATACAACCCTAAATTTTCTCCCTTCTACCACCAACCCCTAAGTAAGTATAGTTATCTACTCACTGTTAACAGTGAAGGTGGCATGACACTGGTCAGATCCTAGTTCGTTGGCGACGCGGCACGAGTATTGGCCGGAGTATTCAGCAGACACTTCCTTCAGGATCAGTTTGTGAGTAGATCCGCTGTCTACGCGGCTAAATACTGACTTTTTCTCAGTTATTTCGACGTCGCCCAAGTACCTTAGAGAGAAGAGTTTGTATTGGAAAAATAGTTTAAAAAAGTTTGTATATAATTAATGATTCAAAGAATTATAAGTTGAATGAAGTGGTTTTGAATGAAGTTTATTATGCTACCGCGGCCCCGATGGCCGCGTCGAAATTCTTCTAGCCATTCTTAAGCTGCAAGGCAGCGACATCTCTTCGCATTGCAGGTAACCCATCCAACGCGTGGATTTTTTTCTAGTTATATTTTCTTTAGATTTAAACATCAAGCAGTTACATGCTTAAAAACAAATATAAGTTTATTATCTTTGGAATAGATTCACAAAGCCCGAAAACAAGGAAAGCAAGTGAAACATCGCCAAATTTTATATAGCGAAGTTATAATTATTTTTCTCGATCGAGGAGCTCAATGGCGCAGGTGGTTAGCGCGTTCGGCTGCGATCGCTGAAGTTAAGCAACTTTCGCAGTGGTCGGTCATTGGATGGGTGACCAAAAATCTTCAATCTCGAGTTCCTCCGTGCTTTGGAAGGCACGTTAAACCGTTGGTACCGGCTGCATCAGCAGTCGTTAGCACCCGCCAATCCGCACTGGGCCCGCGTGGTGGGTCATGGCCCTATCTTCCTATTCCATCCATAGGGAATGCACAGGCATGCACTGTGCCTCAGCAGCCTGTTAATTAACAGGCACAGGCATTCCCAATGAATTATAATGCAAATTTTGTTTGAAACATATAGATTTTATTTATTTACCATCTCACACTGGGCTCGGGGTAGGCTTCTACGTTGACTGTGAATTCAACGTTGACGTCTCCTTCGTTAGCGGTCATATCTGTCAATTTCTTGGTAAACATCGGAGCGCCGCGAACGTTTAGTTTGCACGAATCAGACGCAGAACCGTGGATGTTGCGGATCTACAGAGGAAGAAAACAAAATGTTAAAAACCAATTTTGTCCATCGTCCACTTGAGTTTTTTTTCCTGACTAAACATAACCAAGTTTATGAAAAACAGACTTTGAAAAAGACTTGGTAATAATGTAGTTCAATAGATGTTGTCCTTAGATAAAATCTCTAAATATTCGCTGTCGCTTCAGGACACTTCGATACCCCCTACTTTCGTTGTTATTGTGGTCTTGAAGAGGGGAAATATTTTAAGAGTCATGAATTATGGTTTTCTTACAAAATTTTATAACATTTTATTGTTAAGATTTGTACGACTGCTCTTATTTATCCTACACACAGACGATCGACTACCTACTGGGGATTCGAACCCAGGAGTTCAGAGCAAGTGACATTTCGAAAACCACTCTCACCACGGAAATAGTCTTTTCTATTTAGTTATATACAGGTGGGTGCCCGTGTACTCGTCTGCTTCGTTTAATTGGTTTTCCTCAATTGTACCTATGTCCTTTCCCTTGGGACTCAAACTATCTTTATAGCAAATTTAATTTTAGTCGTTTCGGCGCTTTAAGTGTGAAGAGGTACCAGTCATACAGACACACTTTTGCAATTATAATATTAGTAGAAAGAATATTTTATTATGTGGTTACCTCGCACGAATATTCGCCAGCGTCTGCGCGCGCAGCCGATGTAATCACTAAAGAGTGAGCCTTGCCAGACTCGCTGATCTTCACGGAGGAAGACTCTACCAGCTCTGTCTTGTTCTTGAACCTTTGACATAATTAATTGTACTGAATCTTACAGAAAAAAAAAAACAAGTTAAAGTACGGCCAATGAGAAGCGATATTTTTTTAACAAATGAAATGAAACGATGAATGGTTATTGACCAATGCAGGAGTTGGAAAATATTTTGAAAATACATTTTATTTATGAAAATGAATATAGGATGTTTATCATTTTAGTGGGCTTAAATTTAAATAAAATGTAAAAAACTATTATATTATCAAAACATACAAAAAATGAAAATTATTTGCTATTTCCATTTATTTCGGAGTACTACCATAACCATTAATTATTGAGTAGTATCAGAAAGGCACGAAACGAAATGAAAATATGTAATTATTTTTTACTGTAAAATCGGCACCCGAATGTTGGCGAGTTCGGCGATGACATAACAGGACAGAACGAAACCTCATGTCATATAATATATTAATTTAAAGGTCTTTGTGTTCGCTCAAACAATAAAGTCCAAAGCAATATCCAAGAGTTAACCATAAATAAATTCAAAGATAGTATAAAAAAGAAACCATTATTATAAAAGCTTATTACAAAGTGTCTGATTATAATACAAACAAAAATGCTTGGGTTTGAACTGTTCCAACATTCCAACAGGTTTTCTATATTAAATAAATCATGATTGTATTGACGCTGTAGCAACATAATGATTTGTTAATATTGTTACATTATAGTTTTAATCTTGTGGAGTTTTTTCGCTCGTTTTTCTCCGTAGCTAAAAAATATGTCCAATAACAATGGTAGGGAAAAAAAATTTTGGACGATTCAAAAGAGTTGTACTATACATACAATTTTAATAAAGATATATTGATTTGTGATTTATCATATATAAGATGAGAGAGATATTTATTAGACTGTCAGTTTCATAGTCTCGTATAAGGTGAATGAACATTTGTATCGCTTCTTGTTGGCCGTACTTTAGGCTTAATAAGGACAACTTCCAGACAAAGCATAATATGCTGTGGCGGACTTTTTATAGGACTTTTAAAGGGGAACAATTCCGTCATACATATTTTTCGTTTAACTTTAACCGTTTATGCAGCGCACGCAACGAAAGCTCTCGAATGGAATATTTTATTCCCGTTGTAGCAACATTTTTCATCAACTGGTTGTAGCGTAAAGTTATATAGCCTATAACCTTCCTCAATAAATGCGAACGCGCATGCGTTCAACAAAAAAGCAACCCATTTGCACGGCTTTATCATATTAGTATAGACTTTCTTTTTAGCAAAAATAGAGTAAAATAAAAAAAAATAGTGTGCACGGACCACACATCTGAAGTGAAACTTGTTTTCTTAAATAACCTAATATTAGGCGTTTCAGCCTTCGCTGAGTTACCCTCCAACTTTCATGCTCGTTGGGAAGAGCTGCGCACGCATCCCATATATATATTTATAGTCGTGTAACCCTCATAACGCATTTCTGTTTCATCTTTTCCATAGCATTTTTCCATTTACACACCGTCCGAAAAGAAGTTTCACTTCAATAAAGCTTCTTTAAGCCAGTTACTTTTATTGACTTACCATTTAACAGTAGGCGCGGGCTCAGCCTCTGTCTCTATCTGGAAGGTGACTGTCTCTTTCTCGCTGCAGACGATTGAATCGCCAAGTTTCTTGGTGATGCGAGGCGGTGACGTCACTTGCCATTGCCAGAACTCCGAGCACTGGTTCACTTCGTTCCTACAATAAACGATTTATTTATAATAATAATAATAAATTCATTTATTTCGGATAATTATCCATAGTTTTAGTAACAAAATTAACCTTATAAACTATGTTAGTAACAGAAAAACTCACCTACTTAAATTTCTCAAATAAAATCATTTGAAAACTGGCGCTGTTAAAATTCAGAGGAGTCATTCAGCATGTCTGCGATCAAGGTATTGTCACAAACGCTCTCGAAACAAAACCGCGAAAATACTGGAGACAAATTTTACCAGAATACCGCGGATCGCTCATTCTAATATGAGCCTTATGCAGTGCGGCGTAAGGGAGAAAGTGCAAAGACAACTGCACTTGTTTCCAACTTATACGCGTTACCTACGTATAATAAGGCACTACGCACTCGCGGGTGCTAGTTATCTCTCAATTTAACGGGACTCTTCTAAAATGCGTCGATTGGCGTATATAAGCGCGATCGGCGCCGCGCAGCAGACAGTTTTAGTTTCAACAGCGATTTCAAGACGAATGCAAAGATGATCAAAGTGTTCATATGCGATTGTTTTAAGACTTGTATAGTGAAGTAGTGTTTAGTGAGTGTATTCTGAGTAACATTGTGTGTAAACTGTGTGGTGAATAAAGTACTGTCGAGCGTTAGCTGACATCATAGCCCATCCCGATACGTAAAAATATTTAGCGACACTACCGCAATGGCTGGTCAGTTTGGCGACTCTTTTTTATCTCGAGCTCCTACGTGCTTCAAAGTTGACAAATAGTAAAAACAAATACCCAAGTAAAGTGCTAGCATTAAAAATTTTGTTTAACACATCTGCTATTCAGTTTCTTTGTCTTGTACTAGAAAAGCTTCTATCTCGAGTTCCTCTGTGCTTCGGAAGGCACGTTAAGCCGTTGGTCCCGGCTGCATCTGCAGTCGTGAGCACCCACCGATCTGCACTGGGCCCGCCTGGTGAGTCATGACCCAATCTCCCTATTCCATCACTAGGGAAGGCCTGTGCCCCAGTAGTGGGGACATTAATAGGCTGATGATGATGATGAATCATTCACATTGATGATGAATAAAAAAGTACTCACTTGACGACGATCGAATACGATCCGGTGTCAGTAAGCTTGGCATCTTTAATGATGATCTTGTACACCTCGTCTGATTCCTTTACGATTTGTACGCGATCCGAGCTCTTGATCTCTACGCCGTCTTTATAGAATTGTACTTCGGGCGCGGGAGTGCCTTCAATCTCTATGGTCACCGTGTGAGTTGAGCCGGCCTGTATAAAGTTTTTTTTTTACATTGAACTGTTAGATTTATTAATCTAAAGAAAATTTTAGTAGAAGCAGACGGGACTCGAACCGGCACCTTCTGTTATCCGGGCGTATGCGCTAACCAATTATGATACCGCGACCATAACCAATTATGGCCGTATCGTATTTTATCTCGTATTTCTTAGGCAGCAAAACAGCGCCATCTCTTCGCATTGTAGAATTGCGAATAGAATTCTTTAAATTTAAACATCTAGCAGTTAAATGCTTAAAAATAAAAATATATTACCTAAATAACAAATAAATATTCCTAACTTTGATTAACACGGTGATGCTGTGACATATCGCTCGCAGCATGCGCTGATAATATAAGTAACGAAGCTCTTAAGAGTCCTATTCACAAAATGAATCCACATGATAAGATCAATGAGAATTATTTCAAGGTCATTCAATTCAAGATTAACGTTGTAATGTTCTTAACAAGCTTTCTCATCAATATGATTGAAATAATAGAAGTCTGTTCATACGTTGCAATTTTATTATATTATTCATTTTATAATGATAATATTTATCGATGTACCAGATCCTGATTCTGAAGGAAGTCGCGCCATTCGTCGAGCGCATAGGGTCCTTATGACGTCACAGCAACTTCTGTCAGTGAACTTAGCTAGTAATTTGGTCATAAATTTATAAACTTTATACATAGATCAGATGCATGCATAGCATGAGCACCTGTACAGTATATCACGTTTTTTATCGCGTCTAACTGTCAAACTCCATAGTAATTTGACAATTGAGCGTGTTAAAAACGCGTTATATATCATATCGCGTTGCTCATGCTAGGGGGGCTGAATTAAATATTTATGCAACTAAAAGCGTTCCGGATCCTCATTGAGTACACATTAGTATTTGATCATTTGATGCTCTACTCACCATGCAAGTTTGGTTCTCGACCTTCTTCTTGATCTTGGGCGCGGCTTTAACTATAAGCTGCATCGTGGTGGAGTCTTCTCCGAGTTCGTTGGAAGCGGTCACGTGGTATATACCAGCATCTGCGGCGCTTACGTTCTTGATTACCAACGACATACTCTCGTCGTCTTCGTATAGGAACCTGTATAGAAAAAGCGTGTAAGTATCACGACAAAAGACCCAATTATGCTTGTTTAGACAGTGATACTTCAATACAATACTGCAGATAGATACTATAATGAATTTTTAATATAAAAATGATATAATTCATGTAAATATGAAAGATATTTCTGAGTTTTCTGAGTTTGATGGCGAGGTGGAGCAAACAGCATAATAGCTTTATACGGCACGAAACAGCATAAAAGTTAACACATAAAATCTAATCTACACCTACCACACGTTCTTTATACTTTTCCGTTTAAATAGAAATCCATCAAAGTTATTAAGTGTAGTGCTTTGAATATATACACGCCTAATCCTATCCAAATAAACCACGCAAAGAAAACGGGTCATGTTACGCACAGTGTGTTCCTGACTCTTATGTCAGATTTTTTGAAAGCAGTCAATGTGTGCGTGTTTAGCGACGAGCGTATCTACCATATGTAGTAGACATTTTTTTGAGCGCTTCCGTACAGTTGATACGGTATTTAGGAATGTATATAATCAAAGGTGCAGTGCAGATCCTATATTTAAATTTCTGCACCATATCAAAGATTACTATATTGTAGGTGTTGGTCCACGACAACGGTAAACTAGAGCCAACTTAGAGATGCATTTGAGTTGAGAAGACACCCATCAGACCATCGACCCATTGAGTGATCTAGTAGTTCTAGACGGATAGAAGAATACCTAGAGATTTTTACTAGCGGGTGCAGCCGTCCAGTTAAACTAAAATTCACTGCGAAATGCGCAGACCTATTTCTTTTCCCTATTTTCGGATGAATGGTGCAGGAATATTGTCTGGTTTTTACTGGGTAAAGCCCTGTTCCGCTTCGCCGAGCGTTGTACTAAGCTGGGCTAAGCGGACAGGGAGGAGTACGCAGATACCTTCTCGCTCCCCCGTGTGGCTGAACGATGCGTAAGAGAACATATTCCAGACAAAAAAAAGGTAGGTAGAGAGGTTTCTATAGTGGGCAATGCTCCTTGATCCCCACCTAGCTACGCCCATGGGGAGGAGAGTCCCCGAGAGGAAATGCCATCTTCTTATAATATTACTAAATGCACTTGTTGTCCCCTAATGATCTCTAACCAAACCCGCTGACGTTGTAAAAGATCTTCTGGGACCATACAGACAGGAGCGTATTTTGAAATCTAGCGCCCTGGGCCATTTAACATTATGATTTGATTTACTAATTCTAGAGGGGGGAGGGGTGTATATATGGGTCAGTAACGAATACTTTTATATGGCTTCTACCGCTCCTCACAGCTCTTCCAGGCTCTTACAGCCTGCTGTCCCGGGCCGTGGCAATCTTGGCCCTAAGGAAAATACGCCCCTGCACACAGATTACCATACATATTAAAAACAAATTGTAGGTACTCACTTGTGCCTTGTATCTGCCTCAATAATTTTGCCGTCATGCTTGAACACGATTGAAGGTTTTGGGTATCCTTTGCACTGTAACTCGAGCATAGCCGAAGCGCCGGCCGATACGATCGCCTCGCGGTGCTCGATTACGAGGCGGGGCTTCTCCGGCTCGCGATGGAGTTCATTTACCGCGCCTAATGATAAAAATACCATATTAGGTATATGTCATTATTAAAGAAATGCAATTGTGGTAGAAAAAGTATTGGACGATTTCAAAGAGCTTAATTTTTGAATTCCGTCTAAAAGTTTAAGTATATTTGGTGCAAAAATGAAAATAATACCTCTTCGAATAGGGTATTTGACAGTATTAAAAATAATGTGCCAAATGTTAGCATCTGTGTTTAGAATGAATATTGGCAGGGGTTTTTACTATTTTTACAAAAAAATATTCATAATTTTACTAAAAACCCAGGAAAAAGATAATACTTTTCTTATTTCTTGTCACGTGGCCCAGAACGCTTGGGATTGGCGGAGCCTAAAATGACGTCACACGCAAGTAAACTTCCGGTTAAAGTGACATTACATTGTATCGTTGACGTTTTAATAACAGTCGTGTGACGTCACACACTAGTAAGACGCCATTTTGTTAAGAGAAACGTTTTCGCGACAATTTGAAAATGGAGTGTTTGATTTGGTTATTTTTACTGAAATACACAACAGAATGATGAATATCTACTTTTTACGGACTCCATAAACATTAGTCAATAACGTGAGATCGTTTTCTAAAACTTGTCAAATACCCTAGGTAAAACCGGTCATTGCCCACTGCACCAGCCCATTGAAGATTGGTGGGTGCTAATGACTGCAGATGTAGTCGGAACCATCGGCTTAACGTGTCTTCTCAAGCACGAAGTAGCTCGAGATAATAAATTTTAAAATTTTCGGTAACCCACCCCAGAGTAAGATATGTTTCCGGTGCTAGTTTTGTTTTAATCCAGTGTCAAAGATTCTATTATAAATAAAAACAAATAGGCCAATTATACCTTGCACGGTAAGCTCAGCGGAGCAGGAAATGTTCCCGGTGCTGGTTTTAGCGACACAGGTATAGAGCCCAGCATCTTCGGGCTTCACGTGTTGGAAGACCAGCGCTAAGGAGTCCTCATCGTCACCCAACAGAACCTGTATTATCAAATGTCAATTTCAGTTCAATACCTCAGAACAAGATCTAAAGCATAGAAAGAGTTTAAATTCAAGTCATAAAGTCGACTCATATAGTTATGTTATTCTTAAATATGTATAGACCAAAAAAGGGACAAACATAATGTTGCTATGAACCATACTATGAACAATGTGCGTACCGATTTAAAAACGTCAAAATGGATACCTTTGTAATGCTTTGTAAGGCTAGTTACGTTAAATCGAATACCTTGGTTACCTTTACGATACCGAATCAAAAAGCGATGCAATGTCAAATACAACCTGACAACACGCTTCTAATATTTTTGGTTGGGTAGGTAATACCTTGTTTGGAAATCTTTTCGTTAATTTATCTACTGTTCACAAAGTAGGTAACCACCCCCGCTCTCAGGCAGAGATTCGGCTCAGAACAAAGCGTCAATTTTACTCTGCACTCGTTGAAGTTATTTTTACAGATATTCTCACGCAGAAAATATTGGCAATTAGCAATTAAGCAAAACCAATAGTAATCAGTATAGAGAATGGCGGGAGTTGTCATTATGACTACTTTCTATTTTGTGATATATCTTAAAAAAAGGTTTCGTTGATGAGCTAAGACGTTGTTTTTGAATAAAGATAAAGGGAATGCAGAAAAACATCACTAAGAGGCGAGTTTCAGTCTAAGGGTATTTACGCATCCATAAAAATATCTATTAAAATTACGCTCTGTAAGAAAAAGTGAATCTAATTATCCGAGGCCCAAGGACGAATTTTGCCAGCTCCGTAATCGTATCGTCATCGTAAATTTTGTATGGAAGGAGCTAGCCTGTTCTTGCGTCCGGTAGGGGGCACTGCTTAGTCTTCATAAAACCTTTGATGATGTGATACGAGTATAGAACTGTCAAAATTTTTGCTTGGGCATTTGAAGTCACTGAAAGCTGACCTATAAAAGCAACATTTTAAAGGTTAATCATAATAAATACCTTAAACCTTTCCTCGGGGTCAAACGGCTGTCCATCCCGTTTCCAAGAGAACGACGGCTTCTCACCCTTGGCCAAAAGGCCTTCACCTCCAGGTGCCAACTCGAAGAAGATGTTCTTGTCATCTGTTAAGATAGTTCAAACTTGAAATGTGAAATAATTACGATTAGTAAATTAGAAAGATTAAAATTTTACGACCTCCGTGCTGCGTAGTATGTACGCCGGACTTCAAGGTGTCGCTTACTCAGAGGTTCTAATTTCAATGGGGCAAATGTTTGTATAACGAATACTACATATGTACTTCTAATAAAAACATCGAAATCTAATCTATTTAAAAAAGACTTTGTTTTTGTATAATTACTTAAAGTAATCTATATCCTGTCTGTTACCTGGACAAAGTAGATTTTTTTATAGAGCAAAAAAACCTTGCTATTGATAAGAAATTCGCGGTCTTTAAAGTAGAGTTTATTTACCACCACTTTTAATAAACCACCAGTTTTCTAGGCAACGGCTGATATTTTGAACAAATCAACATACGTTTCTAAGCTTTTAAAGCCCATCTACTACAGATTATTTACTTAAACTCGCCGTTATTGTGCCTCTAAATACGAGTACTAAAAAATTTTCAAAAAAAGTAAAACGTTAATTTGCCCAAATCATATGATTAATCACCACGATCCCGATGGCAAATAAATAAATTACAGGAATCAGAAACTATGATAGGTTCCTAATACCAAATGTAATATTTACCTCATGCTGATGATCTACCTTAGATGAGTTCTGATTAGAACTAATAAACTCTACCCATATTTAAAACATTACTGCCAACTTTTGTAAACAATGTAATCATAAACAGGCCATTACGTCTTAACCATATTCAATAATTGTAAAACAACAAGTAAATCAACGAGTTTCGTCTAATTTCATGGTTGTATTTTTAGACACATAAATACTGGAGAACGTCCAAATGCCGTTAAAAATGTGGCACACTTGTAAATATAGCGTTTTGCGTTTGTTCATCATTTGCGAGTTTATATGACAGCGTGCATTAAAACATTTTTTAGAGTTCCGTATCCAAAGGGTAGAAAGGTACCCTATTGCTGTCACTCTGTCGTCTGTTTGCCCGACTGTTTGTCCGTCTGTTTCTATGTCACGGATATCGTAAACGGAATGAATGAGTTACAGAACTGAAATTTTGGTATTTTATGTAGAATGCTTGCCCAAAGCCGAATATTTAGTTTAAATTTAAATTCAATTACTTTTCATGAGAGGTCCAATACAAAAAAAGGAGATGATTTATTGAAGTGAAAACTTCTTTAGCGGCGTTGTACACTTTTTTGTAATGGGTAAAAATTGTTAAACTCGCGTCAGGACACGTGACCTAATCGAAAATTCGTAAGACGAAAACAATAAAATTGGAAAGGTTGTTGACCTTCAATATATTGGACGAAACATAGTAATATTTTATTTTATCGTAATATAAATAATAAGACTCTGTCTAGGACGTCCAGGTGGCAGCTTTATTGTGAAGAAAAGGCATTTTTTTTACTATAGATGTCGCTAGGTGCACTTACATGTGATTCATGTAAGTTGATTTTTCTGAGAGATAAACTTTTTAATGTAATATAAATTGTCATGTTTGTGTACGATAGCGCAATAAATAAATATTGTATTTTACCACATAAACGATACTACTTTTATACTGATAATTAAAGCCATTCGTGCAAAATTATTCCCTAACCATTCCAAAATATCAAAAATGCACAACGGTAATTCAAGTTTTCACTTCTGCCGGCACTCCCGGAGTGCAACCTTTCGTTTATTTTCTTTTCTACGCAGCATGTGACACATCATTGTCTTGAGCTCGTTTGATATAAATATTAAAAAAAAATCAATAACAAAGAAATGGAGAGCCGACAAAGTTGTCATCTTTAGACCATTGTTACGGTGTGTATATTAAAATGGAAACTAGGTAGGATGTGAATTTTTGATATATCATGTTCTATATGCTGTTTTTATACAACAAATACTGAAAACGCAAATTCATAATGAATTTGTAACTTGTCACGAAAACAAAACAAATTATTTTTCCTTTTGAGGTTGTGTGTATGTACGGAACCCGTCGTGCGCTAGTCCAACTCGCACTTGGCCAGTTTTTTATAAATAGATTTGATCATTTTAAGGTCACGTTTCGTATAGAATTCCTGAAAGTCTTCTCAGATTATCCATTAGAGTCGTTAAAGAAATCAAAACAAATGAATCGAATAGCGCTCATAGCAAACTTACTTTGGCCTAATCTTGAACAGTTACGCAATTAAAACAATATATTCTTTGGAAAATTTGCGTTTGCGACTTCTAAGTAAGTAATATTATAAGCTAACATCAGTCATCACTTCAGCTAGGTAATTTTAAACTCCTGTTATAATGAACTTTAAGAAATAACGTGCATGTACAATAAATGTAAATACATTCTCGGACACAGCTTTTATTTTTTTTGATTTTTAAAACAAATATTTTGAGCTCGAATTGGAGCGCCCGTCTGGAGAAGCGATCTCCAACTTAAGAAAACCACAGTTAAATAACAGTGCCTTTTAGTGGTGTTGTGTTTCTGCTGGTGAGTAAGGTTCCAAGATCGGAAAGGTCAGGATAGCTGGAGCGGCATAATCTCTGCATGACAACCTACCTATACTCCACCTATACTTAACATCAGGTGGGGAGGGGTAATTTGCTGGGCTTCGTTTAAAAAAAATCAAAGACAGAAACACAACACCACACCACAGGTATTATTACTGTGGTCTTTTATATGAGATGTGTTGATGTGGTTCTCTGATGATGAGATGTCACTTCCCCAGACTGCTTACTGAAAAAGGGCTGTACCAAACCAATAATTTCAAAGTATCGAGGTATTGATGATGTACTTACCTACTACAGTGACTTTAGCTTCAGAGCTGACGTCACCGTATATGTTGATGGCCTTGCAGGAGTAGATGCCGGCATCTGATTGGTTGACGTCGGCGATTACCAGTTCATAGCAGCCCTTGTCTGAGCGCGTCCTTATGATGGAAACACGGTCGGTGTCCGACGAGCTCACTATCTCTTTACCGTCGCGGAAGCTGTTCAAATTATAGAATATTTAGTATTTTTTGTAGATTAAATGTTATTGTTACCGAACGAAAATAAGATCTTTATGATGCAAAAACTAAAAAATGTCAAATGAGGTTTCATCCTATTATAATGGTGAATGTTTTTAAGATTTTTTTACAATATTCTACAAATTTTTTCCTCAACCATTATTATTTCTAGCTACGATTATAATGAAACCTAATAAATTATAGCTGAGTAACAAGTTAAATTAATTTAATTTTATATCTAAAGAAATTAATTTTATTAAATTTTTGCCAAATATTATCTATTTGGAAAAAATCAAATCTTTATCTGTATTTCCAACGATATTAAATACCCTAGATACACCACGATCGCTCAAAATGTGTCCCAATCAAGAAGTGCTTGAACTCCACTCAAGCACTTCTTGGTTCACAGTCACGCGTCGACCGTTACAAAGTCAAGATGCCACAAAGCTCCGCGAAAAAATGCGAAAGTAATAATATGAGAACGAAAAGTGTCGTTTTTTCGACAGGTATCTAGTCAATTTAACTCATTTGAAGCAAATTTTGATCTAATACTTACTATAAACTGATTAAATATAAAATATTTGTGATATTCAAATGCATGGTCGGTTATACGTCGCCATATAGCCGTCTCTTTTCCTCGCGGTTCGTGCCTGCTATATTGGTAACAGCGCGTTCAGAATTGCGCGTAAAGTCAAAGAACTAAGGTCTAAATTCTTCCGCATATAGTAATAAGACGTAAAATTTTACGAGCTTGCATTTCGAAATCTCAGAAGTCCTTGACGCATACGTTTTATTTAAGACCTTATACAGTATGTATTAAAAGTTAATTTCAATATTTAAATAATGCCTAATATTGATGTTGACTCCGCGATCATCTTACGGAGCTCCGTGGATCGTTCAATGTACCTTTTGGACAGGTTTCGGGCACGATTTTGTTCGTGTTGGTGTATCTAGGGTATTTAATATCGTTGTGTATTTCTATCATCTCTTAATAGCATGAAAATTAAAGTACTTACAATTTCACATCAGGGTTGGGATCGCCTTTGACTTTTACCATGAAACGCAAGTAAGTGTTTTCCAGGATTTCAGTATCTTTTAACGCCACCAAAAAATAAGGTGCGTTCAATGCGTTTCTTTCTCTCCTCTCTTCTGCAGTCACTGCAATCGTCAGCAGTAAACATTATAAAATTGTATTTGTCAATATTAAAGGCATTGGTTTATTTTCTTATCCTACAGAAGACTAAATCAACATGCATTACGTCATTATTATTTCTAAACAACAGTGCCGACTTGAAGTGCCGAAATACTGGAAGGTTAACAGAGAAGAAAGGTTCTAGTTGTTATGTTGCTTTACGATGTCTTAATAGGTGATGTCGCGTACGCATGCAAATATGACTAATTTGAACATGAAAAAAATTGTGATATCATAACTGCAGTATAATTATAAAAAAAAACTTAAAACTAGGTACGAGCGATAATTCGCTTTGAGATAAAAAAATGGACTTACACTCGTGGACGACTAACTGAGCCGTGCAATGGGTGTTCCCTTTAACATTTTCAGCCCTTGCGGTGTACAATCCAGAATCGTCTTCGCGGCAATGCATAAGTTCCAACTTATGGTGTCCGGTCTCGGTAGAAATGGCGACGCGGTCCATAAGCCTGTCCGTAAGCGGCTTATTGTCCTTCAGCCAGGTCACTTTAACGGAATCCGTGGACTCGCGGAGAGCACATTCGAACACGGCGTTTTCACCCGCTGAGAATTCAAACGCATTAACAGGGAGAGTTCGTACACTTCTTACTTCGTAATATTATGTTTATAATACTCCTATATCGATTTACACTTCAAACCAAAACACGTAGTCTTTTGTTTCTAATACTTAGATGTTGAATGTTACATTTCGTTGAAAGATTTTTAAACGAAAATCTTCAGTAGTACGAACTCTCGGCAAGGGTACACGTGAAATAAGCATTTTGTTAGATCAATGTGTTGTGTAGGTTAGTCATCTAAAAGCATATGTACAAGCACTAATTTGTGTCTACTTTTACTAAGAAGTGTTTGTAAACACCACTCGTTACAGTACTTACGCTCAATGTTTTGGCCTTCCAAGGTTTTCGTGAAAACGGGCCTGCCATCTTGAGACGCCGATTTAGAAATAGACCTCATCGATTGGTAATCTGTGTTGCTCACAGAACCGTTAGCAACAGCGGTTTTGGAATACTGACTCTCCGAAGAGTAATTGCCGTCTTTGATGCTTTCATATCGAGACTCGGACTTGGATGAAAATCCTTTGTCACCATCAAGGCTAGTCTCGAGACTGTACTTGGAGCTGCGACCTTCTATTTTAGCTTCATTGTTGGAAGATTCGATACCATACTTGGACGCGATGCTATCGATTTTACTCGAAGCTTCGTAGTTGGATTCGATTCCGTATTTCGACGCAATGCTATCGAGTTTGCTAGCGGTGTTGTAGCTTGAGTCGCTGCTAGATTCAATACCACCTCTAGCACTAGAGTATTTAGATTCGATGCGGGAAAGAGCGCTTCCTTCGGTGCCTCCGATTTCATACTTCGAACCTTCTACACGGGAGCCGCTCTCACGGCGGGAGTAAGAGGATACCCCGGAACTATCATAATTTGATGATGATGACTCATAGCTTGATAACTTTCGACTACTGGAGTATTCTGTGAAACATACAGGACTTCTTTAAGTGCTAGTCGAACTCGAGCACGAAGGGTTCCGTACCATACTATGTATACAACATTAGACACTATATTAAAATATCCAGCAAAGATTGGCAAAAAATCACGTCTGTTGTATGGGAGCTCCCTTAAATATTTATTTACAATTAAATTTACTTATTAAATTTCAAGCGTCTACCTGTCGTCGTTATTATTATAGAGCAAAAAACGGCAAAAAAACTTTTATGGTATGGGAAACTTTTATTCTATAAGAAGATCTTTTATTTAAGAGCCCCCCTTAAATATTTTTTTTAATCCTGTTTTCAGTACACGTTATTATAGCGGCATTTGTGAAAATTTCAACTGTCAAGCTATCACGGTTCATGGAGATACAGCCTGGTGACAGACAGACATACGGAGAATGGAGTCTTAGTAATAGGGTCCCGTTTTTATCCATTGGGTACGGAACCCTTAAAGAGAAAGTTTTGAGCATTTTCCAAAACATACCTCCAGAGAGTCGCGAACTGCGACTATACCTTGACATCTCTTCGTCGGCGTATTGCTCGGCGGTTACAGTTTGACTTTTGGCGGCAACACTTGTTGTAGAATCCCCGCCAGCTGAGCTGACGACCTTCTTTGCTTCCAAGCTAGATTGTACAACACTCTCTGACGATGTAACTAACGCACTCTGCTGGTCAACTGACGATTGTTGAGTTTTTTGTGAAATTGATGTCTCTTGTACGCTGGCTGACTTGGCGGCTACTTCTGTAGTTTGAGAAGTCTCTTGTGCTTTTTGAGTAACAGTTTGTTTAATCTGTTTTTCTACTGTTGCCGCTTCAGCGACTTTCACCTGCTGGGCACACTCTTGGCTTACAGTTTCTTGAACAGCTGATTTTGTTTCAGTAGTAGCTTGTTGAGTAGCTTCAGCTTGTTTGATCGATGATGATTTTTTTTGGATAGATTCAGCTGTTGATCTCTGTTCTACGGTTGAAGCTTGTAAGCTTTGTTCAACAGATGTTGATTTAGATTCTTGTTCAGATGTTTTCTGTGTTTTCTGATCAACCACCGCCTTTTCTGTGACTGATAAGGTCTCAGATGACTTTTTGTCTTCTTGAGCTACTGCCGATACAACTGTAGCAGATGATATAGCTTCTTTTTTGTCAATCAAAGCTGCAGCTATAACGGTCTGTTGTGTAGATTGCGATGCAGACTGAGGGCTTTCGGAAATTTTTGAATTTTCAACTGTTACAGATGTCTTTGATTCTACACTCGATGTAACTTCACTTTTGACACTACTAATAACAGCCGATGTTTGGGTTTCACTGACCGATGAAACTTCTGTGATTTCCGATTTGGATATTTTAGTCGCTACCTCAGTTTCTGTGGAAGCTTTTCTCTTAGTAGTCGACTGCTGTATTTCTTCTTTTGAAGTTACTTGGGCAACTTCAGATTCCTCGACACGTGATCGTTTTTCTTGAACCTCTTGTTCAGCTTCGTGTTCCCTCTTCTTCTTTTTATCTCCTTGAGGTTCAGGAGAGACAACACGTTGTGGTGAGACTACTTGGAGATCGTCTGCAGCGTGTTCAGCTAAAGCAACTGTTAAGACAAAATAAAAGTTAATAATTCTTTAATACTACGACTTTATGTATCGTGTCTTTATTGTGAGTACTTACCAACGTCACTGGCATTTAATTTAATTTCTGCGAGCCAGTTGGTCTTTACAGTTTCTTTGTGAGCTGCGAGGGTAATGCTCAATGGTGGATTTTTCTGATGTAAGTCGAACCTCAATGGATCGCCAGGATGGTCCTTGGCCTCAACCTCTGGGAGCTACGAAACAAACACCAGCTGAAGTAAACTGAGTGCGATTTGGACATATTCCAAGTGTTATGTGTATTATCGTTTGAATCCTGCTATTTTCATCGTAGAAAGTCAAGATTAATTCAGGATTGTGTCACATTTTAAACGCAACATTTTGTTATTGTGTAACAGTCAACACTCAATATCGTTGCGTTTCAAGACTTTCATTTCATTGGACAATTTTGATTTATTAATTGACTAAATTATGTTTTCAAAACCAAAATTTTATTGTCAGCATATCAGAAATTATAATTTCATAGAATATCAGATAGTAATTGCGGAATCTAAAATATTCTAATGAAAAATATCCCTTACCTTGATGATATCTTTGAGAACAAAGACGGACCGGTCTTCGGAGACCCTCTTGACTTTACAAATGAGGATCCTAGCCTTAAAGAGAAAGAGATATCTCTCCTTTGTTTTCCCTTCCTCGTCGGTGACAGTGAACCAGTCGTGGGTGAGCAAACGCCCTAACTTGTAGATGTTCCCCCGGTAGCCTTCGATGCTCGCAATGAATTTATTGTCTGTGGAACGGTTTGGCACGGAGAGGAAGAGGTCCAACGCCTTCTGGAGGTCTGTGCAGTCGTCGCCTAGACGTTTGGAATACTTCACCAGTTCCTAAGGAAATGAAGTAAATATTTAAGTCGTTTAGTGTAAGAACTATTTTATTGAAACAAAAATTTGAAAAATTCAAATTTATTAAATTGGGTTTTTAGACTTTTCATTATTATGTGAGTGGTTTGAAACAAACGCGTTCATCTATAGGTAAACCACGTAACTGAGTCCTCGCCTGCGGGGTACAGGCAAGAATGTGCCTGCCGCCTGCACCTCTCATGATCCCCCTTTTCGTCCTCCCCCAAACCCTTTAACCCGCAGGCGATGACTAAGTTAGGCGGTCTATCTATAGTTAGGGATATTCTAGAGGATTTTATCCTATTTTTTTACGGTCACATCCACCCCCACACTAGAATTTACGTATTTGTCGTTTTTAAAGTGTGATGATGTATGTTCTAAAACAATGCACCGGCTGTAAAGTTTTAATGAATCAGAGGTGTTGTTTCCGCGCGCGTGACGTCACCAGCCGGGCGGCGTACACGCAGCTATCTTTAACCCGCATCTGGAGCTTGCCAAACACAACCCGATCGAGCTTTTTATTCGATGTCTATTCGCATTGTGCAGCGAATATCTTGAGTGTATTATACGCGTTATAGGTTAATGACCTGATAATGGCTGTGATTTATACAACATTGTTTTTTATAGGATAGTTACTGTTATTGTCATTAATTAATTTTGGAAATTGCGATGTGACCGCATTTGTGAAGAGCCAATAATTTCATAATGAAGTTACTGTAAAACTCGAGGAGGAGTTTGGAATAGTTTATTAGTGTTGGTACAAACAATTTTATATGGAAACAAAGGCAGAAAAGAAATAAAACAGATTTTACCTTGAGAAGTAGTTGGTAGTCGTTAATCCGTTGTATGGGTAGTTTCAAATGCTCGGTGATGCCTTTATCGTCGCCGAGATTATCAGCCAAGTCCTACAAATAAAGGAAAATAATATGATTATTTATAATAATGTATGTGAATTATTTATGGATGCATTTTAGAGGTGCCATTTTGTACAAATTAATTAAAGATTAAATCAGCCGATTAACATACGTATCAAATATATTATCGAGTACTTCTTGAGGACTTCTTAAAAACATTATAATAATGAATTATGTTAAAAGCTGAAAATTCCATTAATGTGCCACTACTACGAGTAGCAAGAACTAATAAATTCCAACATAAAAGTAGATATAAATAAACCCTACCTACTCTACTAACCCTGACAAAATATTCAAGGCATTCATGTGGAGGTTAATTTTATAATAAAGTAATTCACAGCTCTCAGGTCAACGCATCCGAGTAGTGGAATTTTCTTGACTAGGCTACAACAAGACGAACATTCCGGTCCTGCGTTACATTTACAAAATATATAAGAAGTCAGAGAGATAAAGGTTGAAATTATTGTAGTTATGCCGGCACTTCAGATGTAAGTATTATATTTTTATGAATTTGATAGCAGTCTTTCCATTTCATTAACTATAGAGAATAATAAGAATACAGGTATTACTGTCACTGCTTACAAATAGCAAATACAAACCTATGTTAAGTGGTAGCATCAGCTTAATTATCGACATGGAAGGTAACTATCCTGCCTTACTTTTATTTATTTATTTTTATTTTATGGATCATCAATACAGCTATATTAATACAAACAGACTTACACATATGCTTAAATGGTAGTTAGGATATAATATAACTGTACTTAAAAATGGCCTCATCATGTGCTAAACAGTTTACATTTTTTTACAATATCTACGTACGAAATTTACTAGACAAAACAAATATTTGCGCAATCACAGAATAATATAAATAAATAATACTCTGAATTTTTGGATTCCTCCACTACAGTCTTTCATGCTCTATAATTATTTTGCAGTTAGGTCTCTATTTGTTATGAACGATATGTGAGAATCCCTTTTTCTTTTGATATAGATAAATATTCTTACGTTCCACAAGGTTTCATTACAGATTTTATTATTCTTTTCACCTGTAGTATCTAATTTTTTGCCTTTTAGTCCCGTGTATATTCGATACCGCTTAAGGCAAAATATACAACGATTAGGGCCTATTACAATCAAGTATTTTGGCAATACGATTCAGGAGTAGACTCAGTATGGTTAAATAACTATTACTGGAAAATTTTTGTTGTATTTATTCAAATAGGTTCAAGCTGATTAAGTAAGGATTTAGGCAGTGGCATAATTTTAGCCGCATAAGCAGTCTTCGGGCACCACTTACATGCAACGGGAACAACATTAGATAGGATAGAGTACTTTTCTGCACCTTTCGTAAATAAAAATTGTAAGCTATGAAGCGCACATAAACCACGAAAGGAATATTTTAGCATTTGTCCAAAATATGCCTATCCCAATCAGAACACGGCGTGAAATTTTTCAATAAAATTCAAATCGCACTAGAAGTTCGAACCCGAGTTCCCTTAGCACGAACCAATATCAAATTCGAATAATTTGCGAGTGCGAAATGTCATTGTCAAATTTTGTATGGAAACTTGAACAGCGGCACTGTAACGGACGCAACGAGAACTTATAATCAGTATACATTTGACAGTGACATTTTGCACTCGCAAACCATTCGAATTCGATATTAGTTCGTGCTAAGAACAGACATTCAAAAAAGCCACAAGATTTCTTATTCCATTGGAACAATTAACAAAAATATCAACAGAATTACGCCAGAAGTTGAAAAATGAGAAAGATCACTTCTGCATTTACCCGAATAACATCTTAATCCGTTTGAATGTTTACATCGATAATCGTCGCGGCGTATGTAAGCGATTACACCACGTGTCAATAAACGTCGCTACAGCTGGTCGCCGGCCAAGCAATTAGGGCGACATGCGACGAATTGAATCAGCTTCATTAGTTGTTCAGATTGATCTTTCTGAATTTCTCAAGAAATCAGTGAGGACTTTTAGTTGTAAATTTAATGTAAGTAGTAGAAAATATTGTCTGTAAGGACTTTTGACTAAATCTAAAAAAAAGCTTTGCTAGGAAAAAATCCACGTGGACCAGGTAGCAGACGGGACTCGAACTCGCACCCATCGCTATCCGGGCGAATGCACTGAGCATTATGCTACTGCGGCCCTGACGGCCGCGCGTAGCGAAGGTGCGGGTTCGAGTCCCGTCTGCTGCCTGAACCGCGTGGATTTTTTTCTAGTAAAATTTTTCTTTACATTTAAACATCTAAGTAGCAGTTAAATGCTTAAATAATAAAAACATAACTTTTGACTAAGCTTTTCATGTTGCGGAGTTTTTGAATAGTGCCTATTACATTATGTTTCACCGTACACTGTGCAATACGTACGATCAACCAATTTGATTCCTGACCCACCTTAAGCTTATTTTCTTACAACTATTGCAAAACAATAAGGTAGAAATTCGCTTGAATGTATGTATCCCTCGAAACAAAGTTGTTATTTTCATAACAATCATAATTGAAATGGCAGATTTTGCCGCCTCCCTGTGGCATAATGCTGCGGTTAGTTATTTGGAAGTTTGACTATAGATTTAGGATTTCCCTTTTATTTTACTAAAGTTTTTCTTAATTTAATGTCGAGAAATCGAAAAAGCTGCAATAATGCCTAAATTGCTTATTGACTAAGAAGCATATTGCCTACAATGTATCGTGTCTATTATGTTTTCTGCCAACTGTCAATTTCAAATCTTTAAATATTAATAGATAATAAAAAAAACTGTATTCTTAAGACCAAACACATATCTTCTATTCCTTAAAAAATAAAAATATACCCTTACACTCCTTAAAAAAAATACGTGTGGCACTCGGGGACTGCCGCGGTAAAGCTATTGCATAGCATTTTTTTATCAACTTATGCAATTATAATTATTTATATATGCATTTTTTTTTATATTGATTCAAGTTTTTTCTTTGATATTAATTCAAGCTACACTTTTCTTTCTTACAAACAGCTGCTTACGTGTTCTGCCGATTTCGGAGCAGCTCGTCTCGATCCGTGCGAGTTTCGTAGTCGTACCATATACATGCACGTTAAGGTTCAACTAGTCGCGGACTCGAACTCACTCGTGGACGAGGTCAAAAAGCACGCTGTCTCACCTAGCATTATATCTCAAAGAGATAGAATCAGTTATGAGCAGTTAGCAGCTAGTCTACACGCATACGTCTAGTCGCCCGCACACAAACACCGTGCTGCCAAACTGAAACGACGTTAGACGATGCACGGCTTTCAACGCCGCACCGCTATGCCGGTCGGAGTAGGGAGTTAAGGAATATCTTGATTCGGTCGCCGCGCTCAAAGCCCGCGATAAAAGCTATGCAATAGCTTCAAAATATTTTTATTAATCTAAAATCTGAGCATAAATACAAGATAAACTATCTTATAATTTTCAAGTGCTAGTATCGAATTATAACAACCCTTTACAACAAGAGTTTCTAAACAAACTTGCGCATTAGGCTTTATAGAGACGTAGTGTATTTAAGGCTTTCCGATTTGTAGGCGAAATAACATTTAGAAAATTACAATGTTTAGACATTCATGGGTACTGATCTGCTTCTTTGATGTGTTAGGCATTTATGCAGCAGTGATATCTTGCATTTTAGACACTGTGCTCATAACCGAAGAAAACTTGTCTGTTTTGACATTTGTAAGCGAATTATCGGTCAAGTGGATTAGGAACAGTTTGTTTGATTGTACTGCCATTGTACTAACTTAGATAGAATAGAGCAGCGTTTAGATCGACAAGGAACAGTAACCCAAAGATCTAGGTCGGCCGTCTCGGCTTATCCAAAGGTTAATCATTAACCAATCATAAGCTTCACTTAGTGTGAACAGGCATTTAAAATCAGTAGCATATTAACACACAAGTCATCAATATAATATAAATGTAACGGATTCCAAACTAATAAATATAAATTATTTTACTACAGCGGTAAAGCTGAAAACGATACGCATCAACAGCAGCAGCAGTAAGTTCGTAAGAAACTTACACTAATAGAACACCTTGACACGATAACTTCTAATGGGTATTCGAAATGTGGAGCTGGACATTAACAAACAAATTCTGAAGTTGAAATTAGTTTTACTTCTGGAATATTTCTTTTTGTTCTAAGACATTAGCAAAACGATTACATTGTCATTCATTCTCGCAATGCCTAATCTTCTCCGTGCTTATACTCGTACCCCCTTATTAATAAACAAAGACTATTCTTGGATTAGTTACTCTATGTTTTGTCCCTGTCTATTGGATGACAAATGGCATTTGAGTGACATGAACAAAACACGGCGTAACTAGTCTTAGCTTATTCCTTGTTTATTAACTATAGACTACAATTTGTAAGTCTGCTGAACTTTGCTCAGTGTCGCAAAGAAAATAACTTATCTGCCGTATTTCCATATTTATAATACTCTCTCAATATGCCTAAGAGTCCCAAATGGCGTGTTAAGGGCAAATCCTCTTTTGGTAAATGGTGAAACAGGCCTTTAATCTTCTGAAATTGAATCGATACGGCACCCACAACAGAATAAGAGTATTTTAAAAATTCTTCGTGCTCCACCCTCTGCGGTTTTAAATAAACCGAATGAAATTTTGAATTTTCAAAATCAGTCAGTCAGTAAATACACGTTTTTCAATTTAAAAACAACAGAAAAATCTAAAATATATTCAAGTAAATATATACAAATAAAGGGAACGCTGTTGAAAGAAGGCTTGAGATTTTTTATCAGGATTTACAGATTCCATGGTGCCAAGACTGAACTTTTGTAAAACTGTAATAAATAGAACAAAAACGGAGAAGAAACGACCAAGAGCATTTATAGTGCATGGTTGCATTAAATGATGTGGGCAACCTTATTGTCGTTTGAATGCTGCCACTTCACACATAAACAAAGCGCTTGCAGCGCCTCCACCAGTAATTAATGTAACTATTTTACGAC